AATCCTTGAGACTCTTTCTCAGTTCGTCTATGTGACGTTTCATGTCAATAATCTCAGAATTCCTGATACCAATCTTTTCATCCCTATCCTGCATTTCCCCCATGAACATGCATGATCTCTCATATTGCTGAACACCACTAGCCAATTTCATTTTGCGCTCACTTTCTAGTTCAGATCTTAAAGTTCGGACTTCAGCATTGGAGAAGGACGACGCCCCTACATCCGCAACTTCAGTCAATCTTCTTTTAACAACATGTTCTCCTGTAAACATTCATGAACTTCATGGTCTAGATCCTGAACCCTGATTTGAGCGATTTTGGCTTGATTACGTAGATCTTCAACAAGCATCTCATCAGGGCCACGACCGTCGGTCGTAGTGCCCTGAGTCAATGATCTTCACAACTTCACGTTCTGCAATTTGATCTCATCCTTCAATTCACAGTTCATCTCCTGCTCATTGGCGTAGAGCTCTTCATAGTGCTCCGCCCTCGCAATTGCATTTGCACTAGCCTGTGATTCAAGCCTCAGGTGTGATATCGCTTCGGCCTCGTGATTCCTGTATGATGCAATTCTTCTGACAGTATCATGTTCAGTGTTACGGTGTTTCAGATCACTTTCCAATTTGGCCTGATTTGCCTCGAAAACCTTCTTTCTAGATTCTCTAGTGATCTCTTCAATACTGCTTTCATACAACTCGGCCTGTTTACGAGATTGAACTAGAGCCTCACTCAATAGCTGATTCCGTTCAGACAATTCATGAACTGCAAGTGATTGTTGTTGGCTAATCATTTCAAGTTGATTGCTTGAGAAGGATGCCATTTCGGATCGATTACGATATTCCATGATTGAGTTCTGGAAATCCGTCTGCATTTCTTGACCTTCAGTGTACAATCGGTTGGCAATATCGGTAGTTAAGACATTGGTCTGATGAAGTTGTTGCAGTCTTGCCTCCGTATTGCCCAATAGTCCTTGAAGGTGATGTACTTCATCCTTGTACTCTTCCTGGATCTCCATACCGCGTTGATGGATCCGTCTTGCACCGTGTTCCATCAGGGCACCTCGGCGTTCAAGGTCTTGGATGCGTATTGTTGCACCTTCGTCTTCCTGAGATGCTACCATTAGTTCTGCTTGATACTCTGCAACCTCATTTGCGGAACATGACAATCTATGATTGAGTGCATTGACCTCATCAAACACATTCTGGTTGTGTTCCTGAAGATATTCAGTGAATCTGATCTCGATGTCATGAATCAGTTGATCTCTTGATGCAGCATATGCTTCCATGTTGTTCAACTGATTACGTAAGGATTGACATTGTGCCCGTAGTTCTTCTATCATGGCAATAGGTTCACTAGCCACAGAAGTATCCGTTGATCTCCTCTTAACGCGAGTGTCCCCGGTCCTCTCACCAATTCGGTCGGTTCCGGCCCTGGTGGAACTGTCCCTTGGGGTAGTTCGTCCTCGAGATGGTCGGTGCCCTTGGCGGACGACATCACTTCGAGCACTGTTTCGAGAAGATCTTGGTGTACTCTGGGTGGATATTCTTCGTCTATTTGATGTAACTTGCCATCCGGACTGTGTAGTTCGGGTAGAGCGTATCCCACCACTGTCTGCCGTGTCGCCAGGGGAAGATTGAGTGACCTCCTCGACCGGCATAGCAGTGTTCTCATTGAAGGTAAATTGCGTGTTGCGCGAGTCCCCGCTGCCGCCCTGCATCTTTGCGATGATGAGCTGATTGGTCCTTTGCGTCCACAATCTTAAGCTCTGACGGCCCGGCTACCAGCACGCAGGTACTCCTCTTCCGACGGAAGAAGTGAGCCCTTACGGCTGATAACCTGTGAACAATTTGATCCTTGTTCTGGATATAGGTTTCGGTCGATTAGTACCTGGTCTGCTGATAATTCCCGGGCACGTCAAACCATGGCGGGCAGCGCACAGTTCTTTTTGCTCACGCAGGGTCTTGAGCCAATAATTGGCAGTCCGTGCGTATCTGTTACATGTTGGACATATAGAATGTCTGCGTTCCCTTTGACATATATATATATATTATTATATTATATTATATTATATATTATATTATACTATATTATATTATATTATATTATATTATATTATATATATTATATTGTATTGTATTGTATTGTATTGTCTTATATTATATTATATTATATTATATTATATTATATTATAATTATAATTATATTATAGTATACTATACTATACTATACTATACTGTACTATATTATATTATATTATATTATATTCTTATTGAAGAATAATTAATAATTATTGAATATGTATACATATCATTACACATCAATATGAGAAGGTACAAGAAGGACTATGTCTGATGTCTGATGACTGAAACAATATGATGTCTCAAACCTGGTACGGCGAGGCTGAGCCCACCTCGTTATCTCCCGCGCAGAGCTGCGAGGCGTCACACTTGGCAGAGACCCTTCTTCAGGAATCCGCGCAGCCAACGCCATGGCCACCGGCGAGTTGAAATGTTGACAGTGTAGCCATGTAGAATCCATGTAGAACCCATGATACATGTCAAAAGGAAAGAGGAATTGGACAAATCGTGAAAACAAGATGTGCGGAACAATGTGGCATTATCTCTGCGACGTCCGGTGGGTGTTTGCTTTCTTTCATGCTGCCATCTGCAAGAAATAACAGATCAAGAGGCCATGAGAATGTCACTGCTGCGGTTCGCTTCTGTTGAGAGACACCAGAGGGATACTGGTGACAAATTCGGAATCTGATATAATCTGATAGTTGCGTGCGCCGAGTGGAATTGGAGTGGAACGGAGACCTGCAAGTATTGGATTCACAGAAACAGAGACTGAATCCTTTGGAGGTACAAGTAGTTGCTGAAGCGGCCTGAAAGGTACTGAATAATACTGTATACAGGAAAAGGAGAAGCGTGGAAGTCTTTGCTGAAAGATATACCTAGACATACCTAGACCACATGAACAGAGGCAGATCGGCAACTTTCAGGCTGTTTCTTTCTCACCACTTTGTGCTTGGTCGGCTGTGAACCGCATCATTTGCGCTCTCTCCAAACTTTGTGGAGTACGAAACTTGGAAAACGGGTGTCCCACTTTCGAACACGTTCAGACAGGTTGTTGCGGAAGATTAAAGAGATGGGTTGGCAGAATTCCGTCTGTGCAGTTTTTCGTCACAGTTTATGTGAGTTCAGCTGCACAAAAGATATGCAACTGTAACCTCCCAAACAGAGAGGGCTTGATAGAACCTGGCATTGAACCTGGCATTGAACCTGGCTACAGTTGCATCAGCTCACACTTTGTTCTGTGGCGGCACCAGACGCGCAGACTGCGTTGACGTTGAATGGATGAAGCTGTGAAGGTAATCCCGAAGCTGAGAATGTTGCGCTGCTGCATGATCAAGACCTTGGAAGCGAAGTCCAATGCCCTTTGAAGCCCGATTCTGGTCCGATGAGATCACATTTAATAATTGTCGCGGTTGTCCTCTTGCCAAATTGCTCTCACATCTGCTTTTATCACTGTTTTGATTCAATGGGGTTCCACAAGAACTCTTCTCGTAGTCTTCTCAACAGTTCTTTTCGACCACAAAAATGACCCTCGCAAGTCTTACCCAAAGTGCTAAGCCTCAGGCCACAGACAAGAGCACCAACATTTGGCCAAAAAGCTCATGAGTATCCGGCTGTGCCCCGTGGAGCATTATGTCCAATAAAACCTCAGTGGAGATAACGTATCCGAACCGAATAAGTCTACATTGGGTGTGCTTACAATTACAATCAGTTGGATATTGAAACAACATGTTTACACGTGCGCTTTTACTTGTGCCTACATCCATACTTATACTTGTAGGTGCACTGCATTGATACATACACACATAAGCATGGTTACGGGTTACCGGTACATGTTTTCAGTGGGTTGGTTCAAGGGAAAATGTCACACGAAACCATGTACCGCATCAAGAAATATCGGACTGATCCAATTCTGGGATCTATACATGAATGCTACGCGCACTTGTTATATACATATCAACACATAGACTCATAGACTCATAGACATATCTATATATGTACATATATATATATGTATTACATCTGCATAGTGTGTAGTAACAGTGCATCACATGAACGATCCCGAACGATCCCGAACGATCCCGAACGGTCCCGCCGCTTCAGCTGTGAGACAGTGAAGGGGACTGACAGCGCGGAGGTGCTTGGTAACAGCATTGGCGAACCCCACATCACCTTGCGGGAAAGGCGGCAGCGTGGTCATGAAAGAAATCTCTGACTTAGATTAGTTAAGATTCAAGTCCAGCAACATAAAAAAATGATGAAACTCTGTGAAACCATTTGACAACTTCGTTTATGGCTTATCATCTGCCTGACATTGCTGCTCCAAGGCGCAATACACAAGTATAGTGCCTTAGCCCGTGGCTGCATGATCCAACTCAGAACATCTCAAGACAAATCCCCTCTCGAACTTTATTGTGCTACTCTGACCTGGCGATACCCAAAGTATGCCAAAGTTAGATAAGTTTGGTTAAATGGAGAAAAAAAAGCTTGGGGGTGGCCGGTGGCCCCTCTTCTTTGAGAAATACGCCTGTTGTCTTCTAAGTTATCCGCAGCGATCCCTTGGCACAGAAATCATTCACGGCTTCGTTGCAAGGTGCATTCACCGTGAAGGCCACCAAGGCTGAGCAAATAGTGCCAAGCAGCACCAGCTGCCCGGATGGCCTCTTGGAGCGAAAAACAGGGTGGCCCGGTGGTCCATCATCCGAGGATGATTTCTTCAGTTCCTTCTGAAAGGCTTGCTGGCATTTGGCTAGTGATGAGAATGCCTCTTTGTCTCAAAAAATCTGTTCTGTGCCTTCTTGGCTTTTCTTGGTTTCTAACATGTCAAGTCTGCTGCATGCGAACATGTAGCTTTTTCCAAATCCGCGAACAAACGAGTGCACATACACGCGTACCCGCATGCAGACTCACGCTCTGAACATGGAGGCCTGGCCCCACAGCCTTTAAGCCGGTAACAAACATTCAGAATCATCCAAATCCGTTCAAAAGCAGTCGATTTCCGCACGCATGCAGACACAATGTCTATTGCGCATGTGTCCTTCTGTGAAAACTAGCAAAAACTACAGTACCTTCTGCACTCTCATGACAAGCACCTCCAAAGGGAGGAAAATGAAACACTCGCATTCACAAAGGCAACAATGCGAAAAGAAATGGTATCAATGATGCCCTGATTGGGAAATTTCCCAGAAATGACACAATTTGGGCCCGCGACAACTTGATCCCTGAACAAACCACCTGCTGAAGAGCCAGAGTAGCCATCATGTAATGAAATGTCGAGTTCCGCCTTTAAGTGCACTAAATCGGATCAGCAAGTACTCATCTGGTCAAGCTGGGGAATCCATTTCACCGGTAGTTTCTTTTCGACACAGTCCCAGCAAAATGCTGTGTCCCTTTGCTTGCGGAAGTTATCAGGGCAACATCAAGAAATATTGAAATTCTTCAGGTGGCGCGCGCGCACACACACAAACTTGAAAGACTACAGAATAGAGTGTGCAAATAAATCGGCACACATCACAGAGGGAGGGACATATGACCGCGCAGGATCAGCGAAAATACCATGTGTCTTTGAGTGTAAAGATGCACTTGTTTTCACAAAGTACAATTTGCATGTTAATGCAGGCAACGCAAAGTGAGAACAACGCGCAATGCACTAAAATCCTCTTGTCCAATTGTCTAACAATGAAGCCAACGAATTGAAAAACATCTGAAAACCCTATCCTCGATGTGGGTTGAACAGTGGGCCAGTGGGCCAGTGGGCCAATGGTCCCGGATCACCACTTGCAGCGTCAAGGCACCATTGAAGGCGCTCATAACCCAAAACATCTGCCGCCCAAACGAGTGGCAGAATAACCAGCACATGCCTGCAGCCATCTGCAGCGTCAAAGAATCTGATTTTCCCCAAGGTAGCGATCCAGCACTTTATGACGACAATGGGTTGACAGTGGGTCTCCACAACTTCACAGCATGGGTGTGACAAGGATGCTAAACGCTCCTCATCCGACACGTCCACAAGAAACTAAGTTGATCCTTGGCCTATTTGAAACTAAGTGTTTTCCAGTACTGTATTTTTGATACAATTTTTGACCTCAGAAGAGCATCGAGCCTTCTAACATTCTGTGCGCTGCAAGAAGGTTCCAGGGGAAGGTAGTTTCGAGGGTTCCAGGTGCGTTCGGCTTTTGAGCCGCCAGAAATTGTTGCACTACCGCCAAGAACAGAGATTGAAACCTAGTCCCAAATGTAAAACTATTGTTTGGGTCCCGCATCTAATTCAGCTTAGAGCTCACCCTCCCAAAGTTGACCTCTTTTGATAGCCTTCTATTCCAGACTTGGTACAGGTTTGGGCGGAAGGCAAATTATAGGAAAATACACATAAACATTGTCTCATATTGTATTACAATAATATAATATATATATATATTATATATATACACAGATACATACATGTGTGTGTGTGTGACTGCGTGTATGTGCATGTGTATATTGATATGCCACCTAGACTCACTTGGTCTGAGTCTGAGCACATAAAGAGAGTTCCGCCAAGTTGCCAAATGCTTACCCATGCCCCAAAGTGTGCCAAGAAAGCAACGTCCGATTTCAGATGCCCAAAGGACCAGCGAAAAAGCACCTGACGGCGAAAGCAGTTGGAATCAGGTCAAAAGAAAGGTAGGTCATGGTAGATCCACCCATCGAATACATGGATTGCATGCACTATGGAATGCGGGATCCAACGCCAAGTAAGTAACCAACCTTTCCCAAACAGAGTTTCTTTCACGAAATCACTTTGTCTCCCCCCAAAGGCAGCTGGTTTCTCAGTCATGGAGTCAGGATCATCAATCATCTGCAGAGATCTTTGAAACTCATCGAAAGAGTCAATTGCAGCTGGAAGTTCGGCCAAAAAATACCAGCCTGATAAGCAGTGTAACCACCAGCAGACAACAGGGCCAGAATGCCGCCCATCATGGTGGAAGACGAGCTGCCTCAAGGACTGTTCATGGGCGCAAGACTCATCCAACGAACACTATCCTGGGAGGCATCTGGATCATCTGGGAAAATTTGGTCATGCGATGTTGCGCTCTTCTGCCTTTATTCTGTTTCTCCTCTTCGCAAACCTACCAAAAAAGAACATTACTGTAGAAGTCCGCTCCTTTACATTGCAAATAATTATATAGTGATCATTGACGAAACGAAAGCCTTTATGCCATGCCCCAAACATAATATATAATTCAGTTCACTTGGAAATGCGCAGCTTGACCTGCTTTGAGTTGTTCAAGATATGTCTTTTGGAAGCCTGGTTTGAAGCATTTGAAACCGAACCCCTTCAGCAAATGGCACTGGCATAAATGTGGGCAACTCACGCAAGAATGAGGCGCAAAACCCTGGACGGAAATGGCATGAACCATTCTGTTTGTGGTTGTTTGTGGTTGTTCAGGGTTATTGGTGGTTGTTGGTGGTTGTTGGTAGTTGTTTGTGGTCTTGGTTGTGGTCTTGCTTGTGATCCTTGTTTTCAGGGTGCTTATTCACATCCTACCATCCCTTTCCTATTGGCTCACGGGAATAAATACCTTTGAAGCATTCGCGTTTCAGCGTCATGGGAAACATCATACTATGGGAAGTGCTTTGTACAAGAGCCACCCAGCCTCCTGACGGCAAACCTCCGCTTGCCAAAAAGGAACCTCTGGCAAATGTCTGACAAGGATAGAAGCTGTGGAGAAACCAAAAATGAATCTGTAAGGAAATCCTACTGCCCTTCGTCCTTGTAATAAGCTTGCAAAGATACATGGGTATCAGTATATGCTCTGAAAAAAACTGTATATATACACCTAATATTTATATTATATAATGTTTACATGTATATGCAGTCGGGTAGGTCGCAGCAAGCATCTACAAATTGCAAAAGAGAAAAGTTGGCGAGGATCTAAAATAGGCTTGAAAATAGTGAACATATAGCGGCATATCAATTGGCTTTGGGATCCAACTTCTAAGTACCATGGCAGCGGCAGCACTGCCCTCCCCCAAATGCACACGCTTGGCATCCATGACAGCACAGCCGACATAGCCATGAATCAAAATGAGGCTTTTCCAGGCTGCAAAGGGATCTGAGCAAGTTGTACTAGTAGAGAAGGCAAGCTATAGGCTATATTTTGCAAACTTACCAGTTGCTCAAGGCTCAGGCCTTCAAGGAAAAATCAAATGCACTGGTCCACCCCTGCTCCCTTCCATTGCTTGTTGCATCCAAGATGTTGCCATTCATGCCCTTGTGATCCCTTGTGCTGGCGGAAAAATGGTCTCAACAGTGCAACTGCTCTAAGATCATCCCCACCCCAGGCACCTAGCACTGACAGCAGCACACCCACCACGCGATCCAAGGAAACTGCCTCCGTTCTACAAATGCAAGCAGAAACCGTCAAGGTTGTCTCGGTCAACTACGGCGCATGCAAAAGCACTTACTTTCACATCTTTCACCTTGCGATCCCATACTTTAATCTCAAATTATACTGTTTCAGCACTGTTTCAGCAGGCAAGCCGGAACAAGGAACTGCTGTGCAGAAGATTGCAGTTTTCATGTATAGTTCCTTCAGGGAAGAACCTCTGCAAAAAGGTATATGCTGCAGAGGTAGACCAAAGCCTCAGACGGCTGGTGTTTCTGCGTCAACGGCTGTGCAGTGCTGTTGTTTTACTTCATGAAGTCATGAAGTGACTCATTTTAGTGATTCAACCTGATTCAACCTGAAAAGCTGAGGCTCCATGCCACAGAAAGCTGAAAAATGGCATTGGTCAGGGACAACTCCACATAGCTGGTGCTTAGAAGCCAGGCATAGTTGTAACCCATGATAAGGAAAGCCTGGGTTGGAACATCTCTGCAAGAATGGACCACGGGGAATGGGGAGGTGTGTAAAGATCTGTGCTAAATCTACTAAGTTTACATCAAGTATTGAGTTTACCTTAGACCGATTGCCACCTCTTTGCCCTGGATATCCGTAGTCCAAGCTGCAAAGAACAGCGCCGAAGTCTTTGGGCCGAAAGTGATCGTTTCTGCCTGCGACTTGCCGCGGCACAATAATGCAAGGCAGGCCTTTTCTGAGTGGTCCCATTTGAAAGTATCGACAAGCAGCAAACAGACATGGAATCTGCCCATGAATCGCTGGTCTCTGAATTCAAGGCAATAAGATGGGCCATCTTATGTTCAAAAGGAATGCTGTCTCATGCTGCGCTTGCTCTATCTAGGATGACTGTCCTTGCAGTTTATAGATCAAAACTTTCGAATTACTCAGCGCGGCCTTAACTGCTGTCATGCTCTCAGGCAGCGTGAATCTCCCAAAGCGTGGAATAAACCTTGCAAAATTGTGGCTTGAATGGCCTTCATCTGCTTCTAGCTACCAAGTAGTCATTCAGCAATGAACGCCTACAGATAGTGTGTGTAGAAATTGTAAATGTAGAAAAATATTTAAATATTTCACTGAATGTTTCCGATGCCGGTGACAGCGGCAACCGTGATGACTGCGACAACCGTGATGAGTACCACATGATGACTGGGATAGAAGGAGGTCAGCACAGGACATCTTTTCGCAAACACCACATCATTGGGAGCATCTTTCGGAGACAATACGATCCAACTGGCAGCACTAATGATCACTGCCCACCAGAAAATGGCCCGCTTCCGTATCCAAGTGACAGCAGCCCACCAAGATGGCAAAGCAAGAGATTCAACAACGGTGATGCATGGTGACCCTCCTGCTCCTGCAAGGCCTAAGCCATGGAATTTCTCACTCCCCATTTCTGTCGCCGAGTGGACACACGACACACGACCCAATGTCCGACGGTATCCCAGGCCTGCAGCAGCTCTCCTCGGTAAACCAGAAACGATACACTCGGAAGAGAAACGAAGAGAACCAATTGATACACTCCGTGAATGATTTCAGCTTGACACTGGGATGTTCTCCAGTTTTGCATGTTGATGGAACTTAGAGTAGTACCTTCAGGTAGTTAATGGGATGCGGATGCTAGTTATCCTGATTTGGGGGGTCTGAGCCGTTCAGGTTGGCGCCCAACTTTCCCATTTCAGGATATGTCAGGGTCATCATGACAACGAATGTGCGAACTTTGACTAAACTCTCTGAAACGATTCATGCCGCACAATAACTGCAAACAAGCACGAAAATGGTTTCAAAGTTCAAACTATTTCTGCGACTGCTCTCCACTGCAGCCCAGCGGCCATTGAGGCAGTAAAGAACACAAGAAGCAATTGCCAGACCCAGCCCAAAATTACCAGATGTCATTGGCGAGAGATCAATTCCTCCAAATCTGCGGAGATTGCCGGTGCAAAACAAAACACAGCAATAGACAATGGACATTTAATGACATTTAACAGAGCATTGAACCTACTTTCTTGCATGTGTCCTCTGCTGACCGCGTTACTTGCATCGCAATTCCAAATTCGGCTCTGCGCTTCATTGGCGGCATGATGCTCAAGTCCAGTGGTGCCATTGCAAGACAAAAAGTCGCAGGGAAAAATCACGAGTTAATTGCATAGGTGATCATATTTGAGTATATTTAAGTTGTAGTCAGACTTGCTATATCTTGCTATGACTTATTGTCATATCAAAGTGTGGTCGGAGGAAAAAAAATCTGCCGGAGATATATAAAACACGTTTGTCGCGCGTGCGCTGAAACTGAACAGCCTCACTGTGAAGGTGTAAAGAAACGCCGATATTGTTCTTGACAACGTGCCAACATATCCACGAAATGATGCAGGGGATAGAACAAAAATATACAAAAATTAAATACACATTGCACCAGGCACATGTAGTATACAAGTCTATCGATAATCAGACGCAATCTCGTTTGCAGATTCACATCATTGCCACATGTTCGCACAGGACAAATGCCCACTGCACCTTGCACTTGCACTGGGTTTGTGTTGGACAAGAAGACTAGCCAAGTTCTAGGTTTGAACCACATGTCTAGACGCATGCAGTACACACGCTTTCGAGGTGCGACTATGTTCGAAAGGCGTTTGTAAAAAGCTTGTTGCTTGCAACTTGATAAAAGAAGCAGCACACCTGAACCTGTAGAGAAAAAACATGAAAAAACAAAAGCAAAAAAATGAGTCATAAAAGAATATATAAAAAACTTGTTTCCACCCGATGGTGTTTTTGGTACCGGAGCACGTATCGCTCTTTCCCTTCCTATCCCTCATTCGAAATGATGCCCAGGTGGTCTGATGCCCAAAGGACCAGCGAAAAAGCACCTGACGGCGAAAGCAGTTGGAATCAGGTCAAAAGAAAGGTAGGTCATGGTAGATCCACCCATCGAATACATGGATTGCATGCACTATGGAATGCGGGATCCAACGCCAAGTAAGTAACCAACCTTTCCCAAACAGAGTTTCTTTCACGAAATCACTTTGTCTCCCCCCAAAGGCAGCTGGTTTCTCAGTCATGGAGTCAGGATCATCAATCATCTGCAGAGATCTTTGAAACTCATCGAAAGAGTCAATTGCAGCTGGAAGTTCGGCCAAAAAATACCAGCCTGATAAGCAGTGTAACCACCAGCAGACAACAGGGCCAGAATGCCGCCCATCATGGTGGAAGACGAGCTGCCTCAAGGACTGTTCATGGGCGCAAGACTCATCCAACGAACACTATCCTGGGAGGCATCTGGATCATCTGGGAAAATTTGGTCATGCGATGTTGCGCTCTTCTGCCTTTATTCTGTTTCTCCTCTTCGCAAACCTACCAAAAAAAAACATGAGAAGTCCGCTCCTTTACATTGCAAATAATTATATAGTGATCATTGACGAAACGAAAGCCTTTATGCCATGCCCAAAACATAATATATATAATTCAGGTCACTTGGAAATGCGCAGCTTGACCTGCTTTGAGTTGTTTTTCAACAGGGTCATGCGCATTCATGCGCATTAAACTGCTACTCAAGTACGCAGCTAAACAAATGCAAGGAAACTTTCGCACATTTTCGCACTACAAATGTTGCACACTTTTTAACTCCCTCACACGATGGTGCCCGCCATCTTGGACTGTTACACCGAAATCAGCAAAAAAACACCAAGCTGAGGGACTTCAGCCAGAAGCTAGCTTTCGTGACAACAAAACGATCCAACATTGGAAGATGATTCCTCTTAGCTCAATCAGACTCATCCGACATCAAGTGCACCAGATGAATACGGCTGCACCAATTCAAAGAAATGTTTACATGAGTGCAAAATAGTGCAAACGTCACACACTTTTCAACTTCAACATGCTGGCAGCTAGCACAAGTGGCGCGTAAGCTTGGAACATCTTGGAACCCTGTCGCTGCTCAGCACCCGCTTTTTCTCCGCCAAGTCAATTGCTCTCGGTGCCCGAGCTGCCCTTGGTGCCCAGTTCATTGTCGCATCTTCGAGCCAGTTTCCATATGTTTCCATGTCCAACAAAGTCACTCCATGCTGTTCCATGCTGTCCAATGCTGTTCCATTTTTCCGAGACAAAGGCCGAAGTGAAGTGTGAGCGTCTCCGGTGCCGATGCTTTTTGACCGAGCTGGTCAGGGCTGTCCAGGTCAACGTCCTTTCCTGCGATGCGATTGAGAAACAGAAAGGAACGCCCGCAGAAAACTGCCGCAGTTCAACGCATGTGATGAAGTGCAATGGCAGTCCCTCATCGTCACCGACACGGACCTCACCAAATTCACCAAGAAGGCAGTGCTTTGCTTCTTGAAAAATTTGGAAAAGCAAAGCCGACGTGAATTCAGAAGCAAAGCAGCCCCTTGAGCACGTGCCACATAAACATGTGTTACTTGAACATGTCGCCTCTGATCGCCTCTGTGGTAGAATGTTTCAACACATCCCAGCAAATCCCACCTGATGAAGCGGCAACCTTTGCGAAAAGATCTCAATGTCTCTTCACTCAGCTGTGGACATCCTCGACGAAAGACAGCTCTGCAACTCGCCCAATTGGCCAAAATTCGACAGAGAATTCAAAGCAAATCAAAGATGTTCCTCGAAGATCCACCGTCTGCGCGTCATGGAGTAGTTCTGCTAAGGCCTTGAAATTTGGACCCAAAAATCACAAACAGCATGCTGGCAGTATTAGTTCTGCAGTGCATGCAGTGGCTGGAGATAAAAGCTTGGAGCGAAACATCACAGGATCGGTCTGAGAGAGAGCTAGCACCTCCAAGAGAAAAGTACGTCACCTGCCATGTAATTCAGCAGCACTTCTGTGATGCTTCGCTTGCAAATTCACATTGCCAACCCTATGGTTTCCCAGCAAATCAACAGTCAAGGAAGCAAATTCAATACAAAGCGGCGAAATTTCTCCAAAACCGAAAGCTTTGTGCAAAAGCGTTGAAGAATTGTAAGATATTGGAAGACCAAGCACATTTGAGTTTGAAGATTTTGAAGCGTAAGACTTCTAAGCTCTGGACGGATCGCAATGCTGCCGCAGCTGAGTTCAAGTGCTGCCTACGCAACTCAAGGCCACCCCAAAAACTGTCTGAGATCATGACGCAAGTTCCTGACAAAATGCATGAAATACAACCACATGTGTGTGTGTGTTTTTGCATGTTTCTGGCACCTTTTTCGGCGCAGAGGCACGGATTCTGGCCTTTCAGCGTGGGTTGGGCATGGTTTTGTCTAGTTGGATCTCTGTATATAGCGGACTTGCAAGAAATGGGAGACTGCCGGGATACGTCATTTGTGCTGTGTTGAGATCGTGAATCCATGGTGTAGACCAAACAAGTAGCTGAAGAAATTCTTGTGGCGTCCAATGATGGGAGCTTCATGCTGGAAGAGCTTGTCACCACAATGGTGCACTGGGTCACTTGGTCAAGCTTGCTGGCTTTAAAGAACCACTTGTGACGCATTATCCCAATCTTCCAAGGAGGCGCTCGAATTACATACACCGGCCATTTGCAACACCACCACCATTCCAATCCTCTGAAACCACTAGATTGCTTCATGACTAGTATTGAGTGTCGCTCCACATACGTTTTTGACCATCATCATGCGCAGAGTGAAGTGCTAGAGGACGTGCGCAGGAATTTATCAATTCGCACATCTGAGGGTCGTGCAAATCCGCTGGCTTCAGCTGAAGCGTCTCAGAAAAACTGCGGTTCAAAGAGGAGAGTAACACCTGGGCCATGGGGTGATCTCTCTACTTGGGGGGGGGGGCGAATGGCGCAGCGCTCTGAATTGCAACAGAGTTTCAGCTAAGACTTCGCTTGGACAGCATTTACTAAGGAAATGTGTGTTGAATGCACGTTGTTTTCGATTTGACGATGTTTCCTGCTTCAAGTTCTTTGCTCTACCGAGAACATGTCATCTTTGCTTTCACATTTTTTCAGACTTTAATCATGATCAATGATTACTGTAATCCATATGATGGCGGACCAAGCAATTTTCGCTAAATTCTCCGCACCTGATCCAGCTGCCTTACAAGAGCTTCGTCGCGGTCCCTGTTGCACCACCTCATCGGTTCAGCGCACTGTGCATGTTGCCCTACCACTACCGCGCCACACCGCGAGCGCGCCTAGGAAACAGCCCTTCCGACACTGCACAGTTTCGAAGGACCTCGGCTGTATTCGGCTGTTGGGCATTTCCTTCCAAAACCAGCAATCACAGCTGAGCACGAGACCAGGGTCTGCAACAGGGTTCGGCCAGAAAGGATGGTCTCACAAAGCACAAGGATGCAGCCGATGCAGCCAAGAATTTCAAGAATCGCACCACAAAAATGATGTCTTTCTCAAGATTCAACCAACATTCCATGAGTTCTCGGATCAAAGTTTGTCAAGGTTGGAATCGGAAAACCGTAAGGAATAGGCGAAGAATGATAAAAGAGGCAAAACATGACAAAAATTAACAAAACATGACAAAACAACAATGCCTTTGCTGAAGACAGCTAGACAGTAGTAGACCGCGCGTCAAGTCACGTCTATTTTATAAACAGGCTTTGGTCCGTAGCCATCACGACAGCAAAAAAGGCATTACACATGGCTCACACACTTATATACAGCGGGACGGAAATCCTCCTTAGTATTGCTTAGTGCATTTTGATCATTTTGGTTGCAGCTCGAGAACGGTTGGATTCTTGGTGAATACGGGAGAAGATAGCGCTGATTGCAATAAAGAAATCGAATCACATGATCACATCTGGTCACATCTGGGATCACATCTGGTCCATGTGTGTAGTGAAAATGTCGAGCAATCCGGATGAAGACTTGGTATACGCAGAATTGGTGCCACAACAGCAATGAATACCCAGCATTGTCACAAAAGTCTTCAAAAATTCCAACTGAGACAACCGCGCAAGCCAAGAAGCCATGAAGCCATGAAAAGAACATCACCAAATGTCATAGCTTTCATAGCTTCGTTGGACCACATACAGAGACAAACAAATAAAATCAAATAAAATCAAATAAACAAACAAACAAACAGACAGACAGGCAGGCAGACAAACAAACGAACAAACACATTGGCACATATTGGCACCCTCACATCCTTCAACGGATATTGGGCAAGAGCATGCCTCCAACTGCGGGTCCTGAAGGCCGCTCCCTGCGGTGCAGAAGGTTTGAAAAAAGGATTCCCTACAAACCTCTGTGAGCAATTTGAAAAAAGGTATGATGATGTATGATGTGGCTCCAAGTGCTTGCTGCATCTTGCTGCAACCCTGTGAAGCAATTGAAGCAATTGAAGCAATTGAATCACTTCCACAGAGCGCTTCCAGATTCCTGGAAATTTCACACAGTCTCTGACCGGGAGACTGCCGGAGAAAAAGGGTCAAATGGTCACAAAACAAATCTGCACTGCGTGCTGATGCTGTAGCCTGCACTCTGTTTAACGTTATCCTCTGGACAAAGAGCCAAAGTGCCCCAGCTTAACCGATGTAAACCTTGTTACAAAATTGAAACTGCGAGAGCCTGCAGAGCACCACAGAGTTAGAGAGCTCAAGCGACTGAACAGGGGAAGTGCCTAAAGCGTCAACGATTCAAAACGATTCAAAACAATCAATATTGCCCACATATTCCCATGGAAAAGCAATGTCTTTGACTGTACGGACACTGATAGCGTTAGCCACTAAGCATTGGGAATCCAGCCAAAGAGTCCACTGCAGCTTTGTGTGACCTGCGCTTCTCGCGCATCTGTCGCGGAGAAAAGGCTGGGGTTTGAGAATTCCCTCTCTCCAACTAGTTTCCTCGATTTCTGGCACACAGGCTCAACTTGTGATTTGCACACCTTGAAACAACTTGAATCATAAATCATACCAATCATACTCAGTGAACTTAGTTCAAGACCGCGAAGAGGAATCGAGGCGAAGGAGAACCAAACAGCTGCATTGAGCACCGATGAGGCTCAACGCTGCCTGTGACATTTGTGGGCGCTTGGGTAACAAAGGTACACTGGGTACCAAGCCCAACTCCCAACTGAAGGTTCAACTACAATAACTGCGAAATACGAGTACTACGAACTCTTTCATCCTCAACAAAAAGCTGGCCTTCAAAGCAGCATCAGTGTCGCTTTCTGGAAGCGTCACTGCAAGCTGCTCCAGCATAGGACAGTTTGACGCTACCGCCTGGCCAATATTCTTCGAGGTGACGAGTGAACAAAGCGAAGCCATGGAAACGCTGAACGTGGGCCCATTGGGCCCCAAACAAATGCAGACTGCACTGTCACTGCCGAATTTGGCAACAAGTAGTTCAATCTCTGATCTCTAATGAGACTACGCCGGAAATGGAGTACCCACCTCCAAAGCAGGAGCATAAGCAATGTCCTTGATGCCGTCCAACAGCAGCTGCTCCAGTGATTTTCCGTATACTGCGACCTTTGCGGTCTGTCTTTCAAGCGAACAGGTTTTCTGCAGTGACTTCAAAGGGCTGCTGTGCCTGCAACTTGACAGTAAGTCTATATGATTCTATATGGCAGTTTCCATAAATTGGGGATCCACTAAAATGGACGGTTTATAATGAAAAATCCTATTGAATGATTTGGGGGTACCCCAAATTATGGAAACTTCCATGTCTTTCTATGGCCATCGCAATGTTTTTGAGGGACGGCAAAGCACACGGTCGCGGCGCAGCCTCAACGACATCTTGAATTCAACACAGGTCCTGCCAGTAATTGCCCTTGGTTTCCGACTGGTGGTTCCCAGCAGCCTTCCTGGCATGAACACCATCCATCCATACATACATTAAATGCATATTTGTGTGCATGTATAGATATACACGCACATACATGTATCTACGTATTTGTGTATAATAATAATAATAATAACAATAATAATAGTAATAATAATAATAAGAAGAAGAAGAATAGTAATAATTATATATATAAACATGCATGCATGTGCATGTGTGTGTGTCTTATCTGTGAGCGACTCACTGATTCGGCAGTTGCTCTGCTTGGACTTTTGCCGTCCGTATGTTAGTTTGGTGGGTGTCTTACAGGTATCTATATATATACATACATAATTATATAATTATATATTATATATGATAAATATCATAAACTCCATGCGGTCCACTCAACCGGAGGAAGGCAAGCTGACCACACCTGTACGGTATCATCTCCTGGCACTGCACAATCCAATGCAATGCAGAAATGGTCCAAGAAAGTGCGGCTACAGTCTGCCCTGGCTACGCAAGCCTTGAATGTTGAGGCCCATTTCTAGCCAATGTCCATGTCTTTACAGCCTTTCAGACATATACTGCCTTTCAGACATGTAGATTGCAATTCTTGCTGTCAATAGTTAAGGTGCAATGTTCAAGTCGTCATGTTTTGAATTTGTGCTCTGGAACAGCTTCTGGGTAGCTTTCTTTACATGTCCCCAGCATGTCTATTGCTTTTGTAGGCTGTGGTTCTTACTTCACGGGGAGTACAGAGGATAAGCTCTTCTGTCTACATTAGACAACCACGTGTATTCCAACGTGAAACGTGTGTGCATCATTGAAATTACTTTGCTTCGCATGATCCCCACCCTTACACAGTACACACTATTCCGACATAGTTTCTGACATACCATCTGGAAGTATTCATGGCATCTATATATATATTCTGAAATTCTACCTGGCATTCTTTCTGGCATATACTCTGACATTCTATCTGACATTGAGTTGAGGTCCGGCAGTGCCCACTGAGATCTGGAGCTCGCGGTTGGCAGGGAGGAGGGAGGAAGGAAGGAGGAAGAGGAAGGACGGAACCAACTCTGATAAAATCTAGAGGCCCTCACCTTGCAGGTGGGCAAAAATGAACACTCTTGAAATATCTTGAAATCTTCAGCGCAACCATACAAGGTAGAACTGACGACCCGTCTGGTGACCCGAACGAATCAATGTACAACACCACTTTTGCCCCACACCTGCTGCTGGAGGCAGCAACATAGAAGGTGGCTCTGACAAGGGCAGCCGAGTCGGCAACCTAGCTGCCACGCGCAAATCCAAAGGATCCACAGAGTCCAGACAGCAAACTCGAACTCAACATCAACGGTAAACGCTCTTTGAATCAAATCTCACAAAAGCATACCAAAGCCATGTCACCTTGCCTTTTTCAAGAAACTGCAGGGTTTTTCCCACTGTGTGGTTGACTGGCAAACTGTGCTCTCAAAGTTCCGCGCCAGTATGGTGGAAGCGGCGACAAAGAAGAAGCAGACTGCGCCTCAACTTCAGTGATAAACAGAAGAAAAAACATCTGGTGGCATTACTTACAATAACAGGATACAACAGATATATTTCAGTTGAAGCTGGCTCATCACCAACAAGAGCCACACCCATTGCACCGGGGAAGCAGTTAGTGGCATTGGCAGTGGCCCCACGGCATCTACTCCAGTGTCTGGCAGGTGTGATACTGAACCAGAATCTTTTGTGACAGGATGCTGCATGCTTACTATCAACATCAACCAATGCGAATCCACGACACATCAAAGCAGAATTCAAGCGTGCGCCGCGTGCGCTTGATGTAGCTATGAAATGAACTTGAACAACAGGCAGCAGGACCTAAAGCCATCGCGCCCAAGTGGTCCAAGTCAAATCGCTTCAATGGAGGTCTCGACTCCTAATCAAATCAAATGAAGAAATGCGTCACATTGATTGAAGCCTAGTCATGTCACGGATTGAATCCTGACCGTGAAAGTATAACTTGGTAAGAAACAAGCGGTCATGACGCAAAAAAAAATCCACTGTAGCAACACTGCAAGTGTTTCCTTCTTGATTGTAGAAGAATCAAGAGTCAAGAGTAATCTAGTCAAGTCGAGTGTGAATCTAAGTATATAAGAGGAAAAAGAAAACAATGAATTTTGCACAAAGCTAGAGCGAAGTCGGGCCAACAAAACCACTGAGCCACCAAAGCCTGGAAGAAGCCACCAATTCAAGCCAAATGCAGCCAAATGATGCCAAATGCAACTTGTTTGATACCATACGGGGAAGTGATTGAATCAAGAGAGGCATATGATTGATCGAATTAAGCTGAGAATTGTACCCTGATTTTTTGAGTTCTCTGTCTCTGTCAAGAACAAACAACTGGGGTGCAAACCACAGTCTGATCTGAAAGGATATCAAGCGCATGAGCTGTAGCGCGTAGACACCACGATGCATTGAGACCTGAAATCAGTGCGGAAATGCGAACCACGCAGCACTGCTCTGCTGCAGTCAACTTTGAGGCAGCAACATTCAAGATTGCGGCACCTTGGACGAAGGACTTCCAGCAAATTCTTTCTATCATTTTCTATGCAGGAACCCACCTTTATCGCGAGACTACAGTATATACAGACTGCTCGAACTTGTGCTCTTCTGGTCAGACGGCAAACATGTCAGGACCCAAATCATACCAACATAATTCAGGCAAAAGCTGCCCGAATCCGAAAAACACTACATGTATAAATCATGTAAACATATGATAACATATGTATGTATGTCTGTATATGTATATATACATATAATTAATATATACATATACCTATATTATATATATACACGTATATGAGTATTTATGTAGAAAGGTACATACACACATTTAATATATATTTTTTTATTTATTTATTTATATATATATATTTATTTCTTTATCTATTTACATATGCCCAAAAAACTCAATACATGCGTGCACATATGTGTATATATATATATAACAACTATTCATATATATATATACATACATAATGTACATACTATATGTACACATAATATACACATAATATATGTATGTGTATATATATACGCGTATTATATCAATCGAGACGTGATCCGGAGAGAGGTCTGCAGAGTTGGTTTCGACCAGCGAAACCCGAAACCCGAAACCCGAAACCCGAAACCCGAAACCCGAAACCGACTCTGAAGACTTAACTTCCCCAGGACCGATCGAAACCCGAAACCCGAAACCCGAAACCAACTCTGAAGACTTAAGTTCCCCAGGGCCGATCGAAACCCGAAACCCGAAAACCGAAACCCGAAACCGACAGCGAAAGTGGGTTTCAATCGACGAAACCCGAAACCCGAAAACCGAAACCTGAAACCGACAGCGAAAGTGGGTTTCAAGCGACGAAACCCGAAACCCGAAACCCGAAACCCGAAACCGACAGCGAAAGTTGGTTTCAATCGACGAAACCCGAAACCCGAAACCGACAGCGAAAGTTGGTTTCAAGCGACGAAACCCGAAACCCGAAACCCGAAACCGACAGCGAAAGTTGGTTTCAATCGAAACCCGAAACCCGAAACCCGAAACCCGAAACCGACTCGAATCCGACTTTTGGGTGGCTCTCCGGATCGGAACTCGAGACGTACATATACATGTACATTTATACACGTACATTTACGCAGCATATACATGCATATATGCCTATATGCATACACATACATTGATATACACATGCATATGTTACATGTTTATCACGTTTCACTCAATCATATTAATGTATATATAAATATTTTGCATATACATATACATAGACATAGACATACATATATATATACAGAATATACATGTACATGTACAATACATATTCTACATATACTTGCAGACTAGCAATCTGCCTACCCAAAACACAAACACCGCGAGGAAAAACATTCAGCCTTTGTCTGGACCTAATGCAAGCATTGTCGTCTAGGCCATCTGCCTCATGATGGCTTCGAAGCACTTATCTGTGATCTCTGTTTGGCAAACCTCAGACAAAGAATCACCAAGAGTCTGGCCATTCAAGAACAAACATGAAGAAGTGGTGACAACCTTGCTATGCTAGCAACGCAAAGGGATTGCAATCTGCAGCAGTGGTTGAGAACAGCGAGAATTCCAGCATCGGTAAGTTTCATGGCCCACCTGGCACAATATGGCATTGTCACAACCAGTAGCAAATGGGAACCAAATGAGAACACAATGATTGTGTTTAGAACAAGACAACATGCTGGTATCAAAAATCATTGCGCAAAGACTGCGCAAGACTGCGCAGGCTTCACCCTGCATCCAGGACTTCCAGCTGAGGAGATCTTTTGGCGATCTCCTCGATGCCTTTGTCTCCCACATTTGTGTTTGACCTTGGTGGGTCAGCAACTGACCAAGTTGCAATTCCACACGATCTGATGAGATCTTCCACAGTGAATGCCCAGGTGTTTTTGCAGCACTGAAGGACATCCTGAAAAAACAACTTCGTTTTGCTTCAGGAAAACAACATATTAGCAAGTGGCAATCTCAGCTCCCGAAGCAGAGAACGAGGATGCGCCTCTGACATGCATGTGCCATCAGCTATTCAGATCGCACACAATCATTGATCACGTGCAAAAAAAATACGCACAGTCGCCTCGAGTAGATTAACACAAGAACATATACAAACTATGTAAGCCTCTGACTTGAAAAGGTGCGTCTGACAACTGTGAACAGAAGGACAAATCAAGAGCTTGTAGGCCGAATTGAAAGAGGAGCTCAGATGCCACCTACACCGCTGAGATTGATCTGCGGCTGAAGTCTGGCAAGTGCTGACTGCCCACGCACTCCAAGTTCAACATGTTCAACAAAGACAACAAACCACTACAATTGTGGCACTGCACTGCACCCGAAACAAACCATGAGTCATTGCTGCTCCGGCCATTCTTCAGCGTTCTTGTTCAAACACTTGCAGAGCAACAAACCTTGTCTCTTGACATGTACATATTATACGCATTATACATGTTACACAAATGCGTGCGTAACGTATGTGTATATATATATAATATAGATATAGAAATATACGGGTTCGCGGCTCAGGGTTTTGGGGTTCTAGGGTTTTAGGATTGAGGGTTTGGGATCTTAGGGTGTATTGTTTTGGAAGCAGGAATAACGGTTCCGCAGTTGTTGAGGCCACAACTTGAGGCATTTACCATATGTATATGTATATGGATATATGTATATTATATTATATATATATATATGTATAATATGTATTATATATATGTATTCTATACATATATGTTTGTGTGTGTCTGTGCTGTGCGTGTGTGATTCTGTGATATTATATGATAGAATTGTTGTATCCTTGGCTTCCATGGCAGTGCCTCGTCTGTCACAGTCCCATGGCAATAGGCCAGTCCAAGGGTCCTTCGAGAAAATCAAGCGTGGAACTTGAAGACCGGCAAGAACTTTTGCACGTGGTACGTTGGTGGCACAAACCATGCTGTCCACAACATGAAGAACACTGCATCTTTGGAAATATCAGTCTCTAAGGTAAGAAGCAAATCTCAATCATCTCCAGCTTCTGAATCTCTTTGACTTTGTCTGTGAGCCCCTTGGATGGTTCCGAATTTGTGGCTCTGAGTGGCTCTGAGTGGAACTGGTTGTCAGTTTTCTCTTCTCTGGTCTTGTGCGAGAAGCTTCGTTCAAAGCATGGCTGATTAAAACTTAAGAATTGGAACTATATATTTGGACAACAATATGATTCGCTGTCATACTGAAAAAAGAAGAAAACATACAGTAGCACCTCATGCTTTAGTTGCTGGAGGAATGGAAACTGCACAAGTCGTCGTGCCGCTTTTGTCAAGAGACCCCGCTTTGAGTTTTTTTCACTTGAACACGAACACACGCGCACACAGACACACACGCAAAGACTTACCCTTCCACTTGGGGTGGGGTGAGGGGTTGCGGTAGCCATCCGCCGAAACGCGAGTTTCGAAAGCATAGCAACCCAGTTCCGGGGAGATCGTCTGGCAGTGTCACCGGGTGGTTCCATAGCATTGCGATAGCATTGTATCGTGCTTGTACAGCATTCTGATTGAGGACATGAAATCAACCAACCATAGTCAAATATTTCCAGTAGCAAAGACATGTCCAATAAGCTGGTATTTCAGGAGAGGTCGTCGAACTGCTGTTGATTTTGCCGTTAGACTCAGAGAAAGCTTGTCCAAGATCAAGACCACTAAATGCATGTGTGCGAAAAGAATGTGTGCTGTGCTTGTGATGAAAGCGCAAAATCTGACAATCATCTTCGCAGCAAAAAAATCGATGCATGAACATCAGTGATGTGCTGGTAAACCCACCTACTTTGGGAAACATGCCAACTATTTCTTCCATATGCCAGCAGAGCACAGTCGGAATCCACCTCTCTGTCCGTCCTCAGGTAGGGAGCTCCTTTGAGGACATATCCCATCAATCCCTGGCGGTCTCATTGCGAAGTACCAGATTAACATCTTGACATGTACAGCAAGGGAAGGTACAATCAGCGTTTTGAGATAATTGTGTTAGTCACTATTACAATTATAATCTTACATTGTAGTGTTTGATTGAGAATAGAACATCATTGTAGTGTTAACTATATTTAAATTATAATGATCGGTTTAACATATTATAAATTATAACCATCTTCGTAATCATTACAGTGCGTTTTCTTAATGTTTAAGATGCGTTTCCTGCCTCTGCCGTGATCTGGCCGCACTTCCCTACTGACAGCTCACGAAGACCCAAAAGACCCGCGAGCGGTGGCTTCCACCTCGGCGCAAATTGCGGCGCGCAGAAAAGTGGGACTTTGTCAGACTTAAATTCTCTGATCAAATGCCACTATGATTTATATATGCTACATATTAATATATACTATATATATACGTATATAAACTACGTATATCTACGTATATACTATACTATAATTGTATACTATATTATAATATAGTACAGCTGGACCCTGCCCTTCTGCGCCTTGTAAGCCTTACATCTTGTGCAAAACATGACAAATCAAGCTAGCATCAAATTGGTGCTGGGTGTGGGTTTGGAGGCTACTCACCTTCTGCCAAACATACAGCCAACTTCTGTGGTTCAAACTCCTCGTACTCCTTGACTGATCACATTTTTTCATATTCGTCGTTTAGTCTTTTCACCCTGAAGACCTTGATCCATTCTGTCTCTCGTCGTCTGCAGCCTACCTTCAAAGTACTGATATGACGCATCATGGCTACCGTGTAACCTGGAAAGGCCTGGTTCGTTCCTGGACCTCTGGCCTGAAGATCCGCTGGCCCAGATCCAATGTCTTGTCTCATATATATCTAAAAGACCCAGGTTTTTCTGTCTTATTTCAATATATTTTAATATCCTGATATATCCTGTACTTTCACAGTCATTGTCTTGGGCTCGGAGTGTGCGGTCTTCAGGTCTTAGGCGCATCACTTTCGAAGGGGTCTCACTGAGAAGACTAAGGTGACTAAGGGCAAGTGCTTCAAGTGCTTTGGAAGTGCTTTGGTGCTTCCTGGAGCCCGAGGCGTGTGCAGCGCCGGAGCAAATGCGCTGTCCGAAATTCGAGGGCAACCGTCCAGGCGCAAAACTTCCAATCTCTCACAGTGCTGAAGGACCTTGACACAACAGCCCTTATGATTCTTATGACTTTCATGTTATTGAACGAGTGCTTAACCCAATGAGAGAAGATCCATCACAGGGTGTACACTGTGTTCACCTTTCATGGATCTTCTCTCAGTAGGTCGGACGGACTATTCCATTCACTAGCTGTTGCGAATGTAAATGCGATGCGCACAAGTGTGAGCACTGAGCCTTTGACGTCTCTGACGATTTTGTTGTCAATCTGTTGACAAGTCCGCACATCGAGTACACAAAGGTTTGGGCAAGAACGTCCTATGGTGCTCAACACCTCAGCATCGGCAAAGAGACAACGACAATCTTAAGGCGATATAGTTAGATATGAACATGTATGCCTTTATTTCATATGTATGCACAAATATATATATATAATATATATAATAATAGATGTAATAATAGATGTAATAATATATGTAATAATATATGTAATAATATATGTAATAATATATGTAATAATATATGTAATAATATATGTAATAATATATGTAACAATATATGTACTAATATATGTAATAATATATGTAATAATATATGTAATAATATATGTGATAATATATGTAATGATATATGTAATAATATATGTAATAATATATGTAATAATATATGTAATAATATATGTATGTGTATGTGTTTTTATGTATTATAGTATGTCCAATGTGTATGTATGTATGTATGTATGTATGTATGTATGTATGTATGTATGTATGTATGTATGTATGTATGTATGTATGTATGTATGTATGTGTGCATGCATGTATGTATGTATGTATGTATGTATGTATGTATGTATGTGTGTGTATGTGTATACATATATATATACATTGTTTTCTTATATACATACATACACATGATTATATCACATATATATATATATATGTATATATATATGTATGATGTGTGTGTGTGTTGACAGCAGGTAAAGTCGTGCGCTCTTCACAGCTCAAAGCGAACCTGGCACTGCAACAGCAAAGTTCCTCAAACAAGATTCTCAAAGTTTAAGGCAAAAACGCAGCGTCGCAGTTGAGATGCACCCTCCAGACCCAATTTGTGAGTCTGTCGGGTTAAGGCGTAAGGTAGAACCTGTGCAGTGCGGGAACTCTCGAAGTTGCACAGTCCATGACCTTGCTACAACACAACAGAAACATATTCCACAAAGTGAATCAAATATATTCCTGCCACAGTAACGTTGTCATTCAGGGCGTTTTTCGCAACCAGAATGTCCAACAGCTCCTTCAAAAGACATTTGCATGCCAAGCCATTTCTGCCAAATTGCTTCGATCTATGCTTCTACAGGTCATGTCATGTGGATTCATATGGTATGGTATGGCTCTACCACACTGTCCTCCAACGCTCTCCTAGGCAAGGCTGATAGCGTGGCATAGCGTACCTTGATTTCAAGTTGGAGAATGACAAAGCAAAGGAGGTTACACTCTTTGCTGCAAAATATCACATGGTGATGTCACTGTGAGAAAAAGATATTCAAACCCTTGAAAGATCTTAAAAGATTTGTTATTGGAAACTTGTTTTGATCTTTTAAGCATCGCTTCTGAGCTTCAAACTCTTTTCGGCCCATACTTGATCAGGTTTTGTGCCAGCTTCTGGACCTCTTAGCGTAAGGTATGCTCGCTACGCAACTCATGTATCAGATGCATCCACAAGGGGCAACCAATGGGCAGGTCACTAAGAGTCACTAAGGTAGGCGCACAAAGAGCTAGGAGAGATGGAGGAGAATGAATCTCGTGAAGCGCACGTTGCATAGAGCGATTTCCAACCTTTCAGCTGTGGAGATGTCTTTGGAGACTTTGCAAAGAAATGATGAGAAAAGTTTTGCGACTGCGGTGAAACCACCCTCAGGATGCTCTGAAGACAGCCGGAACTTCACACATGGATGAAACATGATGGAACCAAAAGCAAACCCAAACGACCCAAAGCATCCAAGGCTTTTCACACATTTTCACACCATGTCTGAATGCACCAGGTGCATCCAGGGTTTCACGATCCAGGGAGTCATCCAGGTCATCTCTTACAGATCGGCCTGGTGTCCCAAGGCATGGCAGCGTGGCTAAAGTAAAGCCATGGCCGCCATGGCACTTTGTAAGGCCTTCGTTCTACGTGGACTCCACAAAATTCAAGGCGTCCTGGGTCCCACTTAACCAACAAAACATGTGGCCTTGGTCGTTCGTGCAACTTACCAAGCTCAGTAGATGTCTTGCAGAAACGTATGATGCAAAGCGTTGCTCTTTGCTGAAAAAGCCATTGCTTCCCACGGTATCTTGGAAGCAGCTGGCTGCAGGGTCTGGCCCAAGAGTGTGTGCTGCAGAATGCTAGTCTTGCTATTTGACAGGATGGATATGACCCGCCGTCTTTTCTTGTTCACGCTTTCTACATGCCAATGTATTGTGGTGTATCTTGAAATATCTTGAAGCTTGTTACGCTGCGTGGAGCACACGTCGCAAAAGTTTCAAGTTGGGAAAGCTGCAGGCTTTGCAAAGGATCTGCCATCACATTTACCAGCCTCACAATCGTTCTAAATCATTATAATCATTAAAGGACAAGAAAACTCAACCATGTGACGGTGTTTTTGTCAGTGAGTATCCCCATGTCCTCCATTTTAAACTCGTTCTTGTTGTCTGTTTTCATATGTTGTTATCCCATGTTATCCCTATCTCCCCCCACTTGAAGCATGTCACACATCGACGTTCAGTCCGAAGCATGTCGTTTTCTCACGCTTACATCTCCGTAGCATCCTTCATCTCACCAGGCTGAAGCCACACTTGGCTGTCCTTCCAACTAGCGGGTGAAGCATGGTGAACCATGATGAACCCGGTAGTAACAGACATAGACAAAGAAGCAGCAACGCAGCAACATGTAGCAACTACACGGAACTGCCATCATGGTCAACCATCCTTTGCAAGAAGGAAATGCTAAAGCCTTTGTCTCTCCTTCATGTTGAGCACAAGTCGATCTGCCTATCACCAGCAAGAGTGACTTGCCAATTTCTCAAAACAATTCATGCTTGAGACAAATTAAGATAATTAAAACGCAATCTGTCCAGTTTTGACACAACATCACCGGGAAGAGTGCCTGAAAGAGCAAGTCCTGACCTCGTGCCATGCGGAAGCAAGGATATGCAAGGGTCAAACCAGGCGATTCGAAGGCTGATACTTTGGGTTGTCTAGGTGTTCGAAAACGGACGGCAAAAGTACACAAGGACAACACGCAAGCCGGTACGAAATTCAAGTGCAAGCAAAAATGTCACTTGGTGGGTCCAAGGGATGGACATGTTGCCTGTAGCGGGTACTGGTATTTCCTTTTCTGCAATTAGCGATGTGCGGCATTTCTCCACAAAACATATACATCTTCCGCACGTTGAGGCATGCACCAATAATTGCTGCCGCACCCGTGAAGGGGCCGATCTTGGAATCTGCAAGAACCTTGCGTTTTTGAGAGAAGAATTCAACTTGAATTTTGAGGCGCAAGTTCATTGAGCCGCGCACGGAAAGTGATAGCGGGTTGCCTATCGCCACCTGTGGCTGCAAATGATCTAAAAGAATTCAGAAATATTCAGAATACACAATGTAATCAGTGTAATCAGATGACCTTGTCAGAACATATTCCAAGGACGAAGCATTGACAGCGCCAAACTCAATACAAACGTCTCCACCGGAAAGGTCCTACGCAAACAATTCCAGATTGCGACAACATGCAAAGCACAAGGCAAAACGTTGGGAATACCATGGCTGCCCTAGGAGATGGCAACGTCACATTGGTCACAATTCTCACGACAACTGTCCTCAAAATACCAACCTCAAGAAAGAAGTGCATGAAACGGCCAGCAAATCAAGAGAACGAGAACAAGGTTATCTCGGAAATGTTGTAGCGTGTTCTACCATGTTTGGACGCAATACGCACTTCACAGCCTCTGGGTTGCACCAATCACGCAACCCATATTTTCCAGCAAGAATTGTGGCCAAGGCGGTGAGATGCTAAGGGCCTTGCCCTTGCCACCAGTGGACTCCCATTCTTCCTCACGGTGGATCCAGAATCCAAGGCAGAATGAGAACGACCAGCTGCAGCTACGATAGGTGAAGGAAAGGAGGGAAGACATATCTTATATAAGGCAACCAGCTGCAAGAAGAAGCAGCTTGAATCCAACTGGAGAAAGGAACACCACCGCCTGGAAGCAACATGCTGAGTTGGGAGCCTTTGTCACAGAAAGCAGCATTGGCTTTACCTCACCATCGATCAGCCCAGCTTGCGTAGCAAAATAGCACAGCTACCGCCAGGGGTCTTTTACGAAAACGAGTGATGAAACTTGCACAGCTCATCTTAGCTGGAAACTCCTTCTGGTGCACTACACAAGCTCAGACGAGCTAGAGTCACAGGCATCTCCTGGACCATGTCACATCTCTGAACTGATTCAAATCCCACATATCGCATCTGAACACAGAGCGTAACGCAACATAAAAGGCAACATGATGCAACACGTGATGCAACCGCCTCTGCGCTTCCATCCGCCGAGGCCGCCAACACCTGCCAGGTCTACAGAACGGAAGTTGGAAAATCATGACTCAGTGACTTTCTACATCTTTCATCATCTTTCTACAGTTCTAAGATGTTCCAAGAATTCTAAGGACTTGTTGTTGCTATTGGCCTTGGCTGCAGCTGCCAAACGCGGGTCACTTGGACCTGCGAAGCCCAGCAGCTTTGCTGCCTCCCAATTCAGCACCTTATTTGGCGGAAAGAATTCAGCTACTTCAGGAGATGCCAACTGTGGCATGACGTTGGAGTGGTATTGACTAGGCATCTGAAACAGAGGGATTTTGAATCCAATGGTTGTTTTTTTATTGAGAGTTGTCACCAGTTCTTGCACATAAATATATACCATGTGAAGGATTGTGAAGGTTGCCTCCATCATGTTTTCTTTCTCAATCGTAGTGGTCCACGAGAAGTGCTAGAGCTCGGTCGAATCCAAGCATTTGCCAAGCCGCAGTGTGCGCAGCACTGCTGTCCACCAGGCCAATAAATGCGAAGTCGCTCTCCTCATTGTCTTCGCCTGCCTGTCAGAGCCGATCGGTTTGTGACAGTTGTTGTTGCCAAGTTGCGCTCCAGAAACTTCACAAATTTCGAAATGTTCAAATCTTTTGAAACCCTTATCTTGGCTTGGCCTGGCCTCACCAACAGCTTTTCCTTTCACTGCCAAGCCAAGGTTGCCCGCAGGTAACTCGATACCAGGAAGATGCTTCACACCACTGTAAAAGCCTGCAGACTTTTTTTGAAGTTCTGAGCTGAACCTTGGAGCCTTGGTTTGGTCACTTGGCGCTTGATTTGCTAAGTTCCACTCACTTCCGTGTAAGATGTCAACAAAGCTTTCACGACTCTGCGGATGGAATCTGATCAGTGTCATTGTGCCTGTTCTTTGGCCACTTGGAACATCGACAACATTTCTGCACCTTGAGTAGAAGCCTCTCCAGGCAGGTATAGCTCTGCGCGGGCCCTGTAGCGGTCCAGGTCCTCGGTCACCATATTTGGTGGTTCATGGTGGTACCATCCTTCACCATGCACAATTCAACCCTGTTCTGCCATGAGAGTTGAACGGCTTTTGAAGGCTATATGACTGTGGAAACACTCTGAAAATTCCTGTGAAGGAGAATGACTAAGAGACCATCCAAGTCATACTGCTTGAAAAAGGGCTGGCCTGAGCCGAGCAAGAGAACAGTCTGTGAACTCTTTTAAATCCAGTGGAGACACATGGTGACCCATTCTGCACTCCTTTTTTTAAATCCCGCGTCCACTCTGGAGCTTCTACTGAGACACGTCAAACATATCAAGTCTTCTGCAAACGTCCAAATAAAAAACCTACGGTTCCCATGCTTCTGTTTTGGTTCTTTTTGTACTATTGTGTCTAAATGCAAGTCCTGCAAGTCCTGCAAGTCCTGCAAGTCCTGCAAGTCCTCCTCTGACTTCCTAAGTCTCTTTCTTGTACCCTTCAATGCTTCAATGCCCGATGCACTGGGACATTGGCCCAAAATACCGTGAACCTCGATCCCAAGCTGCTCTGCCAGCATTGCCTTGAAACATCCCCAAGGCCCAAGACTCATCCGGTTTCCCGGCAGTATCTTGCTCAGGGATTAGAAAAGTACCACCATTCAAGTGAAGCTGTAACACATCCCCCAATATAAATATCTGATCATATGTGCGCATGTATACAGTATATTACATTTTGTGCATGCGTGTGTATAGTATGTATACACTATACATTGTGTTGAAATATGCATACTTATATGGATTACAGTTTAAATGTATGTAATGTATGTAAATTATATGTTAATGTGTATATATATATAATGATGAAAATAATGATTATAATTTATAGACATAACAATAAATAATTAATGGTAAAAACAATACTAATGATTATTATATTATATGTATATATATATATATTATATATTCACTACCCTTTTCTAATTTAACATAGCTATCGCAATGGATAAAATTGTCCATTTACAAATGATTTATCTACAGAAACTGCTGATGTTCAATACCTATATCAAGTTGCCAGGGGGTAGGTATTATATCAACAAAACATAACAAAACCAATGGATGTACCTGAGGGAAGCACCTGGGGGAAATCCATGACGCTGCAGTCAGGTAGGTCTGCGATTGTGGTTCCTGCACAAAATTTGTAAGCTGGACCCAAAATTGCAGCTCAGCCCGTCAGTCTCAATTTTGCGCCTGTTTCAAGAAATCGGACGTTCGTCAGGTCGACTTTGTTCTGCACCTTTCAGCCGTGCTCGCTGCCTACTTGTCTTGGACACCCGTCTCACTTTATTTCAGAGAGTTTTCAGTACAGATTGGCATATCAACAATCACCCTCACAGATTCCTTGTGTTCTCAGTTAGTCCCAAGTTCAAAAAAGCACCTCTGCTTGGGAGAGCCAGCCACCTTTAAAGTCTGAACCTTAGAACTTTACTAACTTTACCGACTTTACCCAATGAAATCAGCATTGAGTGAGAATTCAAAGTGCCAGGCTCTCAACGTCCAGCAATGCCCTCCCTCTGGTTGTCAAGGCATTGCATGGAAAGCCTGGCTGTTGTCTCGCAATGAGACGTGCAAGGTGGAAAGCTTCAGCAACTTGGTTGTAAGACGTGATCTTCGCATTAAATCCCGCTACGTGACGTCTTGCAATCTGAACCATGACATTTTGAACCCACATGTCTGAGAGTCTATGAGAAATTACTGCACTGATACTGGATACTGTCAAACCGGATATATACTTGGTGTCCGTCAGGCAACCGTGGCTTTGAAGAGTGTTTGATCTTTAAAAAATACCGAAAGGGCAACAATGAAGACTGTTTGATCTAAGCAAAAATGTGCCCGAAGGGCAACAATGCTCTAATTGATCTGCTTAAGCAAGAATCATATCTAGTCAAGAGTCAAAATCTATTTTAATGCTGGTTTCACTCTTAGCTTCCTTCCATCAACATGCACTCTGAGCCGTTACAAGACGTCTATGAATCCTGAGGCATCAATTGAAAGTGATCGTGATCAATGTTGTCAACAGGGATGACAATTATCCTCTGGTAATCTGTAATCAAACATGGCTTGCTGGACCATTGCCAAGCATAAATGTGAGAGGCTGCAGCCTAAATTCGCAGCAACAAGCAAGACATTTCTACGCAAGAATGCCAGGAAAAAGTGTGACGAAAAGAACAAGCTAAGCAAATCATTGTTCAAGTTCAATAGCTGTTTCCTGGCCACATCCTTATTATGCATCTACAGCAATCAACAAGTAGAATAGGGTGTGGTCATACGCCTTTCTTGACAAACAGAGTTTGCTCTTGATGCCCTGCTCAGTTCTATCTTCAAATCGTTCAAACCGCTGTGAATTTTGATGAATTGTGTAAGTCGGTGTTCAGGGCGTGTCAATTTTGTCTTTTCCTAGCTGGGGGCACTTTGAGGATAGAATGCCCAAAGTTGCAGAAATTTTGCCATTGAACTGATGACAACGTAGCCGAAGAAATCTCAAGTAGGAAGTCGTCTTAGGGTTTGTCAAAGGAAGCAACGAAGACGGCTTGAGTCTTTTGATGTCTTTTGATGTCTTTTGGCATTTGCAAGCACTTTGCAGTTAGTTTTCCACGCAAGTGCGATCCCCCTTGGATTTATAATATTTTATAATTGCTGGATGCCCCCTGAATCGCGTATCGGGTATCAAGACTCATGGCATGCTGTTCCTAAACGACGACACGCTCACACACATGGCATACCCTGGCATCAGCTTTCTAGGCCAAGCACGTCTTGTCAGCTGCGAGTCGAACAAATTCGAACCCGGCACCAAGTATCTCATCAGGCAACCTGGCGGTCTCTGGCACTGGGTCTACAGCTACCAGTAGAAATCAGGGCCGAGGTGGGCAGTTGGTTTACAGCGAGCTTCGCTTCTGTTCACACTCCTTGCCTTGCCGTCTCCACCTCCCATGCTTGACAGCACAGAAACATTTCCATGTCTGTGCTTGGGCTTGTTGGGCTTGTTGGGCTTGTTGGCAAATTGGTTGAAAATGTTTGAAAGTGGTTGAAACATGTCCACAACTCTTGGGCCTTCGTGGCTCCGATTGCCACAGCTGGAACCAAGGGTTTGGCTTCAACCTGGCGGTCAGCAGAATGTTAGCTCTCGCCGACAAACCACACAATGTTTACGATAGACCAGTTGAGTCGATGCAATTGCAAATCCTTAAAGAAGCACCTCAGAAGTCTCTTGAAGTTCTTCTTTCAAAGCCGACTCTTCTTCCGCAGGATCTGTTTGGGAGTCTGCGCTATCCTTGGCAGTTTTGCGAGGTTCCTGTTTTGAACCCTCAGTGGCTGCCACTGGTGGTGCTTCTTTCGTAGGCTTAGGTGGTGCTGCTGCCTTCGCTGACTGGGGTGGTTGTGAGGCTGCGGATGGTGGTGGTGCTGCTTTCGCTGGCTGGGGTGGTTGTGAGGCTGCGGATGGTGGCGGCGCTGCCTTTGCTGGCTGTGGTGGTTGTGAGGCTGCAGATGGTGGTGGTGCTGCTTTCGCTGGCTGGGGTGGTTGTGAGGCTGCGGATGGTGGCGGTGCTGCCTTTGCTGGCTGGGGTGGTTGTGAGGCTGCAGACGGTGCGGGAGGTCTTGAGCTGCCGCCTGCCACTGGTGGTGGTGCAGCACCCACTTTCAACACCTTCACAAGAATCACAGGCTTGCGCTGCTAAGTTGAAAAGTCAAAGACATGGAAGCAGATCTACATATCCAATATGTTCCAATCATGCACACGCAAAACACACCTGTAGATCCTGCCTCAATGGGCTCGATGATGGGCTTGCCAAGCCAACGCCCTGCGATGCCCTTGGAACTTTGAAACTGGAAAGAGCTTTCTTTCATTGTGATGAAACGTCCCTATCGTCCCTTTTCGGAACTAACAAACCCTGCAGGCCTGGTCAAAGACCCAGCCTCCGCCAACCTTTAAGAAACCTGTCCGGAGCTTTGGGGGTCAGCGTTTTGGTGCGTCAAACCTGCAGCATCCGGTGCCTGGGCTCCCAGGGCTTTCAGAAACCACTGCCTTCAGGTCTAGCGCCAGAGATGCGAAGGACAGCACGTGACACCACGTGAATCGTCAAACACCATATGATGCTCCACAGTGACACCACATCGCCTGCGAAGCCTCAAATTCCTCCCCTGCAATGATGGTCTCACCTGTGGCTGGAGCTGGAAATCGCACAGCGCAAGATGTTGGTCTCGACGGTCTCGCCTGTTGGTTCTGATGCCACATCCGGTTCCTGCAGTCAACGGAATGTCAAGCACCAAAGACCTGTTGACCTTGCAAAATTTAGTCATTTCGTCAGAATCTCACAGAAAGTGCGATCTCCTTGCGGAGGCGGATTTTTGTCAAAGCCCGATACCTGGCCAAAGGTATCATGGACTCATGGACTCATGAAGCATCAAAAGACACGACATGACACGATGCAAAATGAATGCAAAATTTGAATAAAATGAAATTAAAATGAATCAAATAATTTCAAATAAATATGAACCAATATGAACCAATATGAACCACGCGAAGCAAACACAGCGTGACATTCTCTCTTGGAGTTCTGCATCTTGGAGCCGTGCTTGCCAGGGCGAAGAGCAGCCAATGCTGGGCACGATACAAGCTTCAAATGATTTCAAATGCTCACAAAAATTACACCAAATGTCTATGTTGAGACAAGTCAGTTGAATTCAGTTGATTTGATTTGTAAGTCCAACAGAATGGCATAGAATGGCACTATACCTGGCCTGTTGCAGATCTTCTTGACCTGTCCCAGGCAAACGGTATCGCATGGTATCATGGCAAGCAGCAAATTGCAGTCCCCTCGCATGGTATCACGGATGAAGCCTCAACGGAAAGGCTCTGTGCGGCATTTGGAAGCCTGCCATCCAGGCCAGCCATGAGCCGAAATTGCCAAGGATCGAAAGAAATGTCCAACGCTGAAACCTAGGCCTTGGGGCTGGGAACCTTGAGGTCCAAGTATCTGAACAGCACAAATGACCTCAAAATGGACAGGATTGAATGACAAGTACTTCCAAATCTATGTTGTCACGTTTTCTACAGCTTCTCTTGTTGTTGCCTGTCTTGGTAAGGCTGTGACAACTACAAGAAGCGAATACGGAAGAACCTCAGCAAATTAGCAATCAATGTTCGAAAAATGGGGAGGATCCCCGTCCTGTTTGCTGTACCGTTTTTGCTTCCACTGTGGAATGAAGCAAACCTACTTCACGCATCCTGACTTCAAAAGTACAACAGCAAAGTCTGAGAACTAAGGCCATGTCTCTCCTGCGAAGCTTTGCACAAGGAGTCTTTCCAACATCTTTTGCCTTATTACGAAGCGGATATTAACTTCGGCGTGACTTCAAGAACCACTCTTGGCGTGGGAGTTGTCAAAAGCTGCAGACGAGACACACACACGCTAGGTCTAGCCATGCCTAGCCAAATGACAACTTGGCTTTGCAAGTTCGAACTGTTCTAACATGCAGCCCCTGTTGGGCTCAAGCATACAATGGAGCTGCAAACAGTACTTTCCAATTCTCTTTATGTGTACACATTGATATATACCTACATATGTATATTATATATATATAAACATATGCATTTATGTACATTGGATGTACATAGATCTATCTTTGCAGATATTATATATATAGATGGACAGACTGGTGCGCCAGCGTGTAATGGTGCTATATCATATAACGACATCGTTGGAATATGCATGAGTATGCCATGTACTGTCACGTATGTAAACACGGTGTCTGGCTGAAACACAAGGCATACCATTGTGGTCGCAGTTCGCAACACTGTCTATGCTGGATCCAAGCTGCGGGCAGGCCTATTCAACAAGTCTGATCGCATCAAACAACATGCCTTTCCAATGCTTCAGCGCAGAAACTTGTGAGAGACTGTAGATCTGTAGATGTGAAAAGATGTTTCAAACGTACTGTTTTTAACGAATCCTCAGAGGCGCTTGACGTCCGTCTGAGCATTGAATCGCTGTCACTCCTGCTGCCTTTGGCAGAGTCAGGAATTTCGAACGTTAGCTCCACCACTCCATCCATCCTGCCGGAACTGCGGGACTGCAGTGAGTCAGGAAACCAATGAAACCATTGATATCAACATCATGTGATGTAATGTGACGTGATGTCATGTCATGCGATGTGACATGAGGTGAGGTGAGGTAATGTTATATGTAATGACGTGTGATGATGTATATGGTGAAATGTGCGTTAAGAACCATCCTGCACAGGGTTGCAAATTGCATCTCCACTTGCTGAATCATTCACCAAGGAGCACATATTGTGGTGCAGACCTGGATTTTACATGATTTTACCAAGTCCGTCATTCTTGGACACGAAGCTTTCAATTTTCAGTTTGCAACACATGTTTGACACGCCCGCTTGCGACTGCACCCTCACCAACAGTGGTCCAAATGCAAAGGCTGCGTTCAATCTGTGCGCCCGGGCGCAGGCAACATTGGAAGAGTTTGGAACTTAGAAACGCATGATGCAATTTATTTATGTATGCACACATGTACATTGCATCACATCACCTTACTTTATGTTACATTGCATTGCATTGGACTGCATTGCATTACACTGTTGCATTGCATTGCATTGCATTGCGTTGCATTGCGGTACACTACATATATATATATACATTAATATATAAGCTAATTTCCTTGTATTCAGGTGTCATCTCTTTTCATTCGGGTGTCAATATCTTCAGTCTCAACATGTGGGAAAGGGGGAAGCTGCCCGATTTTGATCAAATCCGTAGCCATATTCTGACGTCCATATGGATGCCCGTATGGATGAGCTTGCGAGGCTGGGTTCTGGTTTTAATGGATTCAACTATGGTCATAAGCATGATCAAATCCCAGTCCACCCCAGAGGCTGGCATGGGCTCCTAACACTCTGAGTTCAAACCGCGCACCTTTCTCGCTTGCTTCGGGCAAACTCTGAGCACTTACTATTGATTGCTTCAGCTGGCAGCACACAGCACTTCGATTTCTCTAAGCCTTCTATGGCCTTCTATCATCTTTTAGTTCCTTACCTTCTTACTGCCTATGATGGTTGCCTAAGTCTATAGCTGTTTGCTTTCTTGTACATGCAAGTCTCTGATTTGAATTGCCCAGTGATAAAATATTATATTGAACTGGAGAATGGAAACTTTGTTGTCCATCTTTATGCGAAGCCAGGTGCATTAGACCCAAAGCTGGGACATGCCGGGACCTCAATGGTCCAGGATGAATGGAACGTAGGATAGACAGTGTTTCTGGTGGATATGAGACTTAACCATCTAATAATGGATATGAACCGTGGATATCCCATGCTGATTCGATTTTGCAACTCCTTTGAAACCTATTGGTTGGAATGAAGAAAGTGAGGCAGGTAGTTTCACAATTTGTGATCGTGCTGAGGAGTTTCGACCAATGCAAATGCTCATAGCCAACTTTTGGCCCATACCCATGTCAAACATGTCGAAATGTCAGGTTTGTTTGGTTTTGAAACTGTTCCAAGTCTCAAGCACTTTCAGAATCATGGCTGCATAGTCATCAGAAGATCAAACAAGTAATATGGTAAGTTGTTGCCAATTTTTCCTCTTGTATCAAATACTGCAACCGGTAACACTTCCATTTTCCTGTGATACCAGCCATTGTGCGTATGGGTTGGATTGCTTCACTGGTTTGCTGCGTTGCTGCCTGAACGTGACAACATGCCGGCCGCCTCAAGCCAGTCTGGCCCTTGGAGTTTCGAATTCTCTTTTAACCAAGAAAATAATTCAATAATTGGATTTGCCAAAGCAACAATGTGTCTAATGTTTGAAACACCATCTGTCCTGCCCAAAAAACGGACACCACCAAAGACAGAAACATTGCTATACTATCATGTGTTCCAAGAAGTATCAAGAAGTGAAATGCGTCGTGTTTGGACTGACTTGTTTCCTTGCTTCTGGGCAAGGTCTGCACGCTGCTTCAGCTCACACCACAGCCATTGATCGTCCTGGCAGGGGCCCCAGGTACAGACATATCCTACGTCATATGCCATGTTCTAATCATAATTACTCATGCAAGCGGAGCGGAATTATCATGCTCGCAAAACCATGAATCTACTACTTGGCTGGGATAGCTTTTAGCCCGAGCAATCAAGCCAAATCACAAAATATAGGCACCAGTCCTTGCTGACAAGGATTTCATCCGCTGGAGAAAGGTCCCGGCCTGAGCAGAAATGATCAGTAAATCCGTTGTTCCTTGTTGTCAGCTGTTTGCCTGTCTTTGGTTTGGAAATTGAGATATTAGTAGCGATGTTTTCCCTTTTTTTGGCACGGGCAACATACGACAAATATATGACAAATATTAGATACTTCAATTTAAGGCTTTTTTTTGGTTAGCTGATGTCTGCATAAGGCTCGGGAGCTTAAGGCCTATGTCAGATGCACGGAAGAGGCTTCATTGCTTTTTGGTTTCATCGTCAAAGCTTGTCTCGTTTTCCACTTCTTCAAGTCGATGCTGGTAGTGATAGTGACAACTTCTAGCATTTCAGAAAGTGATATAACATGATTTATCTTGACAGTGAAAGTGACAACTTCTAGCATGTCAGAAAGTGATATATATAACATGATTTATCTTGACAGTGAAAGTGACAACTTCTAGCATTTCAGAAAGTGATATAACATGATTTATCTTGACGTCAGGTATCTACAGTCCTTAGCCTCTTCAACCAGCAGTTCTGCCTTGCCTTCCGGCAGTCAGTCTGTTGCTCACAATGGCGTTGTACAACAGTCTGAACCAGCTTGTGCAGACAAACCATCACTGAAAAAGCACCGCGTTGACATTAACCTTGAGACTTTGATAGACTTCCAGAACTTGCAACGTGTGGCTGGCCCTTCTCAGAACCGGTCTGAGCCAGTGAATTTTCGTAAGAGACCCAACTACGACAACAGTGGCAGGGCGCTCAGGATGAAGCAATACGCAAGAACCCCGTCACTTGTAGAACCATAAGTCCGATATCGATTTGGAGTTTTTGGATTTATTTTGGTTTGACGTTTTCAGGCACAATGTAGTAGGCAGACATGTTTTCACTTTCAATCCCTTCATGATATTCATGCTGGATGTCAGGCATTCTGAAAACGGCCCAGCTGCAGCAAGAGTTCATCGCTTGCTGGCATCGAATTGCAGGTGTCCAAGGCGAATATGCTTTGCCAAGTTCAAGGGCTTAGTGGAAGAGCTCTTGAGGTTTCTGACAATGTTTTGGAATATGTCCAGTGCTGTCCAAGATGCTTTCGTATCTTGATTCAAATGTTTCAAAGAAGTTTTGCTGTTGCTGTTCCTGTTGGCTTCATAGGATTCAGTGAGCCAAAAGTTTGTGGACCCCACAACATCTACTAATTATTCACACTTGGAAGATGCTATCCGTCGCCTGCTGAGGTGGTGTATGCTGCTGGTGGCACGGGCAGCACGGGTTCCACCAAAAGGTGTTGGTACTTCTTAAAGAAAGTTGTGTCACCAACTTGCTTGGTAGCATTGCTCGGGGTTGGGAATGGCAGATTGAATCGGGTTCTGCACCATAGACCTGACCGCCGGAGGTCTCTGGGATTGGAACCTTGCCCCTACTGGTCCTAGGTTTGCGTTTCATTGGTCTCCAAACACATCGGCTTGGAGTTGGTCCACCTGGCCTTTTGCACTAGATAGTTCGGGTGAAAAAGAATTACCATAATATATTACCATCATCATGTTTATGCTAGTTTTGTCCCCGAATCAAATGGACCTAAGGACACAAAAAGGATAGCAAAAAAACGCCGGGCCATAAACACCTTCCTGCTGAATCTGTACAGCAAGGCTGCAGGGATGCTCCCAACGCAGTCGCTGGATTTCAAATAATTTTCCCAATGAGTACGGTTAGATTTGTTTCCCATTGATCCCTTAAAATGGCCAATCTCTTTAAGATGCTGTTCTTGTCAGTCTCAGCTCGCTGCCTTGCAAGGTTCCAACGAGCAGGGCGCATGAGATCCAGCTCGAAGGGCAAGCCTCAACCTGAGAAGTTTTCTGTCTCTTTTGACAACCGGGACGAGTTGAGTTCACAAAGCGAGGAGAGCGATGATGGGATTGAAGGGGATGAAAGCCTTTTGGAAGTTGGGTGTGAAGCATTAGAACGTGACGAGGAGATACGTCTTCATGTGATGGGATTGTCATCCTACTGGACACTGGTGGTCGAATCCAATTGGGCTTCAAATCTGAAAGAGCTCCCAACACGCTACCTTCCACCTGGCAGCATTAGAATGCTTTACCAACAAATGTCATCAGAGAACAATGGAGGCTTGAACATCAGCTACCAAACATTTTGGAAAACCTTCAGGGAGTACTGGGGGAAGCAGCTTCGCTTTCTGCCCCCCAGCACCCATGGAACATGCGATTCTTGCTGCGCCTTCAAATCTGAATTTAAGGCCTGCCGGGATCCACAGGCTATGTTTGAAATTTCAAAACATTACAAGATGCACTTGGACCAGGTGTCGGCTGACCGAGATTTGGAAGAATATTTGCAGGTGCAAGACCCCCTGCGCAGACCTGGTGCAGCCCTCGCAGTGCACTGGGAAACTACAAAGCATTTGGAAATTGCAAAGCATTTTTCACTCCTTTAATTTCTATAATAAGTGCTGATGGTGTCCAAATAAAACTGCCCCACAGTGAATGCATGAAATTGAGATCCTGGAAAATTCCAGCACCCAGGATGGCATGGATCAGGCCAAGTGGCGCGTCCCAAGGTGGCATGGCCAAAGACCTTTGAAGTCCACACAGATGCTGCAAAGACCTCAGCTGAAAGTCCAGGCTTGCTGGGTACACGGCATAGTCTTGGACCTTTTTGAGTCTGTACTGTACAGTGAATTTTTCTTTGTCATTCTTTGTCGGTACATTAACATGTGATTCTGGGGAAGTTCATGGTAAAATGCATTTTTCTTTGTTTCGATGTTCTTACGTCAAAAAAAGGCATTCCAAATCCGGAAGCTATAGACAGGGTTGGGGCTGCCCTTGCTTCATTAAATGTCTTTGCCCTGCCCCTCGCTCTGAGGTACTTGACCCAAGAGTTCCAGCAGACTCATCGATGGTGATTGAGACTGCCTGCCGGTCCATTGATTATGCAAAACAGTGCTGCGAGGCTGCTGGCAAACCATTTCCAGATCAGCTTCTCGCGTGGGTCCCTCGTTGAAATCCATCAGTAGTTGGATGCTTGGAGTTGTTTTCACCATGGCCCTGTGCAGGGTTCTCATAATATTATTGTTATCATAATAGCCATTGGATGGTCAAAAAAATTGCCATTGCCAATGGACCATGATATGCCATTATTAGAACTACGAATGCGGTGGCGTGTCTAATGATCGATCGTATCACTATGTAATTATGAAAGTATGGGTGACGGATAAATGGCAAATCACCCTCACTAAATGCAAACGCATCATGAAACCAAGGCAGATAATTGCCCACGCGAGAACAAAAACGGAATGCTTTTGGCATTCTTGAGTTTTCTCATCGCGACCCGCCGATTCCGGATTGCTGCCTATCTGTTTGCAAGAGTTGGACACACGCACAACCATTGCGGATTCTTGGCTGTATCAATTTTGTTCCTTTGGATACATGTTGATTGTTGAAGGAAATAAACACAGCAAAACATCGCACCTGAGATCAAATATTTGGAATGATCGCGACAGCGATGAAGCACATAGACATCTTGGCCGATGGGGAGGACGTCGCAAGGCACAAAACTCAGTCAAGTTGCCCAATTTCATTTTCCATTCGAAAGAAGTTGTCCACTTTGGGTCATTGAGTCAATAGATGCAAAATACATCTTTAGCCAGTCAAGATATTTTATAACTATTCTGACTGTTTCTACTGACTTTTCCTGGGATCTTCTAACTTCTCCTAATGTCTGAGGAAAATTGAATTTGTTCTTCGACGCGTCGGGATCCAGGAGTGGATCGGGAAAGATGCGAAAATTCGTGTCCAGTTCATCAACAACATCCAAAACTGGAAGTCATGGAAATCTAGCTCAAATGGTGTTCATTCGTTGTTGTGGGAAGTTGGCAAACAACTTATGATTTAAAACCGAGAATCCAGAGCATTCAGCTTGAGACCTTTGCCAGTGGGCTAAGGATCGGACAAGTACCAGTCAGGTTTGCTGGAGGCCTCAGAAATGATGAGACATCCCTGCATTGCTTTGTGCTGATGCGAAGGGAAGGCTGGACATGAAGTTTCCATGACAATTCTTACACATCTGGTTCAGCTACGGAAGTTCTGTGATTCTTTGCATGACATGGATTGACAACGTTGTGAGATCAAACTCTGCTAGGAATATGTTCCCAGATGAGAAACAATTCTTCCCGGTTGGAGTGATAGCTATTTCTTTATTCCCTGAAGATGTGCCGCCGAACGTTGACATCACTGCTCATGGACGCGGTGCTGGCCGCGATCAGCACCCATCTGATGCCATTATCCTGGTGAAGCGCAATGCATCAGATTTCGAGCTTTCCCAGGATTTCTGACGTGCCAAACATAATCACGAAATGTCTGTAACCTGGTACTTCACCAATGTGCAACTGGGATTACCATAGTATGATTGCCAAATGGTCCCCAAATAGTGATATCGACGATTTGCCCGATTATGTTATATTGAAGATAATCATTTAATATTATTATTAAGTTAAATAGCAGTAATAACGATAATTTTAGATTTAATGTCATTGTAGGCTCAATTGCTTCTGGTCAGCTTTGCCCTGTCAGGAACCTATGTTGGTTTTTCCCTACCGATTTGCTAGCCGGTTGGGCACTTTGCCGACCGAAGCAAGGATGCTTAGTGCTGTGAAACCAGGGAAACGCAAAGACTATCTGCACGTGGCTCAGGCACTGTTGCAAATGCATCCCAGCGAGGCCACAAGGAGGTCAGTATTGTTTCTCATAGACCTATGTAAAACATACAGACCAGAAGATGGTCCTCGGCTGCAGTGGCTTGCGGAAGAGGTCAACGCACCTCAGATCCAACTTGGACTTCCCTCTGTGCTGGGCAGAGTTGCCCCTGTTATGAGATTAAAGGCCACTGTGGGGCGATAGGCTTGCAAAACAATACTTGCTGTGAGCTCAGTAATGGTCTTTTTGTTCAACAACTTGTTGCAGTATCAAATCATTTTTGTTGGACATACCTCGTCCAAATGCAGCTTGGGTACCCCGTTATGAAGAGTTTTCAAATCCACCTGTGGGCTCAATTCCATTTGAACAAGCTGTTAGGCTAACAACACACTGCATTCGAATCATAGAGGGTACAAATCCTTGATGTGGGAAATAAATCTTGGAGCCCCAACAGCTGTCGCCTATCATAATGGCCTGCTTCAACCTGAGACGTGGTTCGTTGCAAAATGATGTTGTCCGGAGTGTGCATTTTCAACTGAACAGCACATGCTCAACTGAATGTAGTTGGTTTTGATATCAGGTCACAGATTGTCACATCTCACACCAGGGGCTCAGTCCTAGGATTTCCCTTCATCTGGAAGCTATTTTTTTGGCTTGGATCTTAACCAGGTTTTTCTCCTGTTTTAGGGCGTTTGCGGGGGGCTCAATCTGTCCTTTCTCAGGCCAGGCATTGGTTTCAAAAAACCATTGAATAAGAGATAGTTCTACAATATATCATATCCATATTCATCTGTGGCTCCCATGGAAGGAATGCCTGGCCTGCCGCGACCTCCGAAGGATGATTTGCTTCGGAAGGCGTGGCCATCTTCCATGTTTTCAAGCCTCAGTCGGCCATGCAGTCCCAATTCATTTCTTTCAGGATGCAGCTGGTGCACCTGCTGAAGTCCCAAAGTCTCGACAGCCAAATGTTCCGGACCGATATGTTGCCAGTGTTCATGTTCTGCATTGTCTTGACTAGAGCCAGTTGGCAGGACTACTTGCCTCAAGCTGAAAGAGACTCACAGGCTCTGGAGCTCAGCGTTTGGTACTTGATGTTGCTATTTTGAAAGAACTTTCTTGTTGCAGGTGGCCCTGAAAAAAATGGCTGTGGACTGGGAGGCTCATAAGTCTCATGATGTCTCATGTCAATATGGTGAAATATAGTTCAATTCTTGGCACCAGAAAAAGAGCTAGACCTGCAGGTGCCAATCTTGGCACATTTGAATCACGATGTCATCGTGGTTGATGATTCCCAGGCCCAGTCTAGGTCACATCATTGTAATATGTCAACAACGTGATTGCAAAAACTCAGAACAGCTGTTAGCAAGTCATGTCTTGGGCCTCCCAAACTGTTTTATACATCTAGCAGCTTAGGAGGTGAAGGATGAGCGCAACCATCACCATGTTGCTGAAGACCATGATGAGCATGATGCAGCAAGCTACTTAGAATGCACATGACTTGCAACCATCCAATGGACCAAAACATACCGAAAAATAATTTGTCATTGGTGCCATACTCTACTCCAGCTTCAACCCTTTCTCTCGAAAAGCTGAGAGGCCCCGGCAGCCAAGAAGCAGCGCTACTTGGATCCTGAGCCTGAGGGGGCTTGATGTCTGTCGTTCATGCCCGGCAAGTGACAGCTATATCGGGAAATGGGAAAAAGGCTCTGCCCTGGCTAGTGTTGGCTTGACAGGTTCAAGAATTCACCTCACTGATTAGCTGTCCATGCTTTATGGTACAGAAACATTCTGTGATTTAAATTTGAATTACGAAGTCAGTTTTGGCTTCAAGGAGAACACAGCAGTGCGGGCAGTACAGTCCAGTGGCCAACAAGTTTAAATCTGGGTGCAACATCCAGAGGTAAGCGATGGCCAATAAAAGGCCCATTCCCTTGTCCGAAGCTGTGAAGTTGCTTTTGCAACCCAAGCCTTCATCCGTAAGGCAGGACCAAAGCTAGTTTTTGAAGTTGACCTGTCAGGATCACATTTCACAACCTGTCACTGTTGCCAGCACATTTTGCAGGAAGTGTGGGTCAAAGTCTTCGGCGCCAGATGGCAAATGCAAGTCGTATGAAAAGAAGATGATTGGGCCTCAGCAATCTAATGTTGATTATTGTTGGTTGCATGACCCAGAACCATGAAGATCAAATGCATGAGTCTACCAAGTGCCCACATTAGAACAAGAGCAAAGCTCGCCCAACCTGTCAGGTCAAGCATGAAACATGTGAAGAAGACCCAGGCGAAAAAGAAAATGTCTTGTTCTCAGGATGCTTCAGGAATCATTTTCAGACCATCTCAGAACAATATATCAAGAAGTGCTTGGGAACGACACTGTTGCCTGGGTATATCGTTTGTATCAAATTTTGGTATCCTGCTCAGGATGAGGTACCCAAAGACTTCGGTGCCGGCGCCTTCAGAGCGTCATCCAATCAGGTTCAGGAGCATTGCAAGCACCTACAAATGGGCCAGTGTTTTCATGGAAGCAGCAGCGGACAAGTATGGATCACTCTGGCTGGCGAAACGCCTTCGCCGATGGCGATGGTCCTTGTCTACCGCCTTTAGTGGTGTTGGTTGTGCGGAAAGTGCATCTCGACCTCATGCCTTTGAAACTCTAATCACATTTTGTTAGTAGACATTATTTATTTTGAAGAAGCCATGGTCCGGTACATTATTCTGTCATCATGCACCAGACTGGCTGAGGCAGCTTTGAGTCTTCAAGCAGCCGGTGGCCAATTCTTACTTGAAGGAAATCACAGCACCAGGAGATCTAAGAATGTGGTCTTGAAGAGTGGCTGCGAAATCGACAAAGAATGTCAGCTTGTTTTGAAAAACACTTTCGGCCACTGCAACTACCCTGATGTGACTTGTGTCGATTTCGGGAAGAACAAGGGGTCCTTTTGCACCACCCACCAACGCCACTGCCCGCAAGCCCGAGATGATCCAACCCGTACTTGGCTCAGATCATGCATGCAACTTAACATGAGAGACTGGTGTTTGGAATCTTGCCCAGGCTACCTGATATTTCTAGACGGTAGACTACCTGATAGGTGACCAACATGTCAATAAGATTCAATAAGTATGTCAAGATTGTTAACCTATGACAGCTGTGATGAGTTCCTGGTGCCCACACCTCGTTCTCAAGGCCTCCGCGTCAATGTGGCAGGCCAAAGCCTCAGCCATGCAAACAGCGAGTGGGAGAGCACTAGCTAATCGTACCATTCTTGATTTTTATGCCTGATTTGAGCAATTCATCAGGAGGAGGAGAATGAAAGTTTACAATTATACTCAGGCCCAGTGTGCATTTGCTTTTCTCCGATGGGAACTCAGTTGAAGGAATCCCATCCACAGTTTGAAAGCCATGAATCGTACTACAAGAAGTACTCAATGGTTTCTGATGTGATGGTAGTCGAGAACGTGGTGGAATATGGAGATGAAATTGCAAAAAAACGGTTGGGAGAAAATTGGGAAGTGCGTAGTATTAGCTTTGACCCTCGAAACCTAGGGCTTGGCGTAGCCCGTGCAAGGCTGTACATGCTTTGCTGGAACAAATTGAAAGTAGTGTGGGATGCCCCTTACGATCTTGCTGAATTTTTGGATGCCTTGGCCAGCCAACGGGTTCTGACGGCAATCCACTATTTCTGGCAAAAGCGCCCATGCTCTGCACTCAGCGATGCCGATGATTCATGGTCGCATCACGTGTTCAAGTTTTTTCGATGACCATGACCCAGCCATGATCAAAGACTCCCATGGACCATAGAAATACTGTAAGTCCATAATTGCACAATAGGATGCTCAGACTATATCATTATTTGACGAATTAGATTAGATGATACGATAATAAGTTGTATATGCCTAGGGAAGCTTTGTTCTGGATACATGGCCTCATCCCAAAGATGAAGGCATGCTTCAACTGAAATGCCCAGAGTCTAAGGAGAGAAACCTTGCCGAGTACCGGACCCTGACGAAGAAGAAAAAGTTCCCTGACCTGTCCCAGTACGCACGCAACGGGCGTGGCCGCGGGGAGGTTTCTGACGGTGCCTTGATGACCCTCACAACAAATTGCCAGAAGATTTGGAGCGAGGACTGGTTTGTTCAGACTTAGATTGAAGGATGTTCGACTGTAATCTGAATCCAGATCTTGCATACCGAATTGATTCAACACTCACAATGTAAATTATTGATGAATATTTTACACACTGTTTTGGGATTGGATAAGTTTGGCATTGATCCAGGAACGAAAGCGCTTCATGGAGCCTACTGAACTGCTTTCTGCGCAGGTGGTTCCCACCACTGATTTGCAAGCGAGCATGTGCCAAGCCCCAAAATTGAACCTTTCAGGAGTGAAGCCCGCCTCCATTTGCAAGATGGCAGGGAACGGAATGTCAGTGCCCTGCGTCGGATTCATGCTTCTTGCAGCAATTTGCAGCTTGAAGCCGATTCCAGTGCAATGATTTGTTTTGTAATGCATCACTTTCCAATGCATCACCTGCTGAAGCTGACTTGCAGCTCAGATTAATGACATTCAAATTCAATGATGAATTCATTAGACTCCACCGACTGCGCTTCGTGCCAACAAAAGGGGACGAAACCAAAACAGTTCTTCTGATCACAAGGCAAAGACGTTCTTTATTGAGCATTGCATTGCAACATCAGTCTTCGATCTTAAATGTCTTGATATAAAAGATGGTTTCTTTGGTATCAAGATTGTCAAAATACTTTTCCACAACGTCTCATGATGTCACAGGTCCTGTTTCGATGTGTTCGGATATGTTCCGATCATGAACACAGATTTCAATCCTTGCTTCCTGCTTTGCCAAGGCATCCATTTCTGGATGGTAGGGAGTGGTCAGGGCCCCACGACTACTATATCTCACAGCTAAGTTGGTATTTCCTCTTTGTGGTTTGGCCGAGGCAACCCTGCTTAGTGGAGTGGAGTTTCTCCTCGGGCTTGTCCTCACGTTAGGAAAGGAACCGTTGAATCATTTTGATGCTTTGTTCAGCCAAGTCTTGTAGTGGGAGATAGTGGGGGTCTGTTTTGCCATTTTCTGCTCCTGTGGCATCCTTGCATGTTTTGCATCTAGTCTTCCACTGCTGTTACTACTGCGGGGTGGCACGATGCTGAGCACCTGCCGTGTGTGGACACCCAAAGATGTGGTCTAGGAAGAAACCGTCGCAGCTGTTGTTTTGGTGTTGTTGGATGTGCCAGGTTGTTGCCTGTCAATATTGCGCCTTTTAAAGTAACAAATGGATCAAAGAATCATACTGTGGATAGCTGCAGTGAAATGCCGACTATCATGTTGTCATGCAAAGAGCTCAAGGTTGATGGGATATTTTTCCAAAAGAAGAGAAACAACTCGTACAGCCAGGCACCTACTTCATGAGGTCAATTACATCACTGGCCAAAACTTGCTGAGATTCCACAACTTCGTAGATAATCGAATTTCACTTTCCGAACATGATCTAAGGTGCTGGGATCACCGATGATCCATGTTCTCACTTTAAGGCGTGGCTGTCGACATGTGTCACATAATATGTGCTTAATTTGTGAAATAGATCGAACGAGTTCCTGGTTCAATTCCTGCATGAATCAATCATGACTTTTTGATTCAAGTGTCTTAAAGCAGACAAGCACAAATCTGCAGTCCAAACAAGTCAGCTTGACAGTAGATTTTGGCTGAAGCGACTCGCCGCAGAGATGCCGAAGCGTACCTCTGCTGATGAAGGGGGTAGAGCTGCTAAGAGTTCAAAGCAGTCTACACCCTGGGCCCAAACGATTTTGGAGGCTGTGAAGCTACTTGGCATCATGTCAAACCAATATCTATCAACAGATTCCTCCATATTGTTGCCCTTGCTTCTGATTTCCTCTGTCCAAGGTTTTTTGACGTGTTTTGGGGTATGATGAATGATCGCTGTCTATGTCTGGGACTTCCAAGGTCCTTCGACACGGACAAGGATGAGCACCCTGTGAAGTTTGTCATAGATAACCTCAAGGAAGGCATCGTGGAAACAGTCTATTCATGGTTGAGTGACATTGCCGGTGATGATGGATCACTTCAGATGCCCAATCCCAGCCGAGTACCTCTCCGAGAGGCTTGTCTTGTCCAAAATGTGCTTTTTGCCTGTCGGCCTTGGCAGCTGGCATGTTTAGGCACCCCAAATCAAGCCCAGTTGTGTTGGAAACGGGGTAGATGTAGAAAAATTGCATAAACATGGATAAACATTAACGTCAAAGTTCCAAGGTTGTGTTGATTTGTTCTGGGTCGTCATTTACTAATTCGGAGCAGAATGCAGAAAACGACTTGAAGGGTGACATCCCAAGACAGTGGTTTGGAAAACAACAAAACCATTATTACGTTGAGGCAGGATGACCACAGCAACACATCTCTTCTAGCTGTGCTAGCTGCTAGGAGTGTTGAAAGGCAGAGGCAAAGATAAGAATTCCAAGTCTCAAAGTGATGTAAAGCAGATATGTATGCACATGCATGAGTCTGTTCTCCGGTAAAGGTCTTAAGTATTCTTACGGTTAACATGAAACTCAGAAACCTGGTGGGTTCATACACATGAAGCAGCAGCCATCAAGTGGCCAGGCGGGTGTCGCAAGCAAACAATCAACTCAGGCACTTCAGTAAAGTTTCTGATGCAGCAGTAGCTGCATTGATGTGATGACATTCGCAGCATCATGCGTGCCCATACATTTCGTGAAGAATCTGCCGCCAAACTAGCATAATGAACTATATAAAGTCTAGCTGCTAGCTGTCTTCTATCTTTCATTTGTTTGTCGCCTGCTTGAATCAAACACATGTCACATGACAGTTCTTCTTACTCAGCCTTTCTGGGAAGCGGTATCCATTGAGAAAGTCTTAATTGATTTGGTTCGCTGTCTTTCTGATACTGGAAATTCAAAATGGAGATTCTGATGAATCAGTGGAACTACAAAATGGTCTTTCGATACGAGGCTGAGTCAAAATCTGATTTGGTCCTTTGGTTCTTGAAATTGTGGAACCATAGTCAATAACATGACCTATTCTAAGGATCCCCATGAGTTGCATCATGGGTTGCATCATTGTTTTGAGTCTATCTAGGTTTGATTGCCTATGCGACTAAACAGTTCTGACTAATACCAAAATAACATTGACAAGTTGTATCTGTGGGTTAGTCAACCTTCTCTCAGTCTCACAAACACTTTTGCCAGGACGAACCACAGCATGGTGAGTCGTTGCAGCTCCCCTTCTTGGCCATTTCTTACCAGCTTCCCAGTGATGGTGTCCCTCATTTCCCACACTGGCTCAACACTGCCACGGATGTGTACCAGGGCGGGTACGAGAGCAAACGAGAGCCATTTGAGGTACGTATCCACAAAAGACCTGCTGGATCAAGCTCCATGCTGCGAGTCACTGTGGTCAAGGGAGCGGGACGATGTTCCATGATATGGTTCGGAATCCTTTTCACCTACTTCAAGCTGAGGGAGGTCATGACTGAGGCAGAAATTGAAGACTTTCGCAGGTGGGATTGGGATCATCTAGGCTGGATGGAATGGTAGTTAGGATCATCTGGGATAGGATGGTTAGGATCATCTGGATTGAGATGGTTAGGATCATCTGGGGGATGGTTAGGATCATCTGGGTTGGGATGGTTAGGATCATCTGGATTGGGATGGTTAGGATCATCTGGGTTGGGATGGTTAGGATCATCTGGATTGGGATGGTTAGGATCATCTGGGTTGGGATGGTTAGGATCATCTGGATTGGGATGGTTAGGATCATCTGGGTTGGGATGGTTAGGATCATCTGGATTGGGATGGTTAGGATCATCTGGGTTGGGATGGTTAGGATCATCTGGATTGGGATGGTTAGGATCATCTGGGTTGGGATGGTTAGGATCATCTGGGGGATGGTTAGGATCATCTGGGTTGAGATGGTTAGGATCATCTGGGGGATGGTTAGGATCATCTGGGTTGGGATGGTTAGGATCATCTGGATTGGGATGGTTAGGATCATCTGGGTTGGGATGGTTAGGATCATCTGGGGGATGGTTAGGATCATCTGGGTTGGGATGGTTAGGATCATCTGGATTGGGATGGTTAGGATCATCTGGGTTGGGATGGTTAGGATCATCTGGGGGATGGTTAGGATCATCTGGGTTGGGATGGTTACGATCATCTGGATTGGGATGGTTAGGATCATCTGGGTTGGGATGGTTAGGATCATCTGGGGGATGGTTAGGATCATCTGGGGGATGGTTAGGATCATCTGGGGGATGGTTAGGATCATCTGGGGGATGGTTAGGATCATCTGGGGGATGGTTAGGATCATCTGGGTCGTCTTCTGGGGGTCAAAAACCTGGGAACCCTCAGCGTGATGGTTTCAGTGGGACCATCGTCCCCTGGGGCTATGATAGTTCTCATTTATTGATGTACGAAGGCATGGGAAACATTACAAGGTGCTAAATGTTATGTTTCCGGATGTCACACATTGATATTTTCTATTAGAACCAGATTCAATGTCTTAGTCTGGCCATACTTCATAGTCTGATTGGCAGCCCAGGGCGTGATGGTTCGGATGGAACCATCGTGCTTGGGGGACGCAAGGTTTAAGAACCCAGGGGATGAATTTGATTATCGATGGTATGAAATCCCTTCAGTTATTCCTAGTTCCATTGCCTAGCTATTTCTTGGAAAATTCCACGCAAATTCTAATGATGCCAAGTTGGGGTGATGGTTTGAATCGAACCATCGTCCTAGACCCGGGGACCAAACCATCGTCCCAGACTCCGGAACCAAACCATCGTCCCAGACCCTAGAACCACACAATCATCCTGGCTGTCCGAACACCACCATCCTATGATTTAGTACAAATATCCATATCAAATCCTATCTCCTTCCCCCTGGCTCGGCCTTTAAGGTGGATGCGTGGCGTGGTCCAAGTCGACTGCACAATCATGGAGCTCAGCCATTCTGCGCATCATGACTGGAGGAGGCTGCAAGTCCATGAACAAATGGCTGAGCGCCAAAAGAAGGACCCAATGCAGAAAGCGTTGATCTTTTCCAAGCGAGCTGCTGCAAAGGTCATTGAGGACAGTGGTGGATGGGGACTACTGTCATCTGAGCATCTAGAAATTGGTCTATCTTCTCCTAATCTTGTAGGCTGGGAAACTTCAGGGTATCTAAATGGGAATGCCTCGCCGTTCTTGTGAAGGACCCAAACAAATATGGGAGCCCGACTGATGGGTTCAAAGCTGCATTCATGGACGCCGTGGCCGAATACAACTCCTATGGCTATGCATCGACCAATCCCAAGTACAGAGTGGATGATCAGACAGCTCTTGAGTTGTATGGTTTCAAGGCTTCTTGGCCTGTCTGTATAAAATAAAATTTCAAGCCTAAGTTTTTCTCATATCACCATGTGTTGGAAAATTAATGTTCTTTTGGAACTTGGCCCCAGCCATGTCTCCCCAATTGCACCTTGATGGGGTTTGGCCTTGCTGCTGCATTGGAACCTGCATCAGGTCGGTGTGTCTGCTGAAGCATGGACCCTGCTGGAACGGCATCTGCATCGATTCCCCTTCCAAAACTCAGGCCACGGGAAAAAGATGTGAGACAGTTTATCAAACAGAGCATGTTGGGAACAAACGCCATGTCTTAGTGAGATAGTCACTTACAATGTGAAAGAAACAAGGTTGGGATGTATATCTCTGACCCGCTGTGCTTGGACTCTTTGGACACATGAACATGTCTTGTGGCCTGAAGGACCTTTCCAATGATTATGATGTTACATTGTAGGTTAGATATCTTTAAAAAAAACTCTAGATGGATTGGGAGCGTTGTTTCAATTGAGGGTTTCAATCTATATCTTGCTGTCCCTGGCAGCATTCGGCCGGGAGAATCTGCTGGACCCTCGTTGGATGCTGGATGGGTGTGGCAAGGCCACCAACGGGCTATGGCACCAAATCCTGAGAATGACTGGAACCAAACAGGTGCTGTTTTTGAATCGGGTCTTTCATCTACATGGGATCCAGGCGAAGCGAGGAGGGAAGTCCTGTGTCATGCGCCTCCCCTTGGACCAGTGGAGCCAGGAAATTGATAGATCCTGCTTTTTGGGTCATATCTACGATTGCATGGAGAAGACACCTGACCAATTTCCTCCTGAAACTTTGAAGAAGATCTACCTTGGAATGGTAGAAGGGCATCTCATCTCCATACGTTAACCATTTTTCAAACGGTAAAAAATTGCTTTATTTTGTTGATACAGTTTAACTGAGACCTTGAAACCTGAAAATTTTTGCCTCCCTGCAGGGACTTCCTGAATGAAGTGAATGCATGCCTTTTGGCACGGGATCCTGGCTTTCAGCTGCATGAAACTATTTTGTGGCATGACAACTTGCAAACGATCAAGGTAGAGCCTGGTCAACCGAATTCTGCGATGGATGCTGCAGATTCAAAGCTCAATGCCTTAAGTGATGATGCTAGAAAAGCCGCTTGGGAGCATGACACATTGCAACTAGCCAGGGACTGTGCCCAAGTGGGGAAAATGTTCCAAGCCAACGAGAAGAGCGTTCGTGCAGAGCGTCTTCGCAGAATCACCCACATGCGGCAGGAGAACTCCATAGGAGCATCTCTTGTGGAATCCTACATGGAATCCCATGCTCGGCATCGCTCTGGTTCTGAACAAGATCTCTTGTTGGCTGTGGACCAGGCTGGATTTCAAAAAAGTTACATTCGGGTTAGTTGTTCAAAAGGGTTTTGCCTCGATCTTTTTAAGTCTGTCTGGTGGACCCTGCTGGCCTGACATTATTCCAACCCGAAAAAAACATTGGTTGTCATGTCCTTCATGCAAGGTAAACGCAGCAAACTAGGGACCTTGTTGGGGCATAAAGTTTGGCACGCATACATACTCAGGTAGTGATCTAAAGTAATGTTTTGACCTGGTGTCCCTGCAGTTTGTGTCAGCCCACCAAACTTCCACGGGCCCTCCTACTGCTGTGGTCACCTGGGCGGACCTGACCAAATTTGGACGTCTTGGGACGAAAGACCTGAACTATGCTGTGGGTGTTATTAGCCAGGTCCTGTCAAAGCACCCCCAGAAGGCAGTTGGGCTTGTGCTGGCCCCGCACCTCACAAGCGAGAAAGTCCCAAACGGCCAACGCGGAGAAATGAGGCACCTGGGGCACATGATAGTGATGGAGGGATTACAGACTGATTGTACAACAACAAAGGATGTTTAACAATGATGTTGAACAATGGTGCTTGCATAGCATAGGAAACTTCGAATAAACATTCAAAGAAAAGAAAGAGAGCCAACAGAAACACATCCCTCTTAGTCCTTATACTGTTTCAGTTATTATAGTAGGTTCTATGAATGTTCATTCCCTGGTTTTGCATGGTTCGTCCATCCTGTGACACCACCATCGTGAGGAGAATAGAAGACAAACTCGACTCTCGTCAGCTAGCCAGCCAGCTCATTACTTTGAGGATGGATGCACCGCCGTCAAGCAAGCGAGTGGCGATGACGATGTTCGGCTGGATTGTCTGGCAGGAGGACAACCTTCAGAACAACATGTTCAAGGATTGTCAGCTGCTCACAGACAGGCTGGGGCAAACATGGGCAAAACAGAGTTGCAAATCTATATTGGTTTCATTGTAAGTCTTTTGGTAGGGTTAATGATGATCTGATCAAGCTTCATGTCGAAACCAGCACTTGGGCAGACTATAGAGTACATATAGGGGCCACATCACTCTGAGAGAACAACTTGTTGAGAAAGTTTCTTTTGGCAAACTGTAGCTCACCCAATCCTTAGAATTTACTGCATGATCTCCCATGATTCCATTAAGTAATTTTGTTCAAGAATGTGTGTTTTTTTCAGTTGCATGTTGCGGCAAGGACCACCCGCGAGTCCATCCCATGGCAGCCCGAGACGGCGTACATCGTCCCTTCGGCAGAGAAAGATGCAACGCCTCACGCGTCCGAAGGGAACAGGCTTCTTGGAATTCCAATTGGGGAAAGGAATGAGAAATTAGAGTCACAAGTTTGGAATCTCAAAAGCAATGGAAAAACATTTCAACCCACAAGGAGTCATGATTGCCAGGTGGGTCTGGTACCAACAAGAATGGCTACTATCGGATAATTTATCTTCTAATTTGGCATGCTAAGGAGCTTGTCCGACGTGCAAGAGGCAGCTCAACTGCTTTGTGGGGATGATGTGCCGGTGATCCTTTTGGATGCTCTTCTGGGGAGGCTGAAATGCAACCAATGTGTCGTGATCAATTGCACTCCCTACGACGCATGTCTGGAGAATGCGTGCTTGCGCTGGCACCAAACCCACCCGAAGATGAAGGTACACCATTGTTCTGTGTCTATGCAGCCTGTTCTTGTGGACTATGTCCAGAAAAAAATGGCTCTGCAGCTGATGAAGGCTCTTATATATTCTTATTTTCAATTTCCACATAACCTTGTTACCCCATCATTTCGAGCTTTACTGTTCACAAATTCCCATCATCGAAACACTCCCCCCAAAGGCACTTAAGATGTTTGATGCTTCGTTTTTTGATATTCAGAGTCATGGTAAAATATCAACTCAAGATATTTCAAGAACTATCCAGCCCTGTGCAGGATTGGAAAGCCAACGACCACTGCATGGGCGAGGTGCGAGCCTATCAGCCCAATCCTCCGGAGGTCGACAACGAGATTGATCCAAGCACCTATGGCTTCAAATTCGTTGAGGTTGAAGTCAGCAACCGCAAATCGGGGTGGGACCGCTTCACTTTCTCACTGCCCCAAAAGGTGCGATCTTTGCATGCAAATGATGTTGTGTATGGGGCCGAATGGAGAAAACTTGTGATGGACTTTGAGGAGAGGTACCCTGTTTGTGGATTTAGTTGCCCGATAATTTTCTTCCAAGTTTTAAGCTTAAACCTTCAGCTTCACACCCATAGAAAAAGATCGTGCTATTATAATAATTAATGATAATAATAATTATTATTATTATAAATTATAATTATTGCTAGTTTAACCTTGGATTTGCTTGGGATTGCCCAATGACATCAGGTTTGACTCATCCCGAAGCACTCCAGTAGCCATCGCTGAGAAGCCAACGGAAGCAGTCGCCAAAGTGCAAGTCTTGGATTGGCCTACAGAACCGAAATACATAGAGGACCTTTTGGCCAACTACCACGTGGATTGCAAAGCAACCGGAAGATGGCCAGGAACAACCCTCTATTTGGTGGAGTCCAGGGGGCGGAACGGAAAAGTCGAGAATGTCACCGACAACCAGCCCTACAAATTGTTTCTTGCACCCTGCCTCAACTAGCTCTTGTGAACATGTCACCTGGAAAAAATATGAAACCTTGGGATCCAAAATTAATCTTGTTCAAAGTTTCATCAGATTCACTGCAGCTATAGTTTCGGGTGGTGAACCTGACCCTTCTAAAGCTTTGATTTAAAGACTTCATGGTTATGCTTGGCATGTGAAAGCCCCAGCAACAACTAGCAGGACTAAATGTTAATATCCACTGGGTTTGACAGGAGCAAGTAGCCCTTTGACATGCAATTGGGGGATCACCTGTCAAGCATTGTGTTGCATCAATAACCTGCAGATTCCTGTAGATACCTGCAACAGTTTCCTGACCCTGCTACGCATGTCAAACCATTCAGGGAAAACCCGATAACATTTGGGGGTGCCTAGGCAGCCCACGTGGATTTGATCATCCCGGCTGATGAGTTTGTCGTGGCGCATGGGGCCTCTCGATTTGCAAGGGCTGACAGAGTCGCTGACCTGAAGAGAAAGGGAAAGTCAGGCCGGGATGTCAAATTGGGCCAAACATCGTGTGGTGAGCCTATTTTTCAATTTTGTTCATGCCAGGGGGTCTTGCAGTCTCATCATTCGTCTCAACCAACCCAAGAGACACCAACTAGCAAAGATTGATCTACATCAATGCCATGAATGGCAGCGCATGGCTCGAACGTTTCACGTCTCACTCGTGATAGTTGGCTTTAGTTGGGTACCTGGTGTTCAAACTTACCCTGACAATGGGTCTGCAAGACCTCTTGGCCCAGCATGGCTTTGATCAGGACTGCAATGTTTTTTGCACAGCATAATGTATGTCATTATGGATTCCAACTGCTTATTATCAGCAATGTTTTAAGACCAAACAATCTTGTTGCTGGTAGGACCTAGATGGCTTGGCGTTTACAGATGCAAATGCCCTGCAAACACCACCATGCAAGCAAGCCAGCGGCCTAGAATATCTCATTTCACCATCTTTTATTTCACCATCTTTTATTTTGATGAGCTGAATCTCTGGAATTTACCACCCTGAGCGGACACCTGAGGGCCCTCGCTCACCAACTTCGCAAGGGTCCATGTCCTTGCCGGAGGCCCGGCAAAAAGCTTCTTTTGCCATGTTGATGATAAACAAGTCAACTCACATCACTATGTGCTGCCAAAAACCACTTACTGACTGAATGAACATATTTTATGGATGAATGATGAATGCATGACTGAATGAATGGAATGAATGAATGAGTGAAGTAATGAGTGAATGGATGCACGAAAGGAAGGGAGTGAGGAAGGAAGGAGGGGATGACGATGATGAATGACGATGAATGATGATGAATGATCTGTGATGATGAATGAATGAATAACTGGTGGCGAACATTAAAAGAAGGGAGGCAAGAATAAAGGAGTCCCTCAATCCTTACAAAACTTATAGTACCAAAACCCTCTTGAGAATCATGCAAAAAAGTCCAGTCCAAGTCCAAGATTGCTCATGTCCGGCAACAGGACAAGAAGGTGAAGCAGAAGGATGCCAAGGACGCTCAGGACCAAAAAGCTAAGAAACCACTTCCGCTGACAGCTGCTGAAGGGACCCCCGAGACAAACCCTCGAATGTCTACAAAAGAAATGAAAGGGTTGGAGGAAAGCTTGAACCAGGCCAAGCAAAAACACAAGGTTGATGAAAAGGCGGAACGGATGGACCACCTCAATGCAGCCGGTCAGTCGACAAGACCTAGGGGACGACCAGTCACCAAGCCTAAGGAGAAAGAAGATGAGGTTGCGAAGCGTGCCCATGGTCCAAGTAGGAGGTTGGCAAAAGCAGCACCGAGTTCAAAGTCTAAAGCCAGGGGAAAGAAGAAGCAGGAGTCAGAGTCCGGTTGCCTGGAAAGTGAGGAATCAGATTCGTCTGAGCAGCCTGAGCCATCCGAGTCGGAATCAGATTCCGATGATGGCACAGTCCTGCAGAACAAGAAGGCAGCACCAACCGCTGATGCTGAGTCAAAGATTCCCAAGACCATCAAGACCGGGGACAAGGAAAAGCAACCCAAGATGGTGAAGGTGAAGCCAAGCACAGAAAAGGAAAAGCCCGAGAAGATGCCCCGCAAAGTTTCTAAGGAGCCAAGAACCGCAAGGAAAGGAAAGACTGCAGATGAGATCAAGAAGACCCCAAAGACACAGCAGAAACGAGGAGGTGATGATTCCAAGGCTGAAGAACCAAAGAAAGACATAGAGAAAAGGAATGAGGATCATGAGCAGCCTGCAAAGCTGAGGAGACGCATGAGAGAAGTAGAAGCAAAGGTAGAAGAATCGGAAGCAGGCATGACCGACGAAGATGGAGAAAATAGCTCAGGTTTGGTTGAAGCAAAGAGGAGCAAAGTTGAGGAGCCGTCCAAAAAGCGCAAAGGAGCAAAGGAGCCGAAGCCGAACCATGAAAAGAAAGGAGCCAAGTCAGAAGGAACGACCGGACACACTGACATGGAAAGCCCAATGGAGAAGCCCAAAAGTGTCAAGGAGCGACGTGTTCGTTTCGCAGAGCCCCCTGAAGTTGAGATTCCAGTGAAGAAAGCAAAGAACAGAGAAGCCGCAGCGGGATCACGAGCAGCAGAAGGCCCCACCAACAGCAGCCAGAAGCGCAAGAGCGCATTGAAGGCGAAGGAAGACGCACAGCGCCCTGAAGTTGAGATTCCAGCGAAGAAGGCAAAGAACAGAGAACCTGCAGAGGGATCAGAAGCAGCAGCAGCAGCAGGGACCAACAGCAGACAGAAGCGCAAGAGCGCATTGAAGGTGAAGGAAGCAGAAGACCCAAATGATATGGCGGATAAACAGAAGCTGCGAAAGGAGAAGAGCTCGAAGGACAAGAAGGGATCCACCCCATGCACTGTCTTGCCAGGTCTGGCCGAAAGGTTGGCAGAAAGGAGGGCAAAGAAGCAGAGTGCAGCAGAGAGACCCCAAGAGGTGAAGGAAGTGAAGTGCAAGAGTCAAGACATGACCGCCCACAGCGAGACACATGAAGAAGAGAAGGAGATTCCCGCCCACAGCGAGACACATGAAGAAGAGAAGGAGATTCAGTGGTTTTGTGTCGCAGCTGTGTCTATCCAATGTCCTCCCGTTTTCCTGTTCACTAGGTCCAGAATACTTATTGTTAAATTGAAACATCCAAAGGGTGTCAAAGATTTGAGCATCTATTCTATACTTTGTTGATGCTAACTTCAAAGATTTCACATCCAAACGTTATCCCTTTGAGTCACTCCACTGATCTGGTGTCAGTCAGTCCTCCCAAATCCAAAATGTGCAGGATGAAGATCGTCGCTCTGAAGCCTGCAGCTCTGGTCACTCCAGCCAGGATGAGGATCAGGCACAACTATTCTCAAAGTACTTGGATACAGGGTGGTTTTACAAAAATTGGATAGTATGGATTTGAGCGGGTTTTGGATCCAACTGGTTAGTTTTGGATCTTGATTTACCTGATACAGGATGTGTATCCGTAAACAACCATTTTCCGTGTTGATAAAAAATCAAACTCTGAAACGCTGGGTGGATACATTAGGTATGGATTCCAGTGTCTTATTCTGTGTCATTCTATCATATGTTGATGCGCCCTGATTCAACTTGTGCACATTGATGTCATCATAGTCAAATCCGACACTCTTTGAGATAAAGTGGTCTTACTTGATGTTGGCCCATTGTCCAGGAAGCTGACAGAAAGGAAAGCTCGGATGAAGGTACTCCTGTTGGAAAGAAGGGCCTTCGTGGTGTCTACCATGATTTCCTCAAAACTTGCATCGCAGAACTGAAGGCAAAGAACCCTGAGATGCGTGGAAAAGATGCTCTCGCAGAAGCGAGGCGTCTGTCCATTCCTCAGCCTACCATCAACTTGATTTAGCAATTGTTTACCCAGAAAAACGTCTTAGACGCATTATTGATACGGTATCTATTGATTGGATCAGTTGTTTCTAGGTTCAACTCTTCTCACACCAAACAGGAATCTTTGTTACTGTTGTTACCATCCCAAGGTGGCGCATTCACCCGCAGCGGGTGAACTCCATCAAGCATCTGAGCAAGTCCGAGATCTCTCGTCGCAGATTGAAAGTCCAGGTCTCGAATCCGGAGGAAGCTGCCCAGCCTCCAATTCCGAACTCTCCCAGCGAGGATGTTGCCATGGAAGACGCTCGCCAGTGCGAGTCACCTGAGATCACCAAGGAAAAGGATGATGATGAAAAAGACTTGGGTGAGGTTGAGGACGGGGAGTCCGAGGAGGCTGTCCCTGCTAGTCCTACTTTTGAAGGGCTCGACCCTGAGGATGATGATGGTGAGGAGATTTGGGAACCGAACCGCAACACCAATGTGGTTCATGATGGTACCAACGGTGAACATGATGAAGAAAGCTGCACTGATGATGATGATGACTGAGTGACGACTGTGAGATGCTGAGCTGTTGATTTTTCAACATGGCTTACACTGCTTTAGACAGTTAAGCAACTCAGTTCTGTTTGTTTGGCATCATGGGTTGGGGAACCAAAACACTTCCATGCGAATACCAAGTGACTACTTACTGTTACTGATTGCTGAAAGTAGCTGATGACAACTTTATGGTCCATGTGCAGCTTCAAACATTTTGGATTAGACTTGATTAGACCCCTGCTGCGCAAATCGATGGAACAGTTCTGAGTCTAATACGTCGTAGGGCTGCAATGTCAGCATTGCAGATTGGGAGAGGTCCTGGCAAGGACTCTTTAGGTCTGGTGCGTCTAACAAATTTGACGCTCCAGTTGGAGTCCAAGCACTGACCTTGGATTTTGTCTTCAATGGCATCTGGTTCAAGATTAGCTGATATGCGGAGCTAGAACTAAGGCAGCAAGAAAGAAACAACACAGCTTGTGTCATGCCCTGTTGAAGCTCAGCCACCAGTTTCAGGTTTATATTAACTCTGGTTCCATAGTTCGAAATGAGAAGCTGCATGTAATTAGCTGGAATATGCTGGAATACGTAGCATATTATTATCTATCACCTGCTTCCCTGCATTATCTTGCTATTTGCTTGCCAGATGAGCTCTCTCGCATGATCACCTGCAAGTGGACTAGTGACCTCGACGAGGTGGTCCTCGAAATCCAAGAGAAGGACAAGCGCGCAACAACTGACGCCGCCATCTGCACTTGGAGGGATCTCCTCCAGGAAATGGAGGAAAGCGGGAACGTGGACTTTACCGTGAACAGTCATGAGATGAACAAGCCCTCTGCCGTGAAGTCTTCCGATGGTTATTTGGCTCAACATGTGAACCATCAAGCTAATGACCATGGAAATACCAGTTGGACAAACATGAACATTCAAACATAAACTTCATTTTGATTACCGCCCATTCCTGCAGTGAAATGAACTTCAATGTGCTTGATGTTTTGCTGGTGAGGTGGTAATGTCTACACGTTGACTCCGAAAGCCAGTGAGATGCACTACACCTACGCCGCCCCATCCAGCACAAATGGGATCAAGTACACTGGCATGGCTTCGGTGTTCCCGGTTTCAGCGCCTCTGGCGCAAAAGAATTGCACTTTTTTGCATTGTGTTTTATGATTTTCCATGCAAGAACCAAGTATTGATGCTTCATTTTGCATGGACCAATTCTTGCATCATCATATTTCATGCTTGTCTTTTGCATTGTGTTTTATGATTTTCCATCTAAGAAACCAGTGGATCTTGATGCTGTCAAGGTTCTCGATGCTTCAAGACCCCTTCATCGAGTGTGGCGAGTTTTCTATTCTGAGGAGGCGAAGGCAAGTTGTAATGTGATATTTGGTACCCCCCTCACCGAAAGTCCTTTGCTATGCAGTGCTGCCCTTGGTTGATCTTGTGCTCCAGGAAATGTCTCCGAGCACCTTGGCTGGCAAGCCAGAAGTTTGCTGAGTCTGTCAAGCGGCCCCATTTCAGCAACGTTTGCTGTGGTTTGAAGAGAGTCAGGGTAGAAAAAAATATATTATATAATAAAACAATCGTCATATCAAATCGGTAGCGCAATGAACTGTTCATAGTGATGTTTAGCATGTTGCCGTCCTGTCAAACTATCCCAGGAAAGCCACTCTACTTTATGCGGAAGCCCACAGCGCTTCAAGAGAACGAAGTTTTGCGTTTGATTTGAACAGCTGGGATGAACCTGATGTCAGCGATAGAACTGTCCCTTCTATTATATTCTTAATTTAATGTAATGCAGCTGCAAGTACTGGAAACCACCAACAGATTTCCTACAGATTTCTTGTTTGCTTGCAAGCTTGACATCTCCGACCCACTGGCTACGGGTGCCGTTCTGGGTGTAGCTCCCAGGTTTTGCCATGTTTCTTCTGAAACCCTGTCAGATGTGAAGAAAAAGATTGCTCTTTGAAAGGGATGCCTGATTCAATCATAACTTTCATAACCCAAAGTATCCTGGCCCGAGTTTTGTTCCGAGCAGCAGCGTCAGCTTTCGTTGCAGATCCCTGCAGTGTGGTCGAAATGGAAGTAGATCAGCTGTTCCTGTCATTTGATGCAGTGGCTACTAGTCAATCATTTTTGACTGGTCAGGGTGAGTTCAAGATCCTGCAGCATGTGGAACCCAGACTGGACTCCACTACAGGCCTGGTCACTTGTCCCTTGTTTCAAACTGATATTATTGTCTCGGATGTTCGGAATCAGTCCAGCTAACAAGACAGTCCTTGTAGATTTGCAAGTAAAAGCAACAACACAAAATGTTTGCAGTTTTGTTGACACAAGCCATTACTATTTACAACCCTTGGTGGCCTCTTCAGAATGACCCCTCAAAGAGTTCACAGCGGTTGCAGAACCAATGTCACACATGGCACCTTATATTATATAACTAGCTATGTACCAAACATTGATAACAAAAAGGGTTACAGTGATATATTGGGAAGTAATCAGCTTGTTCTCAAAAGCCACCACCGGATGTGTGGAGGGCTGGCCTCAAGCCAATCCTTCTCTCAAAAACTGTGGCCAGCTGTTTTTGTACCTGTCATGCGTTTGGTGGAAAAAGTATTCATCCTCCCACCCTGTCGTTGCTGAAACTATGTTGAATTGCAAATCCTTAAGCGTTAAATGCCTTTGAACAGTGGCAACGAGTGACAATGAAAAGTTAGTCAAAGTTGGCCGTCGCCCAGGTCGCTGGCCTCATCAAACGATCTGGCCTCTTTTGATGCCATGTCCCAAGCCACACCTACACCATGCTTCAGTAGTAGATTGATCATGGTTGTGAACAGTGTGGATCAAATATGTTCAACAAATGGCTGGTATGTGACATTGTTGCGAGGAACTCTGAGGAACATTGTGTGTCGATCATGCATGATCATGCTGTGGGTCGCGGTGGTAAAAGTATGTTTACAAAGAAAAGTCGGAAAGAACATGTGCAGAAAATAACCAAACTAGGTTTTGCTATATGACCTTGCAGTCCTGCCTGCCAAGGTTGAAACCATTCGACAATGAATTGCAGCCTGCGCCATGTTTGTGTCAGATTTACTAAAACCGTGACCCATCTTTGGCTGTTAGGGATAGTTTTGCTCACCAAAGAAATCATTGAATAAGGTTGTTATGTATAGCCGGCCCTTGGCAAAAATACTCGTCTACATACAACCCAAACCACATCCAAACCAAATGTTTTTGATGGTTAATGCGACCTGGCACCCGGCACATCCGGCACACCCCGGCACTCCGGCACATCCCGGCATACTCCGGCACATCCCGGCGCTCCGGCACATCCCGGCATACTCCGGCACATCCCGGCGCTCCGGCACATCCCGGCATACTCCGGCACATCCCGGCGCTCCGGCACATCCCGGCATACTCCGGCACATCCCGGCGCTCCGGCACCCGCGTGATTCAGTTGCACACCTGCACCCCGCGTGATCCAGTAGCAGGCGCTCACATGCACCCGCATGATCTAGTAGCATGTCCGCGTCATGCGGCACCCGCTTGATCAAACAATGACCTTGCGCATCCCTGGTATCCGGTATTCCGGCACCCGCTTTACCTGATAGCGTCCTGGCATGCGCGTTATCCAGTAGCATGTGAGCATCTACGCATATCTACGCGAAACCTACCGCACCCGGCACATCCCCGGCATTCCGGCACATCCTTGACACTGCGGCACATCCCCGGCACATCCCCGGCACATGCCTGACTCTGCGGCCCATCCCGGGCACATCCCCGGCACTTCGGCGCATCCCTGACACTGCGGCGCATCCTCGGCACATCCCCGGCACATCCCTGACACTGCGGGCACATCCCCGGCACATCCCTGACACTGCGGGCACATCCCCGGCACATCCCCGGCACATCCCCGGCGCTCCGGCACACCCCGGCGCTCCGGCACATCCCCGGCGCTCCGGCACCCGCGTGATCTAGTAACATCCTGCTAAGTTGTCAAGCATGCTGATAGATTACATGCTGGATTAAAGAAGATATTATGTATCCCATAGCTGTCGATAGTAAACTTTTATATTCCTTGGATTTCTTTGGTGAGCTCCTAGAAACATTGGGCCCAAATCAGTTTTGTATCTTAAACTTGTGAATCCAGCGAGAACATGTTGCACAGGCTGTCAGTCACGATTTTGCTGGAATGTTTGATGGCTGATTGCACGCTGGCATGACCCAGCATCAATGTCTGATCCGTTCCCAGCCTCAAAAGGTGCGACATAGGATATGAAGCGACCATGGCAGCATCAAAGACCGAGTCAGATCATGGACAAAGTAGTGGTTCAAAACAATGTTCGATGAAATTTGAATCCTGCATCATCTCTACATGATATGAACAATTTGTTCGCATGATGGTGTTGCAATGATGGTTCATGATGTCACAATGACATCCAGTCATGGTGGGACTTCATGTTGCTTTCAACGTATTGTGCCACTGGGGCATTTTGTCAAACTTTTCAGGGGACAACAGATTACACCTGTACTGTGCAATGCCTAGCCGTGATGTTGACCGCCGTACCAAATACCGAGAGCAAGAAGTAGCACCACACGGGGAAGAGCGACGCAAGCAGCTCCAGAAGATTTACGAGAAGAACACCACCAGAATCTCGCATTTGATCTATCATATTTCTTTCTTGACAGCCTTGCTCATTGGCAGGGGTGACCATTTAGTGTTTGGGTTTATTTACTTGGTGCAAACCCAAGCTACCTAGGAAAAGCCAAGCCTAAGAGGACCAAAAAGAAACAACCTGTTTCAGTTGGAGTTCAAGCTGGTGGTGATGTCGCAGTGTCTCGCTTGGATGCGTCTGTTCAAACAGATCCATATGAGCCACGGTTGGATCATCAGACAGAATGTCTGAGCATGCGACCCTTGGCCCTGATCATTATCATCTTTTGGTTTCTCGACCCTTGAACCTTTTCAGGTGTTGGACCAATCCTTGGTGATCCTCATCTTTTCGTCTTGTGATTAGTCCGGTCATATCAGGACGTACAATCCGAGATCTTCATGCCCGTGCAGAAGAGCGCGAGAAGACGCTGAACGCACTCGCGTATGAGCTCAAGAAGGTGATGGTGGAAAACCGTAAGTGGGCAGAGCTCGCGCAGCAGAATCTGTTGAAGATGGGGTCTCAACTGGGGTGAGAAAAAAAATGCGCTCAGTTGCAGAGGGTAAGTGAGTTCTGACATGTTCTGACAATATCTTTCAGATTCTTTTCACCAGTTGTGGATGTATTGTTGTTTCAGCCGTGCCAGGCTATATGGAGTGAGAGGGGGAAGCACATGACTCACCAGCATGACTCACCATGACTCACCAACGATAAAAAAGGAGCGTGTTGCTTCACTGGATGAATGAAATCTGATGAAATCTGAAAGAACATGAATTGACAGAGTGATGCAAATCATTGTTTAGCCAAGATTTTTGAAACCCAAAAGTAATGTTATGAAACCCAAATGCAACGAAATGAGCTTATATATATATACTGTATATATTATAATCATATATAATTATATATACAAGTGTGTAATGTATGTAAATATGTATACATGTATGCATATACATGTATAAATGTGTGGGTGCGTGTATCCATGTATCTATGATTATCTATGTTTGTGTATGTATATATATGGTCCGAGACTCATTTAAGCCGACTTTTTTACTCATTATAAGCCGACATTTTGTATGTTGACTTCAGAGTTAACTCCATGGGGTACAGACCTTTAGGTTAACACTTGGGGACACTTGGGGTGGGTTTAGGGAACACTTGGGGACACTTGGGGTGGGAGTAGGGGACACTTGGGGACACTTGGGGTGGGCTTAGGGAACCAACTCCAAGGGATACAGCCCTTTAGGTTAACACTTGGGGACACTTGGGGACACTTGGGGTGGGTTTAGGGGACACTTGGGGACACTTGGGGTGGGCTTAGGGAACCAACTCCAAGGGATACAACCCTTTAGGTTAACACTTGGGGACACTTGGGGTGGGTTTAGGGGACACTTGGGGTGGGTTTAGGGGACACTTGGGGACACTTGGGGACACTTGGGGTGGGTTTAGGGGACACTTGGGGACACTTGGGGTAGGCCTAGGGAACCAACTCCAAGGGATACAGCCCTTTAGCTTAACACTTGCGGACGCTTAGGGGACACTTGGGGACACTTGGGGTGGCCTTAGGGGACACTTGTTCAAACTACCAACACGTGCTGTCATACGTTGTCACATCTTCTTCAAGTCCCTTGAATGATGTTCCTGGTATGTTGCAACATCTTCGTCAAGTAGCTTGCAATACATTCCTGATACGTTGCAACATCTTCCTACTTGTAAGTAAATTGCGACATATTCCTGATACGTTGAAACATCTTCTGAAAAGTGACATGCAATTCATATGATCGAATCAAAATGTCCTGCTCATCATCTCTGTCACACCTGTTGCAGTCATATTCAAAGACTTCTATGTCACTTTCTATTGGTGCTGCCATCATATTTCACAAACGTAGGCGTAAGCGAGTAAAAACGTAGGCTTAAGCGAGGTACTGACCATATATATATATATTATTATATATTTATGTTTGGATAGAAGCACACTGCTACAATTTGAGACCTCTGTCCTTGATCGTTCACCTGTGAGGCGCTGAAAAGCAGAACCACGCCTTTCCAAGTGAAACCAAGCTTTGAAGGCTTCGTCAGTTTGCAGTCAGTAAACCCTTTGAAAGACATCGACATTGCTCTGTTTCACGGGTTTGGCCCCAGTTTGGCCGAGATTTGCAACACATTGGCTGCAGGCCTGCTCTTGTACTCTTCCAACACCTGCCATAGTGAAAGCATAGCTGGAAAAGGCGATGTGTTGCTGCTCTTATTGCTGTTGTTGCTGTCCGTTGTTGCTGTTGTTGTTGTTGTTGTTGCTGTTGTTGTTGTTGTTGTTGTTGCACAAAAGCAGCAGGCTCTTACACCCTGGGCAAACAAAGTGACTACATTACAATACGCACACAGCAGTCCAAACAATATTGTTTTCTCGCCTGCACTGATACCTGGCAAAGGTACGTTAAAGTACGCACTGAAAGTGAACATGGAGAAATGGAAGAAGTGATAGATAGTTCACGGATGTTCACGGTATTTTCATGTTGCTGTTGTTCCTGTTGGCTTTTTGATGTTGCATGGTTGTAGTTGCAATGAGAAGGCACAAACTTTGGCGCGGTCTTTCGCTGGTTTAGGGTTGCTGGTAATGCTTTAACATCAACAGCAAGCAATACCCACCGAGGAGTGAAAGAGTGAAAGCCACAGCAGCAAATGACACTCCATGCCATGGCATCCAAATTTTCCTTGTATAGCTCGGTACTATTTCCGTAAAATTCCAGGAGAGTCACAAGCAACTACGCCATTCTTGTTGTAAATTCATTGTCCCTTTTCTTGTCCTTTGACAGCCTTGACTGGTGTGACGTTTTGTGAGCGCAAAGCGCAAATGTCATGAGTCCCTGAAAGATTTGGAGGCACCTCTTTCACCATCTGCATCTGACTGACCTGCCAGGCACGTTAAGCAGACGGAAGAGGCAACACGGAGCTGCTTCACGCCTCGACTGATTGCTCTGCCCCGGTCTCAGCATTGGCGGCTTTAGTTTCCTCCTCCTTCGCGACAAACTCTCATGGCGGAGCATACAAAAATAAAGTAATGTAACATAGTAATGATGAATGTCCTTCATTTTTCGAGAGTTGCAGTCGTTGCATCAAAACGCCTAATAAAATCGAAGAAACATAAAGCAACATCTCCTGCACTCCATTGGTCATGCGACTTGACACCGGGTCACCATCTGAGGTTGTTGATGACGAGTCCTGCGCATGGAGCAGCACATGTTTGTGTGCGTAGGTGTTTATGGTGTTGTGTGTGTGTGTGTTTGTGTTCGCGTGTAGGTGGATGGGTGGGAGGGTGAGTGGGTGCCAACAAAATTAATGAATGCACCAGCGGCGGTCCTCATTTGGACAGTCTGGGCGCTCGTTAGAACTTGCTGCCGATGCGTCCTGACAGTGTATGAAACGTGCAAAGACTGGCAAAAACGATCACCGATTTTCAAATAGTTCACGCCTTACCACAAGAACATGGCAGGAGCAAAGGTTTCACTGCGGTCCGACTCTTCCAACGATGGTGTGGCCGACAGAACATTGTGCAAACGCAGCACGGGTACCTGACATGTCAAAACATGCCATTTGCAGAATTGCAAGCTCCGATCATCCGGCAAACAGTCTTAATATGTCTTTCCAAACTTCAACTTCTGCAGATACTGATCCTTAAAGCAAAGAGGGGCCGCGGGACAAGTCATGACAAGTCTCTAAGTCAGAACCCTAGAGCAGTGAATTGTTTATTGCTTGGCTGCTTCCCTTTTGCACTTGTTGCGCAGGCACTAAGAGGTTAGCACTACCCAACCAAAGCCCTGTGTATGTTAGGGTTGCTGTTTTTATCTTTTTACACATGTCCTTGAACCTTTTCTAGGTCCTGCCCTCGCTGTCTCAAACATCCAGTCTGAAACAATTGGTGCAGTTTGTCAGCAACGCCCTTCGCAAATCGTAAGTGCACCGGCTTCCTGTACCCTTGCCAGTTCCTTGGTGTCTTGATGTATTTGCTGTGCGACAATGTCTCACAACCTCTCCTGCTGCCAATCAGCTGCGATCCTTGGCGCTATCGAACTCGCCGCTCAACGACTTTCTATGATCGTGTGTAATGATGACCATATGATGACCTATCATATTTCCTCGTAGTGTGGAGCGAGCAGGTCCGTTCTGGCTTGCAAAGTTCTTTTGAAGGGAAGTCCGGCAGTGTTGAAGAATGCATCATGATCACACTCTATGCAGGAAGCCGCTCAAGTATAGTACGATTCGAAGTAAGGCCCGTCAAACATAGATTCTAGACTCCTATACTCTTAAACTTCCAGCATATTGGCAGACTATGCATGCAATGAAGCGCTGCTGTGACTGTTACAATCCGACGACATATCAAGGACCTGCTGCTGGGCCTTTGCATTTGTACCAGTATGTGTTCTAACGAGGCGATTTTATAGTCACGTAAAAGGTCACAGGGAACGTAAGATCAAATCGAACAATCTCAACATGGGCAATTCATTCCAATTCATTCTGCCTTCTCACTACATGCCTCACTACATTTGGGGCCTGAGACTGTAAATGTGAGACAAAGTAGGGACAAAGTGCCTCTCAAAATACGTCCACTGCTTGGAGCAAAGTCTGCTCTCTGATATGTAGCCGGGCACTGATCTCGTGGCAGTGCTGGAGCGGCTTCCTGATTCCTCCGCACCACCGTTCAGGGCAAATCAAGATGATAAAAGATATAAAAGGTAGTTCAAAGAAACACAACGAAGGCTGAAGTGCAAGCGCTTATCACCTGCCCATTCGTGTCTAGAGCAAGACTTGGGTGCTGAGAGCTTCAATCGACAGGTCCAGCTGCCTCTTCAAGTGGTGGTATGACCGGAGATGTACGAATCCTGTCAGGTCTAAGTGAACTCAAGCGGGGTCTGGAAGCGCTTGGAACTAGTCAAGAGAACATGTCAAGAGAGCATGCAGATCACTCAGATCACATTAATCGCATTGCATTTTGCGGTTCTTTGTTTGGTAGGTCCTTCGCAGTCTTCTGATTGGACGCTTCCTCAAAGGACAAATTACTCGGAGAGTCGATACTACAACTCACTGTGGAGATATCTTCAAGAGTACATGCCCAATCTCTGTGCAGCGCATGAGGAATGATACTATGCGCTGCGGTTCGAAATATAGCAGCTAATATGGGCTTATATATATATTTATATAATCTTAAGAACCCTGACCTGGACAGGCACACCCCTACAGAAGTCTTGCACACTTACGTGGTTTGGGATGCTCCCGCAAGAGTGAGCAGGCAGTACCAGACGGTCTCGCGCAGGGTTTCACAGCGAGGTCGCATATACGTAGTTTGCATCGCTGCAAACTTGCAAGCGATCTCAATACAGATCAAGATGAACCAACCATTGAAGGTGAAGTGCTCAAGAAATCCTGTTTTCAGCCAACACAAACTTGAACTAGAATTTGTTGACGTTCTGGCGGCACGACGTTCTGACATGTTCAATCGAAAAGGTGCAAAGTCAAAACCCATTCAATCTTGTGTTCCATGGTATGGCAAAAAGACCTTTCACCAACTGACTAGGACAGGAAGCACCCTCCCAAGGATACTGCAGCAGCCAACAGATTCCAAGAGAACAGAATGTGAATAGGATTGAATAGAATTGAACAAGATTAGCAAACAAATGATAAACAAATGTTAAACAAATGTTAAACAAATGTTAAACAAATGTTAAACAAATGTAAATGAGGTTCTCTATGGAAAAGCTGGGTTAACATATTGACATCATCGACATCATCGACATCGGAAGGGCAGCTCTACTACCCAGTGACACTCTGCTCAGGACTCAGGACAGAACCTTTGGGCAGCTTGCTCCTGAATACACACACAACAAGTGCAAGCTGCGCACCACAAAGTTAAAGGATGTTATTTTATTGAAGGAGGATCTCACACGGATGACTCGGATGACTTGCGATGAGGCGGAAAAGGCATACATACACGAAATACACAGGGAGATATGGATAATTCTGCTCTACATATACATTACATGTATCTAGCTGCAAGGTGGCTTACATCTCATCGAATCAAATCTTTTCTCAGGTACAGAGCCAGTGCAAGTTTGTGTCTCCTTCTCCTGGATCGATTTTCTAGCTGCTTGCACATCCTCTCAAAAAAATATTGAAGCATCTGTTAGCCACTCCAGAAAAATGATGCTAAATGTCCATGCCTTGTCGAAAGATGCAGTTCCTGTGGAACACTACAAAAAGCCAATGAATTCGTAAAGTGTCCTGGAGGAAGGCATTCCAAATACCAAAAAGCCTGACTCAACAGGACTCCACGTGACTTCACACGTCCCAGAGACATTGTCTTGTCGAGTCCTGCAACAAGCTCAGACTGGCACTCATCGCTTGGTTTCTTGCGATCCGCATCGATGTGAAGCCTCAGTGCAGCCGCTCCAATTCCCAGATCCAGATTTCCAGATGTCCCATGATGCATGAGTATCCCGCCAAACCAGAAGACTTTCATACTGAAGTCCTACTCGTCCTGCGATGGGCGTGCCACTGAATAGTTCGGAAGCATTCCTCCAATATGGGTTTGTCTGAATAATGGGGTGCCCTTGAAATTCGATGGCTTGCCATGCCGTAATTTTCCTTGTGAAACTGCTGTGTATATATATACCATTTCTGGACAAACCCATATCTTCCGATCCATTGTGTTGAGACTTCTTCAAAATGTTTCAAAATGTTTTTGAATATGTTCAAGTGATGCATTATATTTGCTCTGGCCCCTGCATGCCTTGTTGGCCTTGCAAGCCCTCAAGATCAGCAATGCACATTGCCAGCTGCTCCATGAAGTGTACGAGAACTTCCTGAGGTAAACTTTTAGATTCTAGACTAAGATGTTGAAACATGTTCAAACAAGTCTAACCAAGTCTTATTCAGCGGTGAAGACTTCCAACAAGCCTTGCCAGAAGAGTCACCCTCAAAGTCTGGATCGTCTTCAAGCCTCGAGCGGTCACCAGCAGTCACCAGCAGTCGCCAGATTCGAGCGAGCTACTGGACTAGAGTTGAACGATTTTGAAAAGCCGTAGGAGACTGATTCATCGGCCAAGCAACACGAGCCGGATGGTCTTCAACATATGTGTTGCTTGTCCCAATAAGGCGTTGCACTCCTGAAGGCAATGTTGACTCGTATGACTCGTATGTGTTCTTGGCTCTAGGTGCGATCCTGCAGACTCTTTGCATCAAAAATCACTGGATGAAACTGGAAGGAGATCATAGGAGATGCGCAGACCTGAGCTGCATCCTCAATGCGCCTTCTGGCTGCGAGACCTTACCGCTCGGCCAGGTTGGGCGGCGCAGATTTACCACAGCTGAGCAAAGGACGGATCCAATGGGCCTCCTCTCCATCTGCAAAAATGCCTTCACGCTGCGACGCTGCGACGCTGCGACGCTGCGACGCGCTGCGATGATCTGAATGGACTGAAGTTGCTCTTGGGTCGATGTCAAAGTTCTCATGAAAGGAGATACCGACTTAGAGTCCCTGGCCTGCCATTTCTCCAAGGTACCTCAGGACAGAGCTTCTAACGCGTTTTGCGCTCCACAAGCTGCAGGCAATGTCAAACATGATAAGTCTCTTATAGCCTCTCTCCACTTGAATCACCACACATGGCCTCTTCTCCATTTGAGTCGTGATGAAGTGCACAAGGGTTTGGTCGGCAGCCTGCTGCCAAGCAAATGGGCTGACAAAAAATGATGTGTGGCACAGTTTGGGGCAAAGTGCAAAACCAGGGGTGAAAGAAGAATGTGGCCTAAAGTTTGAATAATGCCAGAGACTCATTGCAGCCCACATTTCGCACAGATTTTCAGGGCTAAGAGAACTTGAGCGAGGGTACGCAAAGGTGAAAGTCGTTTAATGCCAAGTATAGAGAGTATAGAGTACACGACACTGAAAGAAACAATGGTACTGTTGATGGAGGAAAGCACTCGTCCAAGTACCAGGAATTGAGTTGACAACCTCAGCAAAAGAGTCTGGAAAATTTCGCAAAAAATGGACATGCTGGTTACGCTATGACACGCTGGTTTCTTTATTTTTCTTTATTCTCCAGGGCATTTGCCTAGGATTCCGATCGGAGCCGAAATTTCGCACCTGGGTGGCCTTCACGGTCCGAAGCTGTAGCAAAGCGTCCTGCGCACCGCTGAAAAAATGGACATGTAACAGCTACGTAACATGACATGGCAAAACATGGCAAAACTATCTTCGCAGTCAAAACTATCTTTGTATCTTCAGTCCATGGCAAAACCATCTGCACGGCCACGCCTCACCCAAATTCCCTTGTGACATTGTCAAATATCGCCCCCAAACATCCAGCTGTTTTGCTTTGCTTTCAAGCTTTTTCACTGTGGTTTCGGGCATAATCCCATCTGCGAGTGTCTCAATTGCTTTCCTTCATTTGCTATCACTTGCTTATTGATCTTATTGTATCTGCTCACATCTTACCGAAAAAGTCACCACGCTGACTGTAGGGCTAGGGGGCTAGGCATGGCTAGGCTAAGCCGCTAAGCTCAGTACGGAGTCCCTCCGTTCAGGAAATTCCCAGCATGCAGCGCAACTCCCAAGAGGTGCCTAAAAAACGGTGGCCGCAAGCCGCACTTGGTGTCACAGTGAATCGATTCGTAACCTGTACTGCACGTATTATCATATATATACTGTGTATATATATATAAATATATGTGATTATTATTATATATTATTATCAATTGTTATTCTTATTATTAATTATTATTATTATATGATTGTAGAATGTAAAATCATGTGAATTCCACATGATTACATATCTATGATATTCTTATGTTGCACTGATTGGCTTTAGAGGGGTTGCATTCGTTTGGTTGCATTGGCATTCCATAAATTTCATGGTATGTCACAGTATGCAATTCTCATCTCGTCAGATTTCACGCCGGTGGTCTTGCGTGTTGCTCGCACAATCCATAGCGCAAGGGCCTCATACGCATTGACGTAAGAAGGCAGTCACAGCCTTTGGATATCCCGTTCACATCACTGGCAACGTGCTCAAACTTCTCCTGCGCTGCTTCGAAATGGCGAGAGAATCATGTGTCCAATATGTGTCCAACATTGTCTACTAGGCTAAAAAGTATAATGTATAAGCATGAATATATATAAGTCCTCACTCCCTTTCATCAGATTTCATCACTTGATATTCACTGGAGTTCGGACAATTCCTTTGGCTAATGCGCAAGGTGGGATTTTTATCCCTATCGATCCTATCGATCCCTCAAGAAAAGAAGATTAGCAGCTGATTAGCAGAGATCTGGATCTTGCTCCAGAGATTTCATTGGAAATCGAGATGGATACGAACCTTCCTATTGTTCATCCCGCCAACTTCTGCAAAGGAAGGCAAGATGCTTTCTTTGGGCATTGAAGTGCATAGAAATACGTTGTACAGTTGTACATTGTACAACGTATTGTAAAGATTGTAGAGTACTGTTCATTCAAAACTTCAAAACTAATCCAAATAACACCCAACCCAATTTCATTGCATTTCATTGCATTTCATTGCATTTCATTGCATTTCATTGCATTTCATTGCATTTCATTGCATTTCATTGCATTTCATTGCATTTCCCGATTTTGACACCTCAAAGGAGTTCACAAAGTCCCAGATTTTCAGTCGCAATTGGAAGCGCGGGATGGCGATCAACGACAGCAAAAAGTCCTGGCCGCGGAGCAGAGCGACATGCAACGTGCGCAGACGTTATATCCATGCAACGTGCACCCGCCTCTGCCGTGTCCCAGATATTGTTTTCGTCAATCACGTTCTCCTGCCATGCAATAATACCATTGAGAAATCATATAAAGATATGCATATCTAATATCAAAGCATATCAAAGCATAGTTTAGTGTTGGCACAATTGTTGTGATTTTTGTGTGTGCGGATACCTCTTGAGCACGTCGCAGTAGTTGCGCTTCTTCAGGGGAGGGACTGTTGTGGAGGAGCAACTCCACCTTCACAGCGTGACGAATTGATGAACACGACATTCATGGCATGTTTTTTTGAAAATCGCTTATTTGAACTGTATATGATCAGAGAAGGAGGACGCCAAGCAGAAGACAGAAGACATCAAAAGTAGCATGCCTCGTCTTTGCCCAACCTGCAAACTTGCAGCAATGCCGAAAGTACTAACCTCTTGGACTGTCGTCGCTTTTCAGGTTAGAGACAACATTTTGAGTTATTTCGATACTTTCAGACTTTCAAACCATCCGAAAATCATAAGCATCCACGGAATTCAGAACACTCTCTCTATCTCTCTTTCTCTATATATGTGGACATGTGCATGCATGTACTGTACAGCACTGCAACGCACAGTAATAGTGCAAGGTAGTGCAGTTAAATACTGTCATGTCATGTCATGTCATGTACAGTGATGTAAAGCCAGATAATCTAGTGTAACAGTGTAAGACGATGAAATGCAATTCACAGTACACATACAAACACGCATGCAAAAACACTATATCAATGTATATCAATTGCTACATGTATCTATATGTCATCTAATATGTAATGTAATATGTATAAGTATATAATGTGTATGTATTGTGTATATATATAATAAATGTATATATATATACATATCATATGTATGTATATATATATGCATTATGTACATCTACATTTGCGTTTGAAACGCAGTTTGGTCCTGGCGGAGTTGATCTCCGTGATCCAGGTCAGGACATCTTGGCCACTGCCGGGCCTGAACGCTAATCAACAAAATCGCTGATAATTTGATGTCAAGATTGTTCAGCAAATCTAGAATCTAGAAATAAAATGAAATAACATGAAATATAATGAATAATGAGAGACAGTGTTTGAAAGTTTTACACCAGAAAATCATTCCAAATATCAAACACCCAATCAAGGTTACATGTTGCAACATCTCATAAGATCCCGCTCAAGGCTTCCACAATCGAGCAAGCATGATGCAAACTTGCCTTGGTCCATCGCCCCTGCACACATGGGAGGGATGGTTTCATGACCATGTCCATCCCATGTCCATCCAGTTTCGGAGCTGTTTGTTTTTCGGTTTCGTCTATATTTCTCTATGCTCCTTGCCGTCGTCGCTGTTCATCAAGGACACGAATGACGCGCTTACCAGCTTCGCCTAGAGGGATTCCATCAAAGTCGAATGCGAATTTGTGCGAATCCTTGGCTTTGCTCTTCAGCAGATCTTTGCTTCCTCGTTCTATCCACAAAGCTGGCACCACTCCTAAGTGTCAATTATCTTGAATTGTCTAGAAGGTGCATTTATAGTCAAAGTTATCATGAACAGTGGTACTCAATGTTGTGAAACGGAATGAATAGATGTACATCTATAAATCTCTGTAGTATACAGTTAGTGTATATATATATATATATGTATTTTAAATGTATATGTATGAGAGAGAGATATATATATATAGATATAGATAGATATAGATATAGATATAGATACAGATATAGATATAGATATAGATATATAATATATATATATACATATTCATATACAATGAATCTGAGGTAACCACTATGTATTTGACATGTTAGACGGTTAGACATTGTTTTTTGTCTATGTTTCTTGTGTTCATCGGCACCTCTATCAGGCTCGGTCTTGCCACGAGGGCTTTTGCCGGCTTCTGAAAAGAGCCATTCCAACTCCTGCAGAAGCACCACGACACTGCGTGGAGGATTATCCCAGTTTCAGGCTTATAACATCTTATAACATCTTATAACCCAGTTGTAAATGGGATGGATAACCCTAGTTACTAAGTGGGATGATCCTCCAAGCTGCAGCAACACATCTGAATCAACAGAACACAGAACAAGAGAATCTGCCCATTCCGCAAAGACATCCAAATCCTTCCGCACTATGCAGCGTCATTCAGTCGCAAAAATGGTTTTATCGGTCTCTGGGCTGTAGTAGCAGGCGCACATTGTCAGCTGCACTCCCCAATCAGTGAGGATGTATCCAGTGAAACCAAACGTTACCAAACGGATAGGACTGTGACCGGGTGCAAGTTCTGGTCAAGGTCAGCAAGAGACCATATGCTGCATATCAATGCATATCATGGATATCAAGAAAATATGGTTGAAACGGAATCTGAATGCTGTGAAGCCAGCTGCCTGGCCTGCAAATCAATGGGGTACCCTTCGCCATCGATGGCATCCCACCTGCTTTCTAATGTTCTTCCAAAGGGCCCAAAGGTAAGCTAACGCATATGGAAACTCAGGCCCGGACATTGTGTAACTTCCGTGATTTGCACGCAGGTGGATGGGATTCCAGAAGAGACGTTTCACTTGAACTCCTGGGATAACCTGCAGGCACATATTCCCTTGGTGATGACAAAGCCATTTGAGCATATTTGAGCTATGTACACCTTGGCGTTATTGGCAGAAAATCGAATCTTTTCTCGGCCAGCCTCCGGCTTCCTCATCAATACTTTCACTTCCTCTTCCTTCCCCTGCAAAGCTCAGGAAACTGAAGGAGTGGGTTTCTGCAGTCTCCTTGCGGGGGCAGGGCACCTCAGTCTTGCCCTTGGCTTTTCCTTTTTTCCCTTCTCCTTTCTGCCTCAAGGCTTCACAGCAGATCAAAGATCCTAAGATATCCTAAGATCAAAGAATACTTTTGCTTCTGGTGATTTGCCTCAATGAACTTGGTGCAGCAGGCGGGGGAAGCTTCCCTTTACCTGAAGGTGGCAGGCGGTTTGTGGCTGAAGTGTTTGGACAAGTCTGGGACATGCAGTGCATGCTGCATTGTTACATTCATCTCAGTGAAGTGCCTTTGGCCTTTTCTGGTGAGGTCTCTGCAGTCTCTGCCGTCTCTGTGGTCTCTCCTCCAGAATCTAAGGGTAATTTTTGCATATTTTTGCTGCAAAGCTGAGTCACATTTGTGCAGAACTCAAGACTCCTGGCTGCGTGCTTCCCTTGCTGTGCGGACCCTTTCCTTTGCCTAGCAAATGCAAAGGCTCAATCCAACAGTTGCACATGCTGAACCTCTATCTAGCAAAACATCGTTTGAAACCTGGCCTCGGCCACCCTTGCCAGGCTTGATGGAAAGCGAAGACATGGCTCCCTCATCATCTGAGACATTCTCACCTGGTCTGTTTGCAGGGCTTTTCTTCCCAGATTTGCCAGGTTTGGCACATGAGGTTTGTGAAGTATCTTCGTCTCCCGAGGAGCTCTCGGTGTTGCTTGCGCCTGCATGCATTGCTTTGGCGCCTGGATTCCTTGCCTTCTTCTTTGTCAGATCAGCTTGTTCCCTCTCACTGCCGTCCAGTAGGGCGATCTCGACACAGTCGGCACAGTCCTCAAGGGAAGCACTGCTTCCGTCGCATGACTGCTCACCGTGGCCAACGTAGCCAACGTGGCCAACGTGGCCAACGCGGCCAGGTCCAGAGCTGATCTGGGACCCAGCACCGTGGGCACCGTCAGCACCATTGGCACCATCGGCCTTGTTGACCTCACTGGCGTCATGCTTTTCGTTGGCCTCGCGAGCCTCACGACCATCTTGCGGGCTCCCTGCTTGCGGGCTTCCTGCTGGCGAGTTGTATGTGATCCGAGCATTCCGTCCTCCGAGTCCGAGTTCTCTGCCCAGCTTTGGTGAGCTTGTTGGCCTTTGCCTCGTGGACGTTGTTGTCGTTGTTAATTGGGTTGGCATTGGTGTTGTTGGTGTTGACGAGCTTGCTGGCCCAGTCTTAGCGCTTTTTACACTGGAAGCAGAAGTGGTTCCAGGGCTTTTCGGACTTCTTGGGTTTCTGGAACTTGTTACTGGACTCCTTGGTATCCTTGAAGTCTTTGCTCGTTGCTGTGGGGGTTGCGCGCTCAGATTCATGGCTACCCTTTCCACTGCCGAACCTTTGCCAGCACTGCCCACATTGGCCACACCTGTCTTGCTCACAGTCTGCTTTGGGCTGGGGGATTTCTTGGTAGAGTGAGCATGCTTTTCATCGCTGCGATGCGGAGAATAGCTCCAACCTGCACAGGTTTCATAATAACAGGGGCAGAAGCACTTGCTTCTCTGACTGGAACTTATTGGCCTGCAACCTGCACAACATTACCTATACCTACAGTAAATATAATGGCACTGGCAAATGAGGATCTGCTCAGTCTGCTGATTCGCGCTCGCAACACTTTCTGCTCTTGTGGTCTTCAGAACAGGAGGATGCTATAAAATATCAGAAAATGCTAACCATCACAAACCAGCGATACTTCGTGAAGCAATGGGAACCCAGGGCCAGATCGATTTGATTGGAATGAAGTACATGAAGGATTGGGTCTTGATGGATCAAATGCCACGTCCCGCCTATTCTGTCGCTGTGCAACTGTCCTGGATCTTCCAGGGACTGCATCCATCCCTCTATGGGCACATCTGCATCTCGAGCTGGAAGACCTTCCCAACTTGTCCCAAAACTGTCTGGAGAAGTTGCAGTGGCCGCAGTAGCTGCGATAGCTGCAGCCGTGGTAGCCATCCACTGACCAAAATTGCTGTGGATTGTATCAGTTGGAATTGTCGTACCTGCTGGAATTGCACTCAGGTCGGAAAGAGAACCAGGAAAGCATCGCGATGCAGGAGGTTCTCTGATCTCATTCCCAAGCTGATCACCAAGAATCTCTTGACTTCGTTGTGTCCCCACTTGACTTCTTTCATCAGCATTGACATTGACTGTGGAGCGGTCTCTGTCTTCAAAGCTGTAAGTATTGCCAAGATTCGATCTTCGATATCTTCGTTCCGGCTCTCCCTCTCTCAAGGTATCAAAGGCCAAATCAAATCCGTCAGACAAGACATCTGCACCTGGCTCCGCCCTCCTTACGCCTTGCACGGGAAAAAGTTCCCTTTGGGCTTTGGAAGTTGGCAACGCCGAGGCATCCTTCGTGTCATTCAGAGATCGAAATCCTTCAACCCAGGATGATCTTGCATTTACTTTCTCGGATTGGTTCTGCACACTTGCCTCCTTCGCGCTTGAAAAGTGACAACAATCAGAATTGTCTTCCCTGTGCAGCCTGTCTTCCATCCCTTCCATCTCTTCCATCTCTTCCATCTCTTCCCTTCTCAAACGAATGACCTTTTCGCTTTTTGACCGGGCCATCGGAAGCGAGCGAAGCCGAGTCTTCTCCAGTCTTGTATTCTCACCTCAAACTGTGTGACTGGATGGGGAGGGCAATGTGCTGTTCAAGAAATTGGCGATTTGGAAATTTGGAATTATTCAACTACATGAAACTTTATTGAAGTCGTGACCACAAAAGCAGATGTTGGAATGATGCGGTGCTGGCCACATAGCCTGGACATCCATGTGCCATCTGAATTGACCCGAGGCAACTCGCAGCTGAACGTCCAACCTGTCACAATTTTTGATAAATATTGACATTCGACTCCAATAAGAACTGATGAAAATTGATGATTAGTCTGTCCTGGCTGAGAACTTGCACATCTTTACGAGGTGTGGCGTGATGCAGGCCTTTGACCAGCAATAGGAATCTGTGGAAACGCAGAAGCTAATCCAAGCTCATCTGAGGCAATGACCTTTGTGAGTGGGCAACTCACCGGGCCTTGGTGCCCCAAATCCACTTGTTATTTCATGAGATTGAAACAAACTGAAACATGCCACCTCTGTTTCCCGAATGGGTGTTTCAAAAATATGCTGACCGTTTACCCATCTCAAATGTTCCAAGTCCTTTGGCCAGCTGTTTCAAAAAATATGTCAAAAGAATGAAGCAATCAAAATGAACACGGCCTTCAAGGCTGCTCCCTAACAATGGAAAAGGCGCATTTCAAGAATAATTCGCTCCAAAAGAAATGAATAAAGTATTTCTTTAACAGGTTCCCAACAAATGGAAGCAATAGATTTCAAGTCCAACCTCCAACCAAATGGCAACCAACCTACGCGAAATAAAGGAGCAACCGATATGGCGAAGCCCACGATGAAGTAAAATGATTATAGGCTATAGACCTCACAACCTTGTCCCAACATGGCCCTAACCAGCCAGTGGCGGGCTGTCGGGCGTAAGCCTTTAAATCGACATAAATCGACAATTGTTGAGAGCACCAAAATTACTGAGTCACACTCCTCAGTCGAAGCCAGCCTCGAGGATGCAGCCGGTCTGAAATCGCTTTAATTTGGATGAATTTGGATCATCTCTCGCTGGTTGCTAACCCAAGTGCTCTGCTTTTGTCCTTTGGGAGGCACTTCAAGTCGCCCTTGGCCAAACTCATCAAAATATGTCAAATCAAATCAAATCAAGGACAGAATCCAAGCTGGGAAAATCAAACAATGACTTTTCACCATATCAGGACTTACCGCCATGCGTCACCCCACCATGCGCCTGCGGCGATCGATGCATACGAACCCGTTTGGGTCGGGAAAATGTTGGTACCTGCAATTGACAAGGCAAGGCTGAAGGCACAACAAGACACTCGCCACCGCCAAGTCCAGGCCTCTCTCAAGGAGCCTGGGCTGCTGAAATACTTTCTGGTTCCTGCCTCATGTTCAGTCATGTTCAGTCATGTTCACGTCACTGAGCGTGAAAAGCAAGCAACACTGTGTCTGAAAGTGGAAAACGAGTTCAGAAACGAGGTGCTGGAAGTTCTTCGTTTGCCTGCCAAAGCAGATCAAACCAGCAATATTTCGAAGAACTTAGACTTCAATTCCTTCAACTTCTGCCTCCGAAGTACTCCCGTGGGAATTGGTCCAGAGACGCCTTCCAAGAAGCGCAAGTGCACGACTTTGCATTGCAACCGTCATGGATTTCTAGGATTTTCTAGGCTACAGATATCTGGAGCCTTGGCACAGGACTGCAACCACCGCTGCTGCAAGACGACCGGATCTGGATTCCCGAAACAATCAGGTGGCCGAACAAAAAAGGCATTCGAGCACTCAAATACGCTAAAATCATCTGAAGACCAGAGTTCTCCATCATTTCGCACTAAGCCAACAGCTGGAGAAAGCCCTTGCTGATCAAGAACGCGAAAGTCAAAATTCACATCAGCCGAGAACTCTCCTGACCAGAAAGAGTGGAGGGCAATGGGTTCAATCAGCCAACAACGATTGATCAAGTCTTGCCTTCCTCACTCTTGCTTTGCTCCACATCCTCTCCGTCGAACAAGAAACCATCCCTGACGGTATCTGGAGCAACGAAACAGTCCGTGTAGTTTTGGCGACAAGACCGAGCTGCAACAGGCCTGCCATTCGGAGGCCACTCCTGGGGAATGAGGAAGTTTGTCACTGAGGAGTTCTGACTCTTTGATGAAGATTGATCAAGACATCTCCACATATCTGCCATCCCTGGAGAAGCTAATACACCGCTCAAGAAAAATCAAGAATCTAAATTCCCCCAGCGGCAGAATGTATCAAAAAAACCTTATGTCATCTTGATAAAGAATGGCATTGGCCCATCGGCCTTCCTTTTATTCTTTTTCTCGGACTAAACAGCGGGCCTCATGCAACAACAAATGCACAGTGTTTCACTGTAAACTTCCGTAGAAAAACAAATGCTGACGTCCTTGTCGAACACGAGCAGGGTGTGTGAGAGAGAACCTTGGCTACGTCTAGAATCAAGCCATTAACAAAATGAGCATTGTTCAAAATCCCTCTGTTGTTCCATTATACTGGTTGGTTAGTATAGATTCCCCTATTGCATTGTATATTATAATCCGCAGTTTGTGTCCTCGTTTGTCGAACAAACTCTTTACATCTCTTTACCATCTGCTTGCTAAACTGCTCATTTCGTCTGTTCCATGCAGTTTGTCGATGAAATGTGCGCCAAACGGCTTCGGCGGCTGTCCTCACTGTCACTCCCAGGCTCTCGCCGAATGCAACCTGCAACAATCAGTTGACAGCAGGTCGATGCAGGTCGTACTTTCGTGGGACAGCACTGCAATTTCTGGCAGTCCTGGCAACGCAGCCATGCCATCACTACGGTTGGCTCGAGCTGGTTCATTCACATTGACATGTTTGATGTACGAAGCTATAAATCTGTAAATGTATTGCTGCAAAAAAGATACGTACTAATGATTCACATCATTCACAGACTTGCACGGCGCTCTTCTTTGCAGAATAGTTCTGGGTTTTAGAGCTACACTTGAAACCATTTGGATTCGCGTAAGGGACTTTGATTGCATGTTTGGTTGAATTGATGATGTCTGCGCCAGTCACGCCTCAGCTCCAAAACAAGATGCATATGCAATGAGCCAAAGCTGTACGCAGGAATGGGTCACCAGTGTGCAGGGGAAGAAATGAACAAACAAGCGAGCAAACAAACCAGATCGAACAAGTCGAGCAAGCATGAACAAGCATGAACAAGCATGAACAAGCATGAACAAGCAGAATAAAAAACCTCTGATTGAGTGAACTGTGGCGATAAATACGAAAAAGAAAAGAATAGGATCACAACGACGGGAACAGCAACGACTGCCGACGCTGAGAACATCAGGCCAGTCAGGGCAGAAACGACTGCACAAGTGCACAAGGAAAATGTTGACAAACTGGCATCATATATCACAACTACGATTAAACGTGCTTCGACACACTATCTCTCTCTCTCTCTCTACCGACCTAGCTGTCTGTGTAAAGCCAATGTCTTCAATGAGATCTTGGAGAACCAGTTGGATTGGAGGAGTTGTTTGCCATGTCTAGAGCAATGACAGCCCGCACAACTTTTGAGACTGCAGGTGAACACTCTGTTTGTCCATGTCCAGAGATGCAGTCTATTTGTTTGTCCTTGTTGTGACTTCCAACTGTTTCAATATCCAATGGCTGACTGCAAGCGTGCTCGAAGGATGGTTGAGCTACTGGCAGCTATTGCAGCCAACAACATCAAAACAATACTCCGGAATGCTCTGTCATAGTAGGTTGTTCGTGGTTGTTCCAGGTATGGTTGGGACTTGTGCTCCTGTGAAACTGTGCCAAACAGCATCAAGCCATGTCTACGTTTCTCTCATTTCACAACACCGCCTGGCACGGTCTACGTCTCTGCCATGGCAGTGTCCGCAGCTTGGCTAAACTGACCAGAGTTGACAGGGCAAGTTGGGCCTGCCGTCTCGATCACCTCCACGTTTGGAATCAAGGCTATCCTCAGCTCCACGTCAAGCTGAGTTGATCATGTTGATCTAATCTTGATCACGTGGCCACGTGGCAGCTCAGGAAAGCACCAATCACCAGAGGAATTTGGGAGAAGGCCCATCCCCGCCATGTGATACCTGATTTCTCTGATTTCTCTGGGATGTGTTGATCGCCAGTCACCAGTCACACTGTCCATCAATGCAAGCATGCCAGGCACACAGCAGGTACGCCAAAGACACCGAGCAAAGAGCCAGGTATGCAAGCCACTGCAACAGGAAAGGCAGGAACTCACAAGATTTCTCATTTCCATTTTACAATAAAGTCTTCTTTACTGCTTTTGTGACTCTTAACTTAACAAAAAAATGGATTTGAACAGGTACAAACTGCTCATCCTTCTGTACTAGTCAGACTACAGTAGGTTGTTGTCCTTGTCCGCTAAGACTCCGGGGAATGATTCCACTCGCATCCCTGCGCTTGTGATTTATGCATTTCTGGTCCGGAATTGCAAAGAGTTTGCAAAGCATTGATGGCCTGCAAAGTAGTGTCAATGGTCTTGAAGTTTTGGAAAGCTGCATTGGCTTTGGCGAACTGACCAACTATAGAGGTGAGGCAATACCTGGCAACTGTGGGTCAGGTCTTGTCTGGCACAAGTTTCACGAGTCAGAACAGCACATGGTGCCAAAATCACTGAGAGGTTGGCCCCAAAATCATGATTGTGAAGATTCCTGGTGAAGACCTGGCAGCTACGCACAGCTACTGTTGAATTCTTGCCGAAGACATACTTGATCACTTGACACTGACCATATAATCGTTTTGGCAGGACCCGCTCATCCACAGAAAGAAGAAATTCATGCCGACCTAAGACCAACTTCGCATGGCAAACAGCTCTCAGTGTGCAAAACAAAAGATTCAAATATTGTGAGATGTTCTCGTCTTCAAGGCCCAAACAGATTGGATAGGCGCGACGGCAACCTCCCACGCCTTCTTTTCAAGCAGCTCCTGGATGAAACTTAGACCAAACCTATCTGAATGCAGGGCTGAAACGTAGAACGGCATTACATGGCATTACCACATATTACCACAATTGTCCTGGTTGGCGGTCTTGGATTTGTTCTTGCCAGCAGCATTGCCATCATCCTTTGGAGAGCACTTACAAGACATGTACAGAGCATGCCGGGTTGTCGGGTCATGTTGGATCATCTTGACAAAACGCCATTGAAAGATGGAAAAGGTCGAAAAAGTCGAAAAAGGTGTCCAAGTTCTGTCACATTCCTTAAGAACATGAGCAGTCATAAGCTTTGACGAGAGTCCATGGTCAGCTTGTACCCAATTGGATCTTGAACGCCATCTACCTGAAAAAAGATTCGAAGTCTCCGTTCTGTCGACTCACAGCGCTCGGTGCTTGATGGTGCTTGGCCATGGACTCGGCTAGAGCCGACCGTGTCCAAATTGCTGAAGTCCCATCTAGTCCATGACACCTGGCGCCATTTGTGCAAGACGGATGTTGTGCACTGAAAAGGCCCTGGTGGCAGTTCCACGAATGCGAGCCTCCGTCATGTTGCCGGCTGATTGAGCTATGAAATCTGCTTGAAAATTGCATCATGCATCCATGCATGCCGCATGCCCATGCATTCAGAGTAGCAGGTAGCCAGAGGCGTCTTTGGTTGCCTTGACGTCCCTCACACAGAGTTGAAGGCCATCTGATCTGTTCTGCACCATGGATTCTTTTCCCGCCGACAGCGTCGCATGTACAGAATGGATAAGCTACAAGCTTGAGTCCTTAAAGCCTTTATCCTTGCGTGCATTTTGCAGCAAGCATATCGATGCATTGATGCATGATCTGAGATCATTTGAGACTATGCACACTACCAATCACTCCAAGTCCAACACCCAGAGGCCTGAAACGGACGCAGCATGGCAGATCATGGCAATACATGGCATGTGGAAAAAAACTCCGACAAAAAACGTCTCCGGGGCCCCCTGCACCAAGAAGACTTGCATCACGCGCGCGACCCAACCGCCAAAGCCCTGACAGGAAGAAAGTTCCAGATGTAACATGAAACTGAGCAAAACATGGAAAACTGATGAAAACTGTCCAAAAATGTCCAAAATAACAAACTCATCAAACTCCACAAAAATCTTCACAGCTAAGCTCTGACGCCTTTGGACTCTGAACCAAATTTCGGCGTTGGGCACCAAGAATCATGAGTGCCGGAGCAACCTGACAGATCTGACAGGAGTCATAGGACAGTCATAGCAGGAATGGAACACCAGATATCACCAGATCTCTTTGGTTCAGCAATAGTTCCATCAGTTTGCCCTTCACACTGAGGAGCACGCATATACCAAGAAAGTTCCCAAGCTTGCTCCAGCAAGCCTTACGAGACTCGCTCAGTTTTCGGGAGAACCCTCCAACAACTTGGCCTCAAACTGAATCCTGGTTCCAAACGTTCCAAACCAATGGCCATTGAGAATCATTGAGAACTCAAAATGATAGTGCTATATAGTGCTCATAGCCAACTCATAGCGTTCTGTTGAATTGTTTCCGGATGAAGACACAAAGATACGCTCGACATGACCGGAAAGCACCATGTACAGATTCGTACGGATCAAACAAAGCCCTGGCTCCAATCTGTGTGCCAAGTGTCGCAGCTACAACGCCAAGGTTTCGCAGTCTGCGACAGGTTGAAAACAAATTGGAAAAACTGGCGAAACAGGTGGGAAACCTGTCCAAAAGAAAATCCCAAACACAACTTGAAATAGAAGGATCAACTAATTACATACAGTAGATACATTTGAAAAGCAATTCAACAGATTGGATTCAGTTCTTTGTGCCTCAAAGCGATAGCCGTCACCCCTGGCCGCGAGAAAATTGAGACCCGAAGCTTTCGCAAAGTGTATCAATCGAAAGATCCACAAGCTGCCTGCCAACAAAACCACCGTAGAAAGCCTCGGCAGTGGATCCAATCGATTTGTCAAATTGGTGCAGTGTGCAGTGCAGTGAATCCTCGCCTCGGCTTCTCCTCAGCTAGTTTGGCACCTCGACTACCTAGAATCTCCACAACCTCAGATCTGATTTGAGCATCAAACAGCTAAAGCCGCTAAAGCTACAGGGCCACAGGTTGCAAATTATAGGATGAACCTGCTTGCGAAGGCTGAGGAAAACCAATGGATACGCAGTCACCTTGGAGAGATGCAATGTGGTGCCATCATGACCAGTGGCAGTGTCTTTGTCGCACCTTTCGGCCTCAAGCCTTCAGCAGCGGACCAGTGATAGCACAATGGCAGCTCGAGCAAGAACTGCAAGACCTGAGAAAATGTGTCTGAGAGTCTAAATTGCTGTGATGGATAGTGAGGATAAGTAGGAGTGTGATTAGACTTCCTTGCAGGGTTTTACAAGAACCGCATACTTGTATCATTGTCAATGACTGTCAAACATGCGCAGCGCATCTGGCAGGTGCGGGAGGGATCGCTCGGGGTGGAGAGTGTGATTGATAGGGCACTGGATAGAACACAGGTGTAAACACATCTTCACCGCACAGGGTAAACGCATGTTTTTCTTATACTCTGTGGAGAACACTTTTTGTAAGGTCTTCCCCTGCAAGACTGGGGACGGTACCATCCGTAGCTGCATAGTTGTTTAAGATGAGACCCATGCTCGATTGGCCAAAGGTTAAGAAACCTTGCCACTTCCGGCATTCTACAGAGGTGGAAAAGGGCAAGAAACCACAAAGCAACCCGCCTCCAGCCAATACCAGGCAAAATATCAGACCTCAGAGTTGCAACTGAAGACGGCCAGCGCACTTAAGAGTTTGTGCAGGCATCGTTTCAAGAAGAAGCTCAAATCACTAAAAAAGGTTAGAGCTTCCATTTGTTGTGCATTACATGCGTCCTGCTTAAAAATAATTGTGAGTGGGTTCTGGTCCCACTTATGATCGTGTACTCTTTGATGTAGGCCTCGAAGTCAGCGCAGCAATGGCGATCTCTTTTTGCCTTCGCATTCGGACCGTGGATCGCTTAAACCCTTGAGCCAGGCAGCTGCACCTGGCCTATGTACCTTTCACACCCCCCATGCTCGACCCGTTCTTGATCGGTCGGACACAGGAGCGCACGCCAGGGTTTTAAAAAATCTTCGCCCATCGAATTATCGCTGTATCATGCAAAATTGGTAGTTAATGTGAATCCTTCCGAGTTTCGTAGGTGTGAAACATCTCCGTTCCTGTCACCAGTACTGTGCACGAAAGAAATGATTTCGCCCGCAGGATCCATGACGACGCCGATAGGCAGACATCACATCACGGTTGATTAAAATCGTTGACCGCAGCATTCATAACGTAGCCGAATGGCATGCGTTAGATCGTGCTATTCCCGGCACCGCCGAATGGCATACGCTGGTACTTGGCCGGTTTTCTATACAGCACTGTCTACGGAAAATCTTGGACTCACATTAATTACTGAGGTCGCCTACTACCTCAGCTCATAGTCAAAAGTTCGCCCATGCATGGAAGTCATCGTGCGTAACCTCGCATGCAGTAGCTACAAAATCTGAATTGACCCGGCTCTCATGCCACTCTCAGAATTCACCCACAGTGAAGTAGTGCTCAGCGGCGACGTCGTTTGGTGGTATCCTTGCTACTTGCCGCTGCTCCACCCTCTTCTCCAGGAACATTGGTGATGGCTCTCACGTATGTGCAGATACCGTCACGATCGGCAGGGTCCAACATTCGCACGCTGACCTCGAGCTGCGCGTCACTTTGTCGGACTGCTTTCAGTTTGCTTTCCCAGACTTTCCCAAGCCCAGCTGGTAGCCTCATGCCGACTTTGTTGAGGGTTACCATGACTGCAAATGATCGCACTCTTTCTGTCACTGCGCATGCCAATGATACTGGATCAATATGAAGGTTATCTTCACGTTGTGGAGGATTCAGTCTGAAGTAGTCATACGACCTGATCGCGAATGCCCCCGCGATGATCTTCCGGACAAAATCTGTGACTTCGCGTCTGACCTCTGCTTTCTTGTCATCCACGGCATCTGCAACATCGCTGAGCTTGTTGCTGATGAACTGTGGAGTCACTCCAGTTTGCACCAGATACTTCATGAGCTTGCTCAGAATCTTGATGCCTGGGACTCCCTTGAGGTACATCTCGAGGTTCACGGTTGCCAAACTTTCCACCTTTTCCGGCCCGCTCGAATGCCGCTTTATGCTCTGCCTCCGTGGGCTCCCGGAAGTCGCCGTGCACGTCCTCGCCAACGTAGGGGATGTACCCGTCATACTCCGGGATCATGCCGTTGTTCTTGACATGTTCCACGTAGGTTTGTGGTGGTGTCATCACCGTGTACACATAATAGTAGGCGCGGTAGCGGTCCTTGATGTATGTCAGGATCATGATATCGATGACTCGCGCCGCAGAATCAACGGCATCTTCATTCTCAGCGAGGTCAACGCAATGGATAACACATCCTGGGACAAGCCTTGTTGCCCAAATTGGAATTTGGCTAGCCGCTCACGCTGTCTCTCGGCCTGCTCTTCTTCTTCGGCTTGTCGTTCATCTTCAGCCTCTTGCTGCTCCTTTGTCTCACCATCGACGGTCGTTTTCGGCTGTGGAGTTGATCTCGTCGATCGTCCATTGCCACTTGATGCCGCCTGGCTTGATTGTGGCGCAGTCATGTCCACGTCGTCATCGGTGCGTGCTTCAGTCTTGGCTTTGGTTTCCTTGACCAGTCGATCGATCTCGTCCTTGTCCATATCTCCCTCAGCGTCACCGGTTTCATCGCCGCTCTGCGACTTCTCTCGCTCCGGCATTCCAGGAGGTGCGCCTTCATTCTGTCCGGCGGTCCTTTCCCCCCAGCTGATGAGCGATCCGGAACACCTGATGCAGATAGACAGGTTGTTCGCAGTTTCGGTCAGGCACGCAGGGCAGACAATTCTGCCGGTCTCCCGTGGGACGCAGTTCTCGGCGATGAACGTCACCAGCCTGTTCCTCAGGCCACTCTGGTACTCCAAGGCTCCCCCCATGCTCTCGAGTTCTCCAACGTCTCTGACGAACTCGTCGTAGTAAGGGATGTTGTCCTCGGGGTTGATCTCGTTCAGGGCGACTCTTTTAACTGTCGCCGTGGTGGCGATCTCATTCGGGTCCTTGATGGATCGTACCAGTTGAAGCCGCCCAGAGTCCACAAGCAAGCGATCCCATTTGTAAGCATTTGTCCGGTACCAAGCTCCAGCCACCTCGGAGAACGGAATGTTTCCATTAATGAGTCGATGTACGCTGAATGCCAGGACGATGCGCACTGTTCCAAGATGTGTCAGTGCTCCGCCAAGAATGGTCTTGTAGCGGTCGTCCCATGCCGCAAAAGGATTGAGGCACACTTGGGCTCGTCCTCCTCGATGTCCGCCTGGTCGAAGTCCTTTCTTGATGATGCCATTCACGTTTGCCATCTCGGTGACGTGATAGCAATATACTGAAATTCGTCTGCAAGTTTGGTGGTAATTGGGTGACAAACCTTTTCGCTGTCGAGGCGGAAATCTGTCCCGCAAGATGAGTGCGCGCCCGGTGATCCGACAGCGATCGGAGCCAGGAAAACTTCACCATCACGGGCGATGAGTTTGTGAATGTCCTCATCTCCATCCAGGAAGTGTTTGAGAGGCTCATCAGGCTCTGTGAAACTAGAGTCCAGGACGATGCACAAGGACTGGATTCAGACCTTGTTCGATTTCTGGAACTCGGCCCGTGCAGTCTTGGTCATCAATTGACTCGATCCTCTCTGAATGACGAAGGAATCAATCCATCATCGTTTTCCTTGACCTTCTCGTGGTCGAAAATCCAGCCATGGTGCAGGAACTCCATGATGTCGACCCATCCTGCTTCATTGCAGTGTAGGCCAGGGAAGTTTCCCGCCCTTTCTTTGACTCGTTCCCGACCGACATGATGTCGCAAGGCCTTGTTGAAGTAGTAGCTGTAGCTATGCTCCCGCTTATCAAGCTCTACCACGTTGGGGTTCTCATCGGTTGGAAGTGGGAATTCAACGCCGCCTCCTGCGAAGGACTCGGAGTAGAATTTGCCACCGTTCAGAGGTAGGATCTTCAACTTTCCGATGTTGGTCTTGATCTGGAGCTTCTTGTACATTTTGTGATTGGAGTATTTAAGGGCTTCCTTCATGTCCTTGTACGTCATTGTGACACCGCTCTGACTCGCAACGTCAACGAGATCATTCAATGCGTTCTTTGTTTTGGGGCCCTTCTCATCGATCCTCACTCCATTGATGCTCAATTCACCATGAGCACGATCACCAATCACCGAAAGAGGAATGGGACGAAAGAGGAATGGGACGGAGGAACATGTACTCTCCTTCCCTCGTGGCCTGATATCCACTTTGTGGTTCCTTGCTCTCTTCCCCTTGAGGTCCCTCTTCGCCAACTTCTTCACCTTGAAGTTTCTTCCTCAGGTTAATGAGCTCGGTCTTGACTGGATCATCATCTTTCTTGTCGCACTCGTAGTTGGTGTGTCCGCTCTCCCCACATCTGACGCACACGCTGTTGTCATCCGCCAGTGCGAAGAATGCATCGATAGTGTCCATGACCTGACCTGTCTTTGGAGATCTGATATTCTTCCTCAGGATCTGCCTACCTGGGGCTGCCGACTGGCCTACCCCTTCAGTATATCGGCTCCCGCACTCGTGGATTCGGTTCCGTGGGCCGCCGAATGGCCTACCCCGTCATCCCCCTTTGACGATCTTCGATAGATCCCACTGATGACCTCTATCTCCTTGTCCTCGATCAGGCACATGTTGCGCAAATTGTTCATGGGCTGTTGCGCAAGATCTGGTCCAATGTGGCCCTCATAGGATGTTTGCTCCGTCATCCTCGAGCTGTTCCTCTTGGTGTTTGACGTGGAGGATGACCTGGTCGTGCCATGGAAGATGTTGATTGATGCCCCCAATCCCGCGAGTAATTCTCCAGGGTCGGCACGAGTCTCCATGAACTTGATGTGCTCCTTTGTCATGTTGGCGATGTCCAGCATGCCGAGCTACATTCCACAACGTCTCCACATTTCTCGGCTGCGACGTCGGCGTAGTCCATGATCTCGTCAAACTCGCGTCCCAACACCAACTTGTAGTCTTTGTAGAAGACATTGCCATAATCCTTGGCGACACGATAGGCGAAACGTTCGTGCCTTCCATTGTCCCCTTCTAGCAAGAACTCCTCTCTGATGACGGTGTACTGCCTTCCGCGTTTTCCCATGAAGATCTGCGTCACCCGATCACGTGGAACTCTCACCATGCCAAGGTGTGATATCGGCTTCAAGAGAATTTCGCCATATGGGCTTCTCTTGTTTCCCACCATTGCGTAGGTGATGTCCTTGAGGAACTGCACGAAGTTCTCCTGTGGATCTGCGATCTTGCTCCCCTCTTCGGACATCTTGACGGTGAACGTCTTGATCCTGGCAGCCATCTTCACGATGGATTGCCTTTGCCATTCAGGTGGCCACAAGTAGTACTTGTCGGACATCTCATTGGCGCTGCACACAATGCATGTCTTGCCATAGCCGTAACTGACCTTCATGATGTCATGTGGCATGACCTCGTCATCATTGCCGTTGTAGTGACGATCGCAGAGAATGGATCGATCAACACCGTGGTTGACGTAGAACCACATGTCGTTCATGTTGGCCGATGGCTCTGGTACCATTGTCTTCACATTGGCTTCCACCCATGGTGCTTTTTCGTATTCCACCGATGTTCGCCTACTTCCACCAATCGTGCCGGATGATCCAGCACATGTTGTGTTGGGCACTCCACCTCCAGTTCCGATGTCAACTGTGGTGGGTTCTTTGATTGCGTCCTCCATCTGCTCCATGTTGATGCCCACTTTCATTGATGATTCCTTGACCAAATCATTCAACTCCTTGGCAGCATCGACATTGACCGAGCACATCAGTAGCACCCGTTGTCGGAAGAGGAACTTCTTGATGGTGGCGAACACTCCCAATCTGTCAGGACTGTAGTGGTTTCCAGCATGACCGTACAACAATCGCCACATCCCATCGGCCAACAAGGAGGTCCCGTGAGCCTCGCTTGAATGTAGGCTTGGATGGCGTCCGCCAGCTTCACAGTGTGCCCGGGGATGCAACCATAGAAGTCTGCCCATCGGGAAGCTTCGAACGTAGCAGGTGAGTTGCCGAGATCTTGGAAGAATGCGGCCTCCCTGTACCGTTCTTCACTTGGTTACCAAGTAATACGCCTCGACCTTTGAACTTTCTTCCGGGGCTGCCCTTCGGCAACTGGTAGCTCTTCTCGACACAAATGCCGCGAACTCGTGCCATATGAACTTCTTTTCCTTCTCGTTTGGCTTCGGCCACAACATCGTCGTATTCACGGACGATGGAGAAGTCGTACACCCGTTGCTTGTGCTGACCCAACCACTCGTTCCTCATTGAAGCCTTGGCGTCCGGCTCTTCCATCATCTCCTTTCGGCCAACTGGCCTTGAGACCATCGCGTTGAACATTTTCCCAAACCTCATATCACTTTTTGGCCGAACTTCTCGCGAGGTTCAAAGTCTTGGTGAACGCAAGGCATACAAGGAATTGACTTCACGATGTGGTCGACCTTGGACTTGCCATTGGAGTCGTTTGAGGTAGAAGCCGTTGGTGCAGCAATAGCAGGTGTGACAACCTTCCCTGTGCTGAAGTCATAGTGAACATTTTCACAGTGAGCTCGTGGTCCACTACCAACTTCATGTTCGGACCATTCATCCCAATCATTCAAGAACTCTTGACCATCATCATCACTTGGGATGTTTGTGCTCGTCTCGCTGGGCGTCGACGGAGAAGCATTGTAGAACTTGTTGAAGTTGTTGAGATCCTTGGATCCGTGGGTAGCCGAAGGGCATGCCCCGTCTCCATTGTTGGATCTGAGATCGTTGGTTCCGAGGGCCGCCGAAAGGCCTACCCCCCCTCACCATGACCTTTTCTGACATGGTTCAGCTCTTTCGGTCCGTGGGCCGCCGACAGGCCTACCCACTCGCCTCGGAGCATTCCCACGCCAGCTGGTATAAGATCGTGAACTTCCATCTTGATCTTGTCACCTTCGGAGTTGATCATGTAGGGTTCTCTCCCATTGGGCCAAACAAAGGTGTAGCCTTGTTCCATGCATCGCTTTCCCAGTGAAAGTACTGATGGAGTGTTGTCCAACACATGTGCCTTGGCAGGCTCATTGAATGTGTCAAATCCCAAGTCCACCATAGTCGTGGTTGGTGTGATGCCATTAGCGGTGTGGAAATTGACTCTTGAACTCTCGTAGGTGTCAAGGTCCATCCTGTCAACCCTCGTTGCAGAAATGAGGTCATGACCACTCACAGAGTCCATGATGAAGCGTCTATCCTTGAGCTCGATTGGCATAGTGATGCACATGATGTTGTCACGTCGTCCAAATTTACCTGGAACGTGGGGTATCACCTCCTCGTAACATGTCTCAGCTCTTGGGTTATCCCACAGGTATTCAATGTGATGAAACCTGAGCTTGGTATCACCCCTGGAACACAAGACGATGTGCACCTCATCGACGTCAGCGAACTCGTCGAAGTCGTCCATCAGGATGCCAACAGCACACGCCCTTGTCATACCCAGCTTGGCTTGTAGAGCCCATTGAGGATCACCCATGATTTCCTGGGTCGTCTGGCACTTGATATATCGCTTCTGAGTCTTCGACATGCTCCTTCTCGGCTGTCGGTTGGAGCAGAACACATAGTCATGCTTCTTGTACTCGAACATTTCCACATCATCATAAAACTTGACGTTCAGCTTGATCTTCTTCTCGTTCGGCATGGCCTTCACAATGATGTCATCATCATATTCCCGGATCAATGCAAGCGTTGCCTTGGCGGCTGCAGACTTCGCCGCAGGGGTAGCTCTCTTGCCCTTCATGTTGGGGTCGTGCTTGAATGTGCATTTGTCCCCAGGCTTGCAGTCGCCCTTGGCCCATCACAGTGACCATTTTTCTTGCCTCCAGGGGTTTGTGATCTCCTTGGCGATGCCGATCTCCCATTACCACCTTTCCCGTGCTTGTTCTTCCTCCTGTCCCAATGGTATTGTGAGTGACTATGTTGGCATTTGTCACCATGTTTGCAATTCCCTTTGTTGAAGTGGAAGTGACAAAAGGTCTTCGATGGGTCTCTGGTAGATGGTGATCTCGACCTCCGACTGCTCTTCCCCTTGCCCTTGCCATGACTTTTGGGATTGCCGGAAGGTAGCACAGGAGCTCCAGGCTTACCTTTGGGTGCGGGAGCACTGGGCTTTCCGGTCTTACCATCTTTTGGTGCAGGAGCAGGCGCTGCAGGCTTTGGAGCAGGGGTCGTAGGCTTGCCAAGGTTCGTGTAGTCAGTGGCGAACTTGTCTCTCGCTGCCATGTTCTTGTCCTCACGCACTCTAGCGATGTACCTCTTCATGATCTCCAAGAGCTCCTTGTAGGTCTTCTTCTTATCATCATTTTCCCTACCCTTGAAGATAGTGAGGTCCACGTGAAGTGCTTGAGATCCGTCGATCTTCCTCAGTAGGTGATCGCGTAAGGTGTTCTCCGAGGGGATGTCCTCAGCTTTCATGTTGGCAATGATCTCGATCCAAGCATTGAGGAACTTATCCATCTCCTTGTCTCCTTGGTATTGCAGCTTGTAGATGTGACTGGCGTTGAACAACACTTCGTCCTTGGACGTCGTTCTGAAACGATCAAGAACCATTGCAAAGATTTCTCTGCCCATCAGTAAATCCCCCTTTTTCCCAAGCTCCTGACTCCTTTGTCTTATCTTGACCTTCACCTCACATGCGACTTCGCCCGCAGCATCAAACATGTTCTGCAAAACCATCGACAACTTGCAGTCAACAGATTGGAATCGGAATTCACCTGAGTCGGACAACAATGCATGATCAGGATCAGGTAGTTGAGCAGGTGTAAGCCAGCTCCTCCATGCTGCTGTGTCAGGATCACCAGAAGCAACACAAACGGCTTGAACGACGTTCGATCGCCACACATCAAGGTCCTGACATTTCGGCCATGGCTTAATGGAGATCTTCTCATGCTCCTTTCTCGATATACGAGTAATCCAATCTTTCACATCTTGTCCCTACATATGATACTGTACCACCACCACCGCTCTCCACGGACCCCGGCGTGTCATTGATTGCCGCCGGTGCCGCCGCAAAGGAGTAGTGAGTCTCATTGCTGCTTGACTGGGGTTTCTGAGACATTGCTCTGGCCTCACTGCAATGGGTCACTTCCGTGTACCACAGTCCAGCGACTTGTAGTAGGTCAAGTAGAGCAGGATGCCCAAGTCAATGTCCGAGCCAATGATCGACCCGCCCACCGGAGTGGGGGAAGCAACCAACCAGGTAGGTGCACTCTTCAGACGCCTTGCCGTCGGACTCTTCCGCGTTGTAGAACCACCGTACGCCCTGGGTAGAGCGTACAGCTGATAACCTGTGAGTGGGTTCTGGTCCCACTTATGATCGTGTACTCTTTGATGTAGGCCTCGAAGTCAGCGCAGCAATGGCGATCTCTTTTTGCCTTCGCATTCCGACCGTGGATCGCTTAAACCCTTGAGCCAGGCAGCGAAGCGTATGAGATGAATGTTGCTCACTGCTGGCATGGTCCTATACTACCTTGGGTGCACCTGGCCTATGTACCTTTCACAATAATTATATCTATGTCTGTGTCAGTGCGTATGTGTGTGTGTGTTTAGTTTGTTCATCAAGGGAACGAAAGCATTCGTCGTGGCTTAGCAAACTGGCTCACTTCTTGCCTCTGTCCTTTTTGTTATTTGCTATCTACTACTGTAGTAATGTAATCTAGTCCGTCAAAGGTCCCCGCCGGAGATGCCAAATCCCAAAACCGAGACTATGAAGAAGTTTCGGTCCTTGCCCAAGCTTTGCAACGAAGCGCCGTTTTGGAAATTGGTTCAAATCAGTTGCAGCCAGAAAAATATATAAGAATTGTGTCGCTTTCTTGTGTGCCAATGCACCCTACGGCCCTCCTTCTTTCCGGTCTTCTTATCAGGCGCAAGCTGCTCGTAGAACAAAGGAGCCTCAGGCAACATCTCGCAACATCTCACTGGCAACTCATGGCTTCAAACCTTTGCACATTGGTTGCACCAAAAGAATCCAAAAAATCTCTACATCTTCAGCGAAGCAGAAAAGGAAAAACCTTCAGATTGCTTGGAGATCTGATATGCTGACCCTTCTTCATCCCCCAAATGGTTTCAATTTGAACCTGACACATTCCTTCAAGGTGAGCACGTTGTAGTGTGCCAAGTAGGCTGTTGCCAAAATGCTGAGCAAAACTGAAATGCCTGCCAAATTCTGCCAAGTTCATCCAAGCTTTCAAACTCATACGCTACTCATACGACAGAGTCCCGGTATGACATCAGTGCAGCACCTGGATGCGACAGAGTGCTCCACATGCCTTCGCCATGAATAAACCTCACCACAATGCCCCGTGACCGATGGAATGTTGTGCGTTGGGCGTTGAGATCACAAGACTTGAGCTGTTTAAAGATGTCACAATGTAAGTTCCATGAAGAGTTTGCTATAAATTACTATGAAAGGGCAAATGCATTCGTGGTCACAGGCAGAAAAAAGGCTCTCGGTTGCGAACTTTGGAGCAGCTGGTGCGGCTGAAAACAGACTACCACCCTAGCAGGACGAATCTTTGGGCGCGGCTATAACAAAGACCAAATATACAACTATGTATGTATATAATATATATATATATATATACATATCATATAATATATATATATATACATATGTATATACTATACATACATCAGGGCTTGTTACAATGCATATTCCAACGAATATACCAACGCTTAGCAAGTTGCTATGTAGCTTCTTGCGAAGAGTTTTCTGAGATATGTTCCAGCTGTGTTGTTACATTGTTAGGAGTGTGTGGCATTCGCTGCAGCAGTGCACATGATGGCATTGAGTTGGCGTTCTGCCAAAGTGGGACCACGTGCCATGACCTGAACAAAGGCCATAGTACAAGAATAGGTCCACGATGGAAAAAACTGGCGGTAAAATCACTGGAGGTCAGCTCTGGAGCTGCTTAGATCCATTTAGATCCACAGTTCGGCGCTACTAGGAAGCTCCATGTAGAGTATGTAAAGGTTCTTGGAGCATGGTCACTATGGTCAGGATGTGGCTTTAGCTTCGGAGTCACAGGCTTTCTCGTCTTTGCTCGTGAAACTAAAATGTGTCCATCTTGCTCGTGAAGCTTTAATGTCAACAAAACGCGTAAATCTCGGATATATAGAGAATATTTACAAGGAATGAAAGGGACACTTAAGGGATCCATTGCAGCTGCTGAGAAATCCATATTTCCGCATATTGTTGGAGCCTGTCGCATGACAAAAATGTTGTTTTTAGGCAAAGCAGACTCCGCAGCCACCCGAAAGATCCCGAAAGTCTGTTCACGCCGATCCTCGCAGTGCCTTGATCTGCCATTCTCGTCACATTCTGACCAGATACGACCAGTTACATAGATATCAATAGAACTCCAATATAGATATCAATCGTCTAGTTTTTGAGGCTGACCACCTTGGCGGTGCAGTTGAGATTCTCGGTTGAAATCCACCGGCCGCAGTGGAAAGCCTCTTGTGCAGCTTGGGCACGGCTGTGCACACAGCTGCAGCCATTTTTTGGCCGATTGACCTTGTGCCTTCAAAGGTTTCCACTATCTTCACTGCGTATGATTCACCTTTACACACCCTGACTCATGTTGACCGCGTTGACGCTCTGTGGCGAGGGCACAAAAAGGCCAAAGATGCAAAAACTACAGACGCAGACACTGCAGACTAGCGACAAACACATCTTCCACTCTTGAACCTTGACATAGCTCATGGTTTAGGACCACACCTACAAAGGGCTATGACATGGCAAGGATTGTACCCTCGCATACACAGAACGGAGAAGGCAATCCATATTTGTGAAGGAATGAGACCTTGCATCAAGAGTATGCTTGGATCGTTTAAAGTCAACATCTCCCCATTTCTCTTAATTTACTCAATCAGTTTGCTGGACTAATAGTCTATATGAGACAGAAAAGACGGCCCTCACAAGCTCCTTGAAGTATCTTTTTGCGGTCCCAGACAACTACGAAGCTACCAGGACAGGTGATGAGAATTTCCACGCCATGAAGTAGACAAGCTTCGCGTTGAGGCCGTGTCCCCTGTGAATCGTGGTCCACCATGGTTCACCTGTTTGCCTGCTACACCGGGATTCCTCAAGATGTGTGCGCAGTCCATGATAAGACGTCCCCGGCTCTATGTCTGTGCATTAAACTTGTCCTGACATTGACTCAATGCAATCACTTGTGCGAAGAGACTGACTCAACAAGCACCAAAAGCACAAGCCAACAGGATTGTGAGTGTACGCAGCCAAGAAAAAAAGATCTCTTGGGAAACGGAAAGCATCTATTGTGACGAAAATGTGACAAATGTGTTGAAAGAAAATGATGCCAGGGCCTTCGCGTAGGATCCATCAAGACAACGCAGCGCAATGAAAGCACAGATGTAGAAGTTGCTCAACCTTGGCACACCAAGATACACCAAGTTACGTCATTTTGCTTTCCATGTCCAATGAAGTCGCATCAGGTTTGATAAGGTACGACAGTTTTTCTATGTGGTTCACATTGTTTCACAATTGTTTCATTCTGATTTAGATCTCTTGACATATTTTGACAGGACTTCTGACTCTTTCCAGTTTCACAAGACCGAGATCTCCAAGGAGCTGGCACGCCCAGTAAAGAAAATTTGGCCAAAGGCGCAAACCTTGTTGCACCATCTTGATGGAGAGTTGGGACATGGGACCATGTTACATTGGCAGAGGTCACGTGCCGAGTCACATGCCAACCGTGTCAACTGTTCCAACGTCAAATTACATGTCAAAGTAGCTCAAAGATTTTCAAAGTCACTCAATGGATCACTTCAGATTGTTTCAAAAACAAAAGTGACAGCATGTGACAGCATTCGCAAGCTCCGAGGCTCCGACGACTTCATACTGCACAAGGGATAAAGCACCTCGAGTGAGGAAACAAGCCTTACAGCCTTACAGTGTCAGTGGCCTTCCAGCGGCCTTACAGTGGCCTTACAGTACTCGGTGCATCCACACTTTGAGCTCAGCAGGCCACCAGCGCGGTCATGATCAAAATTACAGAATCTCTGCTCGCAATGAATACTGGCCTCAGACTGGCGCAATGGAGCGGAACCTGCCTAGCTTGCAATAGCATGCAATAGTCACGTTTCAACATGTGTCAACCAGTGTCAACCCCTCAATGGTACACATACCTCTTCATGCATCAAGCCTCAGCCTTTCAACATCCCAAACTTTCCATGGTCACGCGACAATGCCATGCTCAGGCTTTGACAAATGAAGCGGAGAAATCCTTTGCTCGAAATAACATCGACATGGTGATGTGCTCCCATAAAAATCTCCAAAAACTCTGAGAATTGTCTGATCGGGAAATCTATGAATTCGAGGCCCAGCAGAGGACACAAGGGGCGACAATGAAATGGGAAATAGGAGCAGATTCAGGAGCAGCCAGAAATATCAGAGATGGAGTGTTGGGCTCACGCAAAATCGGACTCTGCCATCAAAGCTGTACTGTACTTGATGGGACAGTTCAAAAGAAAAGAAAAAAAATGAAAAAAATAACTGTGAGGTCTTCACTGGAATCAGCAGCCATATATCTGGGTCCATGTTGAGAAGAAAAGCTCTTTGGCATCCGACCAAAGCGTGATGTATACTTCGCCATGTTCCCCCATGTCCGATTGATATTGCCGTGATGACCACGGTGACCCCAGCATATTGACACACCTCTTGTCAACAAACCTTGTAGATCCTAAATCACATTCCCTTCAAGAGGCGATTGAAGAGTGACTAAAAGCTTTGATTTGGGACGCTTGCTCTCTTCTTGTGGCTCCACGAATCGGACAAGTGCTTCCAAGTTGCATGAGAGAGATGCAGTCTCCGAGAATCATGGAAAATGCTATACATCCAATGGCAGCCTACCCAAAAGCTGTGAAAAAATGCAAGCCGCACGTGGACTTTGCAACTCCACGAATTTGAACAAGTCGAGTTTCCGCTGCAAAGCAGTTGCTCCGTTTTTTCGGTTTGTCTTTTATGATTTTTATGTGACAGATTGTGACAGTTATGACCATGAAGCCTTGGCCAGGCACGCTATCGCAGGCAGAAATTGGGTGCTTGATGAGACCGTCCGAGCCCACACCCTGAACGGAAAAGAACTGTTTCGGCATCTGAAACGAACTGTCACTGCAACAAACCTGCGCATTCTAATGAATGCACATGAATGCAGAATGAATGCACATCGATGTACATGATGTGATGTATGCTCAGAACATCCCAGAACCTCGTGTAGGTGGTCTCCCCAGTAGCGTCACAAGCTTCTGCGATAAGAACCTCACGAACGACAATGGCACATTGCACGCTGCAATCTTTGGCCAAGACCACCAAAGGCCACACACTTAGGCTGTGGCAAAGCCATATGCACCTAGGTACTGACATAGTACTGACATGCGTGTGTTTCTGATGTGTTCTTCACAGTGAAGGAATAAAAGCCATCAACTTCTTGTACTTTGCAAGCTTTGGATCCGCACTGAAGAAAGCAGCTAGCAGGGACAAAATCAAGGAAGGCAGAACAGCCTGCAAACTCACAAGTGAGCACTCGACCCGAATCAAACGAGTCTATGTTCAAAATATCTCAAAATCTTCCTACAAAATCCTAAAATCAAGAAAAAAGAAACCCAAAGGAAGCCGAAATGACACTGACAACACCTCGCAACTGACACTATAAACTATAAACATGTCGGCCTGCGGGCTTGAGCTGAAAGCAGCAACCTGTCAGCAACGCCGCGTCTCAGCAACTCAGCGAGGCTCAACAGTCGGGTCGTTGCTCTGAGGATTCGACACCATGAGGCAATGACAACATTCCTGCACCAACAATATTCTTCACCAGGTTCACCTCAAGCAATTTTTCAGATCTACAATGTATCTAGAACCATGCCCACAATGATGATAGTTCAGGTAAAATGCGTCAATGCGATTTTTTCAATTCACTAGAGCCATCTAGAGCCAAGAGCCCTCAGTATGACTCCATCAATCGAGTTAGTTGAAGTTAGTTGCGTTTGCCTCAAACAAATCGCGAATTGCTTGTGCCTCGTGTACCTCACGGCTGAACAGTCACAAAGTGACAGCACCGAGGGCTGAACAGTCGACTGCCTCACGGAACTCAGTTTCACCTCCAACGAAGTCAACGGAGTCAACGCTCTAAAGATCTGTAATATAGCGGAAATTCAGCAGAAAGTACAAAGTACTGGTATATAGTCTAAAGTATATAGTATATTGATATATTGATATATGATATTAATATATTAGTACGTATATATCTATGTAGATTAATAAATATAAAGGAAACATATGTATATGCTATGATATATGTGTGTAATGTGTGGATGGATGGATGGATGGATGGATGGATGGATGGATGGATCGATAGATGGATGGATAGATAGATAGATAGATAGACAGATAGATAGATAGATAAATAGATAGATAGATAGATAGGGATAAGATAGGATAAGATACGATAAGATAGGATAAGATAGGATAAGATAGGATAAGATAGGATAAGATAGGATAAGATTAGATGAGATAGGATAAGATAGGATAAGATAAGATTGGATTAGATTAGATGAGATTAGATGAGATTAGATTAGATTAGATAATATAAGATTAGATTAGATTAGATAGATAGATCAATCGATAGATTACAGATAGACAAATAGATAGATAGGTAGATAGATACGTAGATAGATATGATATATAGATATGATATATAGGTAGATATAGGTAGATATAGGTAGATTACATTTGTTGTTAAAACACATTAAAACCCTTTTATATATGTGTATAATATTTCATATTTGTATATATCATTATATATCATTGCATCAAGGTATATCTGTAAATCCTTCCTGTTCACAGTAGCCGCACAAAAGGCACGAGGCGGCACCTCCTCTGCTGCCTTTCTCGCAGCTTTCGAAGACCTGGTCGCAACAATTCCTTTGGTCTTCGAAGACCTTGCCGTGAGGCACTACGCCGCTACACAGCCGCTACACAAGGCTACAAGGCCCCTTCGGCCTCAGTAAGGAGGTCTCGGTGAAGAGTCTGCGGGCCTTCTGTTGCTCAAGAAATGCCTAAGTTTGCATATCACTTTGAGCACACGTTTCAAAGGTCACAATCCCATACAATGCCCCAGTCTTAACTCTCAATGCACATCATCAATGCACTCTGAATACAGTGATCTCAACGTGTCCAAAGTCTAAGTGAGGCTCGTGTGAAGGGCGTCCAAAACCTGCAGAAAACAGCATGCAGCATGCAGGATGTTGGGCTGTCTGCGCCATGACCATCAAGAAGCTTTAGAAGCCGTGCCTGCCACAGGTTTCTGCGAAGATATGGAAAAAGTGTTGTCCTGAAGCCGCGAGGTCCCACACCCATCGATTTTTTCACACTCGAATCAATTCAACGCAGTCCTTCGCACAAACTCCCAAGCATAGTATCAAGATTGCTGAGCCTGCTATCCTTGTGGCAAAGGCGACTCTTGAGTGTGAATGGCATGGCTCAATCGTTTGGAATTCAACGAGAAACCAGAAATTAGAAAATAGAATTTCAAGACCTCGATCTTGAACTCCTTCGCAGCGTCGCGTGAACATCCTCTGCTGGCAAAACAAAACGCATCAAGAATCAAGACTTATTGCAATCATTTGCAATCATTGTTCAAAGTTAAAGTTTGCAAACATCTACAGCATTCCAACGAGGAGAATTGCGCTCCCTGCCTCGGTCATGGCTATGCAACCCGTGCCCCGGAACCCAGACAAGCAATGCTGTAATCAAATTGTTTACAAGGACTTGTTTTCCTGCACAAACACAGAGGCGGCAGGCGGATGACATCTTCAACCAAGTGGAGTGACTGAGAGAACTCTGTGGCATTTCAGATTGTGAAGACATTTCCTGATCTCCCTGCTTTCTTGCGCATCTGCTGATTTGCAGCCAAGAAGTCACAAGACTTCTCTTATGAACCCGCTGTTGCTCCATCCATGCTGACTGAGCCGAATAAAGACTACGCCAAACGAAAATTACTCGTCCGTTCACCGAAGCCCTTTGTCTTACCCAGCCTGTCGGGCCATTCCTGATGCTCCTGATGCTCCTGATGCTCCTGATGCTCCTGATGCTGGTTTCCAAGCAGAACTTCCGACTTTCCTGAAGCAGCAGAAGCAGCGCTGCAGCAGCACGTTAAATTTTCCTATTATTCCTTAAGGACTCCTAGACTTCGGTCCAGCTGAGCGCTGGCGCACTTCGTGCCCAACACTAGCTGCTTCACAGAAGCTACACATCTTCTGCCATGGTGTCCCACTGATCTTATGAAGACAGCGGAGACTTCAAGGGTTTCTGGGACAAAAAAAGAATCATTGCCTGGACCAATATGAATTATTCCTTGGCTTCCTCTCCTGTATGTCACATTTGCGCGAGGATTCATCACGTCTAAAAATCAAATCCTTGAGTCAAGAATGCCGTAGATCTGACCACATGTGCCGCTGTTCTTCTGCATGGCAAGTTCGGAGTCGGGCGACGCAGGATCCAGCACTTGCATACGGTTTGAAACTTTGTATATTTGTTCAACCTTGCTCACCCTTCTGGTACGAGTACTGCTTGCTTGCGAATTAAAAAAGCTGCCATCGAAAAACTTGACAAATGATGGAAGTCCTGCGTGGGACTCCCTGCTGCATGTGGAGAAGTCTACCAACACAGCAACTCCACAGTCCGACTGGGATTGACTGCGGTCGTATCAAAACCGATGACTTTAGCTTTTGGGTGCTTTTGGTGACCATGGTGACCTTTCTAGTTGGCAAGGCCCACCGCAATCCGGACACCAGCTGAAACGGGTGGAATTACGAGATCATCTCTGGTCCTGCTCGGGATTTTAAAGTGTACAACAGCAACTCCGTAGGCACCTGCAGCGAGAAACACTGTGAATTGCACTTTCCAAAAGAAAACCATGAATTGTCATGAATTGCTCTGCCAAGGATTCTGCAACCTACCGTCTGTATCAGGCCTCTTTCAGCCAACTCTCCATTAAGCCAAGACCACTGCCAAAGGAGTCTTTGGCCTGACAGTGACATTGTCCGTCCCCTCCGTCCCCTCGCTACATAGCCCTACCTCATGCAACAAGGCCATGTTCACAATTTTACCTTCAAGAGATAGATTTGTTGCTGACTTACATACTTCCGATAAATCAATTTGGACCGTTTGGCCACTTTGGCCGCTTCCTTGGTCGCATCGATTGACAGTAGTTGACCTGCAGCTCTTCACCACAGTACGCTACGCCACCACGCCCTGCCTCTGGTTGCATTTCTCCAGGCAGTTCAAAAGGGATAGGTTCCTGGCATATGAGTTTGGCTGCAGAAAGGAAATGGGAAGCCCGTTTGGGAAATAGTATCAATGGGCCCTGCAAACCCAACACTGTGGCACCGTCATTGTCACTGCCTCCTCCCCTTCTGGCATTGACTGCAATGCTGGTGCCTGTGTTTTGTGAGCAAGTCACATCAAGTCACTGGAGTGCGTAAAGCACAGGCTTAAGCAATTCAGCAATTCATATTGGATCAGCCTCGGCCATGGGTGTCGGTGGCCTGCGAACGCTGGAGGAGTTCATCGAGTCCTGCCAAGTAACCCTCCAAGACTCTCCTGTTTTTCGAAAAATGTCCTTTGGAATTTGAATATCATGTATATATATATATATATTACTACATAGGGATAAGTCAAGACTATTACACCCCCCCAGAATAGATGGCTCAACTCAAAAACCAAAATACCCATAAGATGGCACCGCGCGGTAAGGAAGAAAACGGCGCTATTTTGGCTGGAACATAAAACGAGTGTGGCTCGTGTCAAAGATCCAATTGAAGAAAAACAAATCGCCATCTATGTGGGAGATATGAGGGACTTGCGCCATCTATGTGGGCATTCCCAGCGGACTTGTGCAATCTATGTCCCCAACAGGCAGCTTGATATTGCAGGAAAAAAATGGGTGCAAACCAGCGCACAAAAAAAAGAAAAAAATGTCATTTTTAGGGACATACATGGCGCAACTGACCTGTTTTGAATGGGAGTTGCGCCATCTATGTCCCAAAAAGGCAGCTTGATGTTGAGGAAACATTATGGGTGCAAACCAGCGCAGAAGACTGCAAAAAATTGGTCATTTTTAGGGACATAGATGGCTCAACTGACCTGTTTTGAGTGGGAGTTGAGCCATCTATCCCCTGCATTTTGCATTTGACATAGATGGCTCATCTCAAGAATTTGAGCCACCTATTCTGGGGGGGAGTATTACCATATTTGAGGGATTAACCATCCATTCACCAGCTAATTTAAGGCACCTAGGGTACCAGTGTTTTCACTCACAGCCATATATTACTAGTGTCTACTAGTCAAGTCGTACATGTGTGCATGATAGGGCTGATCGAAACGAGGAGCACAATAAGCCATGAGCAGTGCCGCACTGGCTGCAATGCGGGAAGTATGCTTCCTTGCTCATATGGACCCCTGTTTTGCATCTACACTTCATCCACCTGAAGATGAAAACCAAGGAATTGAAATCAAATTCGTTCCTACATCAAGGATGAAAATAAAAATGAAAGCGAACACACCAGTGCAAAGTGAGTAGCACTGTCAACAATTCAAGCCATTGCATTCCTTGGACGCAGTTCCACTCAAGTGCTCTTCTGTCCCCCTGAATATGAACGATGAGATGAGATGTATCAATATATATATAATTAGTTAAATTATATACAGTACACACACCTTTTACGTATCATACAGTACCTCCCGGTAAAGTTTTAGATCTACCCAGCCACACCATCTCATTCCACATCAAAAAAGAAACGACTGCAACACTTCTCAGACTCCTCACAATTCGAGCTGCTTTGCTGCAAAATGGATTGATTCGTGTGCACTTTCTCCTGCAGCTTGAAGACACGGGGCACAAGAGGAGCAGATCTTTGCTGTAAGCTGCTTCTTTCTACTATGGCCCCCTACTGCCTGCATCTGTACTCTCTTCTTTCTGAAGACGCCAGGGGGACTGCATGATTGAAGCAACATGCTATCAAATGCTATCCCTGAGAACATCCCTCTGCAAGTGTAGGCATCTTCCGGCGTACCATGCACCAAACTACACGTATACAGGAAAGTTGACTAGCAAAATTATGCAAAAATAGTATATTTTCATGGTACTTGCATTCTACCAAGTGCCAAGAAAAGGTTTGGTTCAAGGGGACCCCCGATCAATATCCCCTGGACAATCCTTAGCGGGACGACCCGCGGGCAATACTTTTGCCTTTGCCTTCGTGCAGCGCTGAACTGGTTAGCCCTGGCGCTCGCACATCGCAACGTGCTCTGTTAGTCTAGCCAACTAACATCACCTGTTCCTTGCACGGCTTCGTGATCCTGCTCATCATTGTCCTCTTGCACTTCAGCGAGATTCAGGACTTTGACACTGGCAGGACTGGTGCGTGTGCTTCTTCTTCCTGGCCTTTGCCTTCGTGTTCCTTCTGGACTGTTACTCCTACGTTGCGGCGTCGACTCAGGAGACAGCGTGCAGCTGCTCGTCAAGCTTGGCATTTTCACCGATCTGGTGCTGCCCCGCTGTCGAAACAGCAACTACACACAGTTCTCTTGACTTTGAGGAGTCACCACTCTGGAGACAGGAGCTTCTTGCGCAAAATCAAGCTCGCGATGGCTACCACACCTTGGTACTGCGAGTGGTGTCGCAAGACAGTGAAAGGATCTTTTTCCAACTGCCCTTGGTGTGGGACACATTGGCAGAATGCTATGCCCCAATCTCCAAGACGCAGACCACCAAAGCCACCATCCCGTTCGCCTCGTCGGAAAGGTCAAACTGGTTGGACTTATGGCAATCAGGAGGAGATTTCCGATGGACCATGGCATTATCAGGGAAGTGCGAAGTCACCGAGAAGGAACACTTACAAATCGCCGGCAAGACCGACCAAGCAAAGCAAGCCCAAGCAGAATCCTGGACGTCGAGTACCTCCTGCCGAACCTCATTGGGAGCCAGATCGACCCAGCAAAGACGAATCGACAGCTTCCTCAACTACGGTCTCCGCAGCCGAAATGCACCTGAAAGAAATATTGAATGCAGTTTCTCAGATGGACCAACCGCTCACCGCAGACGTGCAGAAGGCCATCTCCAATGCGCAGAAACTTGCAGCCATCGATCCAGCCAAGCAATTGCAGAGTGCAGCATCACGTCTTCGATCCGCACGAGAACAATTAGCCAAAGCGCGCGCAGCTCGTCAGACCATGCACGAGTCCTGGGCCAAGTTCATCTCGGAGGCCGTCGTGCGTTGGAACAAACATATCGAGGACTTCGAGGTCAAAGATGCCGAGCACTTGGCAGCTATTCAGACGGTCATGGAGAAATATCAAAGTGCCAAAAACGAGGTGGAAGCTTCCAAGGAAGCGGTGGCTGCCTCGGACCTCACAACAAAGGACAGCATCGAAGTCAACGACGACGAGCTGATGGCCGACAACACACCTGGTATCCAGGACGACTTAGCGTTCCATGGTCAATACCCTCGAACGCATTCGCGAACGCCAATCCGAACTGACCGACGACAAGCTTGCCAAGAAGCCTCGCATCGAGAAATCGGACGAGAAGGACGTGGAGATCATTGGCAGCCAAAGCATGCAGCCTTTTGGCAAGGGGGGCAAACAGACTTGACAGAGGTTTGTCCACCCCTTACATGCAATGATGCAGCTTACTGCACTTGGCAATGGACGCATTCGATTTTGATGGAGGACAATTTCATGAATCCGTGGAGAGCTTGTGAACATGCAGTTGATCAATGCATCGAGGCGATAGGCTTTGATGACTGTTCCCGGATGTTGGATGGGTCCAACAACCATTTTGATCGTCATGCACGAGACAGACCACGGCATTCAGATCTCAAAGTTTCGTTTTCCAACTTGATTGAAGTGATCATCGGTGGTGTTGATGATTCATTTTCATCTTGTACTCTTTCTTGTGACGATTTGCGCTTTTGGAGTGACAAACCATGGAATCTCCACATTGAGCCCTCTTCCATTGTGGAGCCGCTGTCAGAAATGGCCGTGTCGAGCCCAATGGAATGTGAATGCTCTTTACGTGATTGTCGCTTCACATGTAGTTCCCTAGCGCATTCTTCTCAACTAGATGGACAAGTACGAGAAGTTCCTCCCTCATTTCTTGACCATCTACCAGAACCAACTGATTTTGCCATCTATGACCGGCAATCATCATGGCTTCCTCCACTCCGTAGCGTTTGGCGTGAGCACGCTACACGAGAACATGCAGGTGAAGGACGTACTTTGCCGGTCAAGACATGGTATTTGCACCACGATGACGTCCCACGATGCAGCAATCCCAGAACGGTGCACCTTGACTACATGGATCATCTATGGCTAGGAGATTTACGAGCTGAATGGGCACATATGATTCGAGATGGTGAACCATTGCATCTCACCTTTGTTGTTCCTACACCTCCACGGGCAGATGATCAACCTTTTGCACCACATGTCATCCTTTCTCAAGGTCACCGCATTGATCGAGCTGGCACTGTTATGACTGCCCGATTTATTGAAAATCATCGCACTCAGCTTTTGCAAGAGGCAGTTTCAGCACCAGATTGGATGTGTGGGTCCAGAGCTGTTGATCTGCTTCGAATTGCGCATTTGACGCAGGATCGCAGGTGGGTTGCCAGAAGTGGAATCATGATGTTTGCTGTTGATGAACTTGAACAAATTCCTGACGGCATTGCCATTGACATTGACATTCGTGTGCCGCAGCCGGAGGAGGACATCGTGTCATTTGCTGCTTGGACTCGACGCAACTATCCTCCGGATCAGCCAATTTTTGAGTTACCACAGGCAGTTCAAAATCACGAACATGGGCAACAACCTGAGCAAGATGACGATGAATCCAGTTCCAGCGATGAGGAAGCTGCAGACACTGGTCATGATTGGAGATTCACACACGTGTTTCGTACACGGCGGCGTGTCTTTCATGGACATCTGCCTTGGGACGATGCTTTCACATTTCAGCAGCGCGTCTCTGCCCTTACCAACGTTGATGAAGATGACATCACCTTTTGTCATCACGTGGAACATCGTCCAGCAGATTTGCAAGCAGCTCATACCGAAGTCTTGCTCATGCAAACAGTCAGTGACTTGCCGATCGGCTCTGTGCATCGACTTGTCCTCGTCGACATTGAGTTTCACGAACATTGGCCTTCCACAGATCATTCTACCTCCAGGAGATGTCTGTCCCTGCCTCACCAAGTTCATCGTCGTACTCTACTCCGTCTTCTTGGACTTGAGACATATTGCGAAAAGCAAAGATCCAAATGTTTGATGTGGCGCAATCACCAGATCATCAAACTGCAGCGCCACGGAACATTCTTCCTTGAGCATGGCGATTACTTGAGACTTGCAGTGCCTCCAGAACCGAATGCTGCCTTGACTGTTTCAACCCGGTCATGTGTTAGCCAATCGCGACATTGACGAGGACACAACATCCTGATGATGACGTCACAACTTTTGTCCAACAACCGCTGCCATTTGGAACACTTCGTCCTTTGCCGGCAGATCAAATGTTGATGTCCGAAGTTGCTCAATTGTGCTCTTCTCAAATGGTACTTTGTCCTGGTCCTCATGGCGCAGTTGCTTCATCAACATCCTCATCAGCACAGCACCCCACGAGCACCGGGCACTCATATCAGACTGCAACGCCAGATGCTCTTGCCTCTTTTACAGGGCACTTGCATACGTTTCTTTCTCGATCGAATGGGACGCAACCTGCTACCCTGGAGGCTGGCATTTATCTGGAAGTCTGGTTCAGTGATCATTTACGGCGCCCACACAGCGGCATTGGGAGACTGGTGTTGTTGCCGCAGGACAGCATTGATTGGATGACTGCGATCATCGCTGCATGGGACGACCTTCTTGATCCAACTTTGCCATGGAGCTGTCATATTGTTGAAACACATGTTGGAGCAGGAGATCCTGATGCAGTAGCACAATTGATCCTTGTGCAAAATCCTCAACCTGACCATGTTTCCGTTTTGACCACCGTCTATGGAGGCGAAGTTTGTGCCGACGATGCAGTTTTGATGTGTTACACACTACCCTGTTCTCAGCCGCACCAGCATTTGATGCTTCTCCTTGCACAAGGTCTTTACCGTGGGCAACAATCAAATGGACTGCGTACATGGTGGCGTGACCTTGACATCACGGACATCCCCCAGCTTGAACTGCAGCATGGTGCAGCATTGACAGTGTGTGCGCAGACCTCATCATCAGTTCAGTTCGACGGAGGGAACACGAATGCAGCACATGACGACGCCACTTCAATGTTACAGCATCACCATACCATCCGTACACAGATTCAGCTGGAACGACTTGTCCCGGTTCCTGCACCATCCGTTTGGGTTGAAATTGACTGTCAACGTCTTGACTTTCTGCGCAATCAATTGCGTAGTTTTCCGCCCATTCAGCCCATGTTTGATCGAGCATTTTGTGATTGGCATTCATCCACCTCAGAAGCACTTGGTGATATCAGTGACTGGTCCGATGACATACCAGTTGGATTCACATTCTACACTGATGGATCGTCTCACAGAGGTTCTGGTCAGGCTGCAGCAGCAGTCGTCCTTGTTGTGACCACGGCAGATGGACCCAGATGGGGTGGTTTCGCAACAACCTCTTGCCTTGGTTCGCCCTCAGCACCACGTGCGGAAGCCACAGCCTTGATGTTGGCTATTCGATGGTGTATCCAGCTATCCGCCAAGTACAAGGGTATGAAGCCTTGGTATGAGTTTGCGTTTGATTGTCAACACGTTGCAGGGATTGCTCAAGGACGCCAAGGTGGTGATCACAACTGCGACCTTCATTTACCTATGAGAGCCTTATTGCATTGGATTGAGTCTGATTTGTCAACGGCCTTCACCTGGACGCATCTTCGAAGTCATCAAGGCCATCCATGGAATGAAGCCGCTGATGCTCTTTGCAAACATACGCTGGATCATGCAGCAACATTGTTTGACCTTGCTGAATTTCATCAACAATGTACCTTTGACGGCAATGACTTGCACATGATCCAATGGCTATGGTTATTTGAGCGCTCTCTCCAAGGATGTCCTGATGCTCCTCCGCTGGTCCACCTTCGATGGCGTTTGGACATTGCACAACCATTGACGAGTGAGCCTCATGCAGCAATCCATCCTGCTATGAAGCGTCGTGATCTACAACCTGACGGACCACGTGAAATGGTGCACTTGGACCTTCAAGTTGGTACAGCGAATGTCCTCACGCTTTACCCAGAGCAAGACTATGCTTCACAATACATGGGCGCTCGTGCTGAAAGCCTTGCACGTCAATTCCATGATTGCAATTTGCAGATCATTGGTCTTCAAGAGACCAGGTCGCGTTTGGATGGCCACACCATGCTTGACAACTTCCATGTACTTTCCGCGCCCGCTCAGAAACGTGGTCATGGAGGCGTCCAACTTTGGGTCAAGAGGACTTTACATGATGAGAAGCTACGTCTTGACATTGAACAGAGTCACTTGTTCATCTTGCACGCAAGCTCTCGTCGTCTTGTCGTGCGACTTGCTTGCGGTGGGCTTCGTTTGATTCTGATTGTGCTACACGCACCCACTGACGATGACGAAGCGACCCTCAGCAAATTTTGGACGGCCACTTCAGCCGCTATACCGCAGGCTTACCTCAGTTGGAAGTGCATTGTGCTTGCGGATGCTAATAGTCGCCTTGGCTCATCAAACACAGAGGCGGTTGGCGATTATCAGGCAACCACTGAGAATGAAAAGGGACTCCACTTTCATCGTTGGTTGTTGGAACGATCTCTATTTTTGCCTCAGACATTTTCTGAACATCATCATGGAGAAGGAATGACCTGGACACACTCTACAGGCACCAAGGCCAGGCTCGACTACGTTGCGTGCTCCGAAGCTTTGCGATCAACTCAGTTGTCTACCTGGATTGACGAGCGAATTGATTTATCACTACGTCGTGAGGATCATGCCTGTGTACGAGCCCTGGTGCCTATCGACTTTCATCATGTGGCATTGCCGCGGAAGCGACCGCATTTTACTGTGACGGAAGTGGCGCCACATCCTACCTGGGCGACTGACGTCCACACGCATGCAGCAGTGCTTCAAAGTCTTTGGCAACAACCTATGCAGCCCAACAAGGTCATGCGCAAAAAGCACCTTTCTGCAGACACTATCAAACTGATTGCAGCCAAACGATTTCATCGACATCAACTTGGCAAGATCAGACGATACCGGAGACAGGCGGTTCTGCGGCAGATTTTTGACAGTTGGCGTAGTCAGCATCCATGTGATGTCCATTTCCAGCCTTGGTTGCGACATTGTGACCGACTTGAAGCAGTTCATGGCGCACATTTTGCCGACCTCTCCCCACGTGTCGTGATTGCAGTCCGACAGGACGACATTGACTTCTACGAGTCATTGGCCGACCAAGCTGGCTCTGAGTCCTTTCGTGGCTCACGGCGGCTCTGGGCTGCCATTCGTCACGTCCTTCCGAGATGGAGGAGCAAGCAAAACTCCAATCTTCGTTGTGTTGGACCCACTACTGAGGACAAGATCCACCATTACAATCTTCTTGAGGCAGGAGAGACCACAACCTATCCGGACCTCCTGCACGATTGCTGGCGCAATCAACAGCACAACATGCATGATGCTCCGCTTGAAGTTCCTCTTCACGATCTTCCTACGAGAGCAGCCATAGAGAACCATTGCGCCAGGCTGAAGATTCAGAAAGCTCCAGGTCTAGACCAGATTTCTCCTGAGGCGCTTCGCCAGCATGGTGTTGACCACGCTCCAGCTTTGACACTACTGCTGATGAAGATTTGGCTGACAGGAGCTGAACCAGTGCAGTTCAAAGGCGGACTCATTCACACCATCAGCAAAAAGCAGAAGAGCAATCGGATCGCTGACATGAGGGGAATCGCACTTCTCGACGGCATTGCCAAGCTCTCACACGCTATGTTGAGACAGCAATATATCCCTCATTTGTCATTGCGGAGTGCTCCTCTACAACTAGGCGGCTTTGCACATCAGTCCACTCTCTTCGCCACACAATACTTGCGAGCCTGCGCACATCATGCATCCAACAAACACTTGTCATCATGTGTTTTGTTTTTGGACATCAAGAGCGCATTTCACTCGATGATACGTGAAATTGTGTTTGACATGGGCACCGCTTTGCCACAGAGGTTACAAACCGTGCTGGAGCAAGCAGGGTGCTCTGTTCCCGAGATCCAGCAACGATGTGATGGCAAACCCAAACTGCATGGTGTTCCCCTGACTACTGCTAGACTTTTGAGTGAGGCCCACCGCTACACTTGGTTCACGATTGCCTCTTCTGATGAAATCCATCACACTCACAGGGGGAGCCGTCCTGGCTCTCCACTGGCTGACGCTGCCTACAATGGGCTGATGGTAGAGGTCATCCAGGAAATCCACACCTTCTTGCAGAAGCTGCCCCATATACAGGACGCATGGCGTGTTATGGGATTAGGTATGCCTGTTGTAGCATGGATCGATGACTTGGCGATCCCTGTGGTGACCACTACAGCCAACACTCTTGTTGAGACAGTTCAGGAAATTCTGGAGGAGGTGGTCCGCATTGGCAAGACTTTTGGGCTCATCCTCAACATGCACGCCAAGAAGACGGAAGCGGTGATTGCCTTTAGAGGTGACGGTGCACAAGCCCAACGGCAACTTTGGTTTGGTGAACGTCAAGGTGCCATTCATGTGCTCAACACGGAGCAGGTGCTACGCTGTGTTCCACGCTACGAACATCTTGGCACCATGTTTTCAGCGGATGGGACAATCGCAGCTGAGCTACATCATCGCCTCACCAAAGCAATCGCAGCTCATCATCAGGTGCGCAGACCAATACTTGCCAACAAGCACATTGACAGCGGCACAAGACTCAAACTTCTTGAAGGACTTGTTGCTCCAGTGCTGTTCTACGGCGCTGGAAGCTGGCCGCTGTTAAGCCATCGCCAAATCACCAAGATACACGGGCAGTACATGAAATGGATTAGATCCATTATCGCCAACGGCTGCTGGACGTCGGGTATGTTGTCCGATCAACAAGTGCTTCTTCTTTGGCGTCTCCCTTCAGTTTCTCTTCGTTTGGCGAAAATGCGTTTGCTTCACGCATTCCATTTCATCAATGATTGCCCGCAAGCGATTGTCGATGTTGTCACGGCAACTGAAAAGCATCAGGCATCATGGATTCCAGCCTTGCGACATGCTCTATGCTGGCTTCAAACCATGGACCCTGCCCTTTTTGGATGGGACCCACGCAATGCTCCGCTACCAGACCTCTTTGAATGGCTGTCTACACATCGAGCAGACGGTCCTCGGTTGGTTCGACGGCTATACTCTCGGGCGCTACAGCAAGGATTTGTGGTTGGAAGAGTGGTTCAGGCACATTGGAAATTGAAAGCATGCTTGCAACAGTCACCTTCCTCTTCCTTGCCTTCCTCGCAGATTGACGTCCTGATTTCAACCTTTGTTTGTCGACGGTGTGCAAGCAAGTTTGGTACACTCCATCAGCTGCAAGTGCATCTCTGGCTTGCACATGAAGAGATTTCCGAGGAGCGTAGCATGATGACCTCTACGACTTGCAATGCGTGCAATGTTTGTTTTTGGAGCTCGCAGCGCCTTCAACAGCACCTTAGACACAGTCGCCGACATGTCAATGGTTGCTACGAGAAATTAACTTGGAGAAGTGCCCCATCACTCACTGCGCCCGACATTGACGAGATGCCCAGGCAGGAGAGATTTCACCGCCAGCCGGCGATGCGGGTGGCTTCTGTCCAATCTTCATGCGAAGTTCAGCTTTGTTCTAGGGAAGCAGCAGATCAGGTTTGGCAGACACGTTGGAAAGAAGAAGGCTTGCCTGAGAACATTGAGATGGACTGGACCAGACAGCTCTTTAAGCAATTTGATGTCAACGATCAGAGATGTTTACCCAATCAGAGATGCGAGCCGAAGCTGTCAACGATGTCATCTTTCGGCTCACTGGTTTGGCGTCTCACTTTGCTCATGAGGTTGCACCAGCGCCGATTGGCGAATGGGCACTATGTGTATGGATCCTCGATCATGTGAAAAGGGACAGATTTTGGAACGTGAACTTGGATCTCTTTTTGCACATTGACAAAGCCTTGAGAGAGCTGCTGATTGAATCCCACATTGGTCAACTGATTTGCTGGCGGCGACGCATGGATGAGGCCTACCAGCCGATCACGGTCAATGACAAGCTGAATAAGCATTCGCACTGTGAGCTGGAACCTATTCCTGACCCATGCAGTTTGCAGATGCGACTCCTTTTGCCTGTGTTTGAGGATAAGGTTTGTTTTACCCCTTCCATTAAGGTTCCTCTTATTTTGTTTGAGGGTAGACCTACCATTCTCATCATCCACCTCTTTAGTGGACGCAGACGAGTTGGAGATTGCCACTGGTGGTTGGAGCATTTGAGTGCCAAGCTCTTGCCGGAATACCCCGTGAAGATGATTGCCGTTGACACGGCAATTGACCCAGTGTTTGGCGATTTGTCCTCAGGTGCAAACTTTGACCTTATTCTGGGTATGGCAAAAGGCGGTGCCATTGCGGCATCGTTAACAGGCCCACCATGTGAGACGTTCTCTGCTGCCAGAAACATCAAGCTTGAAAATGCAAGCGGCCCTCGGCCGCTCCGGACTCGTGAAGCTCCTTGGTGCCTCCACAACCGAACCCCGCGTGAGCTGCGTCAGGTTGACACCGGCACCGAGCTCATGTTCAACTCTTTGCAGGTCGAGGTTTCCGTTGCACAAGCTGGTGGCGGCAGTTTGATGGAACACCCTGCGGAACCGCAAGCAGATGAGAAAGTCTCAGTGTGGAGGCTTCAATGCCACACCGATTGGTGCATGAGGATCCGGGAAGCTTGCCAACACAGGGTAGATCAATGGCTCTATGGAGCCGTCGGCGTCAAGCCCACAACGCTCCGTGCTCTTCATCTTGGCCCCCCGGAAGTGGTTGGCCGTGCTTTGATTGACGGAGCTGAACCATGGCGCACCCGGCCGACTTGCGGCCTACGAGGACGCGGATCTGATGGACATTTCCTGACTGCACGGGCAAAGGAATATCCCAGCGCCCTGTGCAGGAGTATCCTTGTGGCAGTCCTGAAAGGGCTACGCCACAGGATTCACCGTGATGGTGTAGCGGATTTTTTTTCCCCAGATCATGCGCAGCTGAATTGGCTCACGCATATGTGCAGTCAATCAGAGGCCTTCACTCTGCAGTCATATCTGCCTGACTACCAGAGATCGTAAGGCATGAATTTGTTTTGTTTGCATGCCCGCGCGAGGAGACTCCATGCGGCGGAATGGAAAAAAGTGCCAAGAAGTTGAACAATTGATTTTGATCTGGTGCTAAGTGTACCGACCCGCTTCAAAAATGCTTGAATTCCTTTCCCAAAAGTAAATAGATTAAAAATAGATTAAATAGTGTCTCCAATGTCTCCAATGTCTCCAATGTCTCCAATGTCTCCAATGTCTCCAAGTTTGTTTCCAAAGTACACAAGGCCGACACAGCCTGTGGAGGTTGCTGGATCTGGTCATCTTCCAGGAGCTTCTTTAGCTCAGGCTCCAAACGGATGAGTTGGTTCCTCGGTTAGAGGAATTCATGACACGACCGGTCGACAACTCGACAACTGTCACTATCGGACACTATCGTCTGGGATGCTGGAAACATCTGGAAACAATTCGCGAGCACAGATGGTTTTCCAACAAAATCTCCCATGTCTGCACTTTTGATCACTTTTGCATATAAAACTTAAAACCCTATATATTTTCCTGGAAGTGTCCCTGCAGGCTTTGATGGCTGCGATGCTGTGCCAAGCCACCTGAGTTTGGAATCCTCTGACCTCACTTTGGCCGCCAAGAGTTGCACATCCAAAACACCACAGGCGCTGCCCATCTGCATCTCAATCACCTCACAACAAAACACGATGAAGTATACAAAGTAATACAAAGTACGTGTACATTGTCATGTGTCTGCTGACATTTACGTGTACATGGGGCATCATGAGGCATCATGAGGCCTTTAGGTGAGGCTTTTTCTGGCGACCGGTGGATGAACAATAGAAAAACAGCCCTTTTTTGGTCTCCCAGGGACAGACCTTGGATTTTGTTAGGCGCGCCAGCCTTGGAATGGTACTGCGCACTTTTTTGGATGCTGCGACATAAATCTGCTGATTTCAGAGTCCTTCCTAAAGTACTGTAAAATCATTCCGAGTTGCGCTCCAAAAATTGCACTCTACTCAGTACACTCAAAGGAAAGAGCACATGAGTAGTTATTGCTCTTCTGTACCATCTGGGCAGCACCCTCATTTCTAGAACACAAAACTTTCAGAGCTGGGAGTGGGTTTGGATGATCTAACCATCGAATTATCGCGGTTCAAAACGAGGCGGTTCCTGTCAGAAAGCTCGGTATTGTGGAGGCAGTGCACTAGCCAGATCTGACACCCCTCAGTTTTTCGGACATAAAATGTTTGCCAACATAGAGGCCGTTGCAAATGTATCTTTTCAAAGGGAAAAGTATGAAAACTCACGGAAATGAGACCCTTTGAAAAATAGTGTGGTCAATTCAATAAGACTGCAATTTAAAAAATAAAAATAAATGATGCTACAAATTGGTGCCATAATGGGCCATGATTGGGCCATAGTGGAATACCATCGAACGACGCCTCCCACTGACTCTCATTCTTTTCTGGAACATGAGGAAAATTCATTGGCATCCAATGCCATTTCCAATACACAACCTGGTCTCCTGGTTTCGTCCTGGTAGCATTCTCCATTTGGTTCCTAGTTTGCCTTTCCAATGTCTATAAGGTCTCCGTTGCTCTCGATTGTTCTATATGAAAATTCCATTTGTAATTATGAATAACCCTTCAGGGAATGCTACCTGAGCGATGTTGCACATTCTTATGGGACTGCTGCTCTGTCTTGTCTCTTTGTTACGAAAGCACTGCCATTTCTTGTAACCTTGTAGAGCTGAATTCACTAAATTAACACAGCTTTTTTCGGATGAGTTCTGGGATGAGTTCTGGGATGAGTTCTGTTTGTTTGCAAAACAGTGGAGTTTCTTCAAGGAACAGCATCACGGGCGAGGAATGCCCCAGTTCATTGTTTGAATCCTGCCTTTGTTTGAAGCATTGCCACACAAAGAAACTTCAATACAAGAATCGACTTTCTTGTGTTTGGAAGAAAAAACGTGCACATCAACTTGGTCCTGAGGTTGCGCACACTGTGTATGAATGTTTGCAATTGTTTCCAATTATTTTGCATACCACTAGTATCGACAGCTGGAAACAGCTCCTTTGGAGAGCTAAAGGGAAGATCTTCAAGTGATATCAAGTGATAGCAATTCCAATTGAGCTAGTCTTCAGGTATCTTCAGGTGGTTGGAAGTAGCGAGTGAAAGCTTCTGACTTCTCAGTGTGTCATCAGAACAAATGATCAGCGTGCAGACTGCTACCTCTCAAAAATCATGAAAACTGTCAATGAGATAGGCTCATGATTCTCATGATGCTCATGCGAGACGTGAGAACAAGATAGGTCAAACAGGTCGTATACATGGACTTTGTAGCTACAAATCCCCCGAAGGCCCGAAGGATGCAGTGTCAAACCGCACCTCGTCGCAGAATTGCTTGAAGGACAAGCTCGAAGACCTAAACCAAACACTATCGTCACTACTGAAACAAAAACAACAAAAGAAACAGGATGGAACCAGTTTCGCACTGCAAAAGAAAGAGACTCCTGCATATGAAGTCATGATCGCAAGCGATTCATGCATGTTCATTCTGCAAAACACAAAGTAGCAAAAAACTTCTGAAATGGAATACATATGGAATACATCTAACATCATATAACACGCAAAAAAACGTGCGCAACCGACCATTGTCGACCTCTATCGACCTCGACCTCTCCTGGCCTGGGTGGGCCTTCACTCTCAAGTCCTTCACCTCCTTCCTCCTGCTTTGGATTGTGGAAGATGGTCTCCTTCACACGACAACGAAACAGGGCTCCGAAGAAGCACCTCCTAACAACCAGATACAACCAGATAAGAGGAACTGCCAAAAATCAACGAAATCCAACTTGGTTTTCAGGCTCCAAACACTGCCACGAACTGCAAGTAACCCCACAGTACACACATAGTAGTCATAATACATGCGTGAAAGACTTCACAAGAGTGCACCATCGTGCAGTTTTTCAAGATGTAGTAAACATTTGAAACCTTAAGCTTGATGGTCTGATGGCACAAAGCAGATATCCGATGTTCACATTTCATGTCTGTACAAGTGCAAATCCTGCATATGATTGAGGCGTTGGACCATTGCATCTTGATCCATCCCAAGCCTCATCGGCATCAGTGGTGAAAGTTTTGTGCAAGGACTTGGTTGCTCAACGAATCGCTGCTCATTCATACGGCTCTCGTTGCTGAACATTCCAATGCCGCCTCCAATCCCAAGATATTCCACCAAAAAATGACCAAGAGGACAACACTTCAAAGGGAGGCAATGTTGGCACACCAGCGGCATTCGCAAAGACACCTAGATCACTTCGGATTTGCCTGAAGAAAATGTCCAGAACGTTCGGATCGGTTCGCATCTTCTTGAACTCCTCTTCGCCTGCGCCATGGCTGCAACCACAACCACCAAAGCCTTTCCAACGTATACACATAATATGCATTCAGAAGCAAAGTGAAAATGTCTTACACACAAAATACTGGTGTGATTACCTTTTTTTATGGACTTCCAAAGCTTGCCACCTTAGCATTCCTGGAATCTTGTACAACCATCATGGTCGAGGAAATCAGGCCCATGTGCCACCGTTCTGAAAAATAGAAAGAAAAAAAAGGGTTCGTCTAGAGGAGGGTTTGCTTTCGCATGGATGGTACGTGCATATAGTTTTTCCAGGTGCCATCAATCATCATCAATCTATGAGCCCCTATAATTTGGGATTGAGGAGCAGGGATGTTTCCCTGCTCGTCGAGAAGTTCCATTTTTCACAAGGGCTTTTAGCAAGATTAGACCCGGAGGCACCACAATATCAACTGCTAGTTTGGGGGTATCCTTAACTCGATTATTGTGAACCCTTCAAAGAAGACTGCGTCTGACGTCAGTCAAACCTTTAGCTGGAACCAAGCGGCTGATCTTGCCATCATGGGAGGTGTCCAATGCCTCAGTCGATTGTTGAAGATCAATGAAGATCAGCCTTGAAAAGTATTGTCCGTCATTAAATACATGTGGTGCACCATCTGAATTATTCCGGATACCCACATCATTTCCTGCCTTCAACTGAATCCTGATTTTGGAAACAGCACAGAGTCAGTTCAATCGTAGTGACGGTGCAAAGTGGAAATCCTCGGTGCCTGCCACCAGTTGCCCAATCCCAACCAAGTGATCGCCACTCTCTGTCGACTAGCGACTTCGAAGGCTTCTTCCAATGAAGTTTTCAAGTCCACCTCGGGATCAGGATCTTCTCAGAGACTCAACGCAAACAAAGGACAAATACAGGAGAGTACAGCAAGTCTTGTGAATGTGGCAGTTCAAACACTTCTGCTCTGCACATCATGATAAATAGTAGATAATAAATATCACAAGTATATACAAACATGATATCTCAGATTTGCCCCCAAGTCGTTTGATTGGTTTTTGGGGTCGCTGGGCTTTGGACCAGCATCTTCTGCTTGGAATGCTCCTGGGAATTGTCCTCCACAACCTGGCGGTCCCGAGCAGAAAAGGTTGTGAAAGGCAAGGAGAAAGGAAATGCCACTGTAACACTAATGCACTAATGGATGTTTATAGCCTTACAATGACTTACATGTGTTTCTAATCATCATGTATCAGGTACGATGATATAGCATAAGGTATGATCATGTCATTGTACATCATCATGTTTGATAAATATCAACATGTATCCCAGATATCATCCCACATCATCGAACATCAAAATCTTCATATATCCGCTTCTAGACTTGGCAAAGGTCACACCTGAACCAAAAATATCGGCCCGGGCTCTCTTGCTCTAGTTATGTCTTGTTTGTGCCTGGCAAAGGACTCCGATGAGCATGTTCAGCAGGGTGATACAGGAGAAAACCACAAAAAGCGTGAAGAGCCAAAACAAAGCAATGCTCTCCTGGAGATGGCAGCTTCAGTGCGGTGATTTCATGTGCTTTCGAAGTAATCGACAGTGCCAAAATAATTAAAATAGACAGACATAGATGATTTTGGTGCATTTATTGCAACTACTTCTCAATGATTTGAGATTGCGGGCCACGTGCATGTTATTGTGCGAACAGCCATTAACTCTGCCGGAAATGTGTAGTGAGATTCATTTTGTTTGGGTGCAACATGACGGACTATCTGCGACCCCCGTTCTCATTGCATACCGACTTACAGTAGCAACTGTATTAAGTCCCTTCAATCAAATGCACGAAATATGTCCTGTGAGATGGCGTTGCAACAAAAGGCCATTTCATCTGCCAACCTGGACTGCATCGGAGGGTAAAAGATTGCGCACGATTGCAGAAAACTCAGGCACCAAGGAAGTTATTTCAATTCCCTTTTGCCAAAGATTTTGCAGATATTTGATATTTTCAAGCGGCTCCATATACGCTCGCAGTATTACTTTCACTTTGATCCTTTCATGACCTGACGAAACCTGTCTTTTGATGGCATACTGTAGCACTCAGGTCGCCTCCAAAGTGCCCATCAAGTTTCAAATCTTCAGCAGCTTTGCAGTTTATAAGTGGCATAAATATGCTTTATATATCTTTATATAGCATGGTTTTGCACGGATGTTTCAGGAACATCCCGACCAGGCCATCACCATCGTATTCTCGGAGTGGTCGACAGCATCTGAGTTTCTGGCGTTCCATACGTAAACCTTGGCAAGCAAAGACACCCGGCGCAAGGGCCATCAGGTGTATGATGAATATTGATGAATCAGTAACTAATCAGTAACCATCAAACTCCAAAGCACAATCTTGACACAGCTCCCCTCCACTCTGTCAAGTTGGCCGAATTGGATTTGATGCACCGTTCATTGACCAAACCACGGGAAGAGCAAGGTGGAGGTCAAATTGCATTTCCAGATGTTGAAGCGGCCCTTGCACTATAGAAGTGGAGCGAGCTGTAATACCGGCCTGCCGGGGTGTCTTGTGGATCTTGCTTGTTCGTAGTTGTACTGTCTGTTTTGTCTTTGTCTAGACTTCCCCCTTGGCGCGGATTTCTGCCTCGTCTAACTTGAACCCACCGCCCTCATCCCAACCCCCCTCCCCTCACCCCCCTTCTGGCGTAGCTCTTCATCTTCGTTTCGTCTTCATGTTTCCTTGCGTTGTGCTGGGCTCAACTCTGCTGACGCCTTGCTCAACACCGGCTTGGTTTTGAAGATTATGCTATCATTTTCATGGTTGTTTCCGCCTTTTTTGTTGTGTTTGCCATCGGTTGTTTCTTATATCCAGTACTTGATCCACTGGATTTTGTGCCGAACACCTTTTACACGGATAACCTTTCTATATATGGCCTTTTTCAAAAACCCTGGTTTACACACACATGTTTTGGTTCAAAATGTTTAAACTTAAACCGTGGTTTGAACAAAAACCATGTTTTTGCGTCAAAACCATGTTTTACACAATTTACTCAAAAACCGTGTTGTACACAAACACAATGTTTTACACAAAAACCATGTCATGTTCTTGCTGGGCCTGTGCAAGCGCTGTTTGCGGCTTACAGGATAGCACTTTCCATGGTGGCCGGCGGAACACGCCGAAGGCGGTTAAATTTGCTGTGAAATGATACGATAATACAAGTATATATATACAAGAATATACAAGAATATACAAAAATATACAAGAATATACAAGATATGAAACAATATACAATATATGAAGACCAGTAAAGAGCCACTCCAAGCATCGAAGCTGTCAGCTCTTCCACTCTTTCCAGATCTTTTGAATGTGGCCAGAGCGAGCCAAGGTACAAGGACATCATGGAGGATCCGATGTCCGAGAAGAGCTGTTGCGCATTGGGATCATCGAACGGGCTCGCGCGTTCTGTCCCCGGCACTGCCAGCCTGGGACTGGACCCTGGACCAACTCGTTGCTTACCACCTTACAGGTTCTTACAGTACCATCTCACATCCTCAAACCGTCCGGTTGATCTCTGTTCGATTGAATCCACGAAACTCGGGGAAAACATTTGCCAAGTCTCAGTACAATCAAAAATGCCGAATCACATCAAAGCGCAGGTTCACTGTTCCACATCCATGGCAAATTGAGTTCCAGAGAATTAGGCAGTTGATTTGCCAGCGCTTTCCCACATCTCCAGCAAATATATATCTGTTTCTTGCCGTATCAAATTGCATGCAAGCCGCTGGGTCGTGAACACGATGGCAAAAAAATAGGTGACCTACCGGTGAAGTGGCTGGTTTCAATGAAAAATCGAGCAATCTTACCTGTCTGGCAGCACACACATACAAGCTTGGTCGTCAAAATACGGAATGACAAAACAAAACAAATCCCTCACACAGACACACACACACACACTTGCTCAGAATTGTCATTGCGAGTTTTGTTGTGGAAAAAGAAGCTATCATCGCCATATAGCCAGTGCTGAAAATGATTGAATTGGCAGCTGAACCTTCCCCTGTTTTCAACTTGAAAGTTGAAAAAATCAGATTGCGAAAACCGTACAGAAAAAAATGTGGCATCAGGTTGTTTTAAAACGGCACAGTGGTTCTTGGGTTAGCCACTGCCCATCACGAGAAAATAAAACTGGATGCAGGTACGCAGAGCTGATCAGGCTCTGCATCAACACGAACTGACAGCGTCTTCGTTGGGGCAGTGTCTGTCAGCCGTGCACTGCCACCCTGCAAACCTACAAAGTAATGGAATTCAAAACCGAAAACCGAGAACCGGAATTCCAACAAGTTAGAAGCTTTATATACATCTCTTCAGGTGGTTCGCAGACACATACACACACACACACACTTGCTCAGAACAATCTTTGCGAATCCTGATGTGGAATGCACCGTACGTGCAAAAACAATCCAGCTATACCTGGCAGGAATGGGTCGGTGAAAAGACCCGAGAAGGTATCGAAAAGTTTCCTGCGGAAACCGTACATTTAATGAAGTGACATAAAATGGAGTTTGTATCAAAAAGTGAAAATTTTGGAAAATTTGACATGCCGGTTCTTGGCTTGGCCGGTTGCCATGGACGAAAAATGAAAATTGGTGCAGGTACGCAGATTGGCGTCCCAATCTGTATCACCGGATCAAATGGGTGTCTTCGTTGGTAGCGTCCCAAATGATCTGCCGCTGCCCCCTGCTCTAAAATGGATATTGAAGTTGAAACCGGCAGTTGAAGTTGACAAAGTATCACGAAGAGAAAACCGAAACCCAAATCAACAGCAAAAAACGACATCATCAGGTAAAAGTTTTACATCTGTTCAGATGTTCCACACACACGCCCTCCTGCCGCAGGGCTTTTGTCGGAAGATGCACAATTGCAATGCGAAGGAGCTCTGATACGGTCAACTGGATTCGGATCGTGTGATCACAAGGAGAGACAAGAAGGTGAAGTGCAAAGAACGAATGAATTTGCATTAGCAAAATTAGCTAAGCCGCAGCTCAGGAGAGGTACATGATGTAGTCAGAAATGTCCGAGATGTCCTCATAGTCATCAGGTCGAGCGTTTCGAGCCAACTCAGTTGCTGTGATAGCAAGGTGGCTGGCCATATGCGAAAGTTCCACTGCGGTGAACAGTTTTACCTGGGTACCCGATGGGTCTCCCGGAGGGATCTGAAGCTTCTCAAGGATCGGGGTATTGTATTCAGGATCCGCGATCAACACATTGTAAAGAATGGTGGCCGGCACATCTCCCGTATGGACTGTCACCGAGGTGTCATCCGCGAGGTCCTCTGCATCACCAGGGGCAGCATCGTCAGATTCATTTTGATGATGTACTGCTTGGTGACGTTCAGTGTTGGTTTCTTCATGTATTTCATCAATGTTGAAGAACCTGCGCCAGTAGTTGGCCAGGCGAGAGGACTCTGTCCAACTGTCAATGTATCCTTCCCACCGGTCCCTCACATGACCTAGTATGCCATTGAAGAAGAATTCCGGTCGACGGTTGCGTTCTTGACCAGTCCTGTCAATTTCCCTGACCATCAATCTGCGAACCCGGTTGGCTCCATGGCCAGAAGTCACTTCCTTGAAGATTTGGGTGTGAAATACTTTTGTGATCTTGGGAGAGTTGTTCTTGAAGTGGATAGTATTCAGGTTGTTGCCAAGTGGGGTTGAGATTTGGCATTGGAAGGCTGGGAGCTGAAGCTGCATATCCAAATGTGGTCTCAGGATGAGATCCAGAAGCTGATGATGATCCTGGAAGTAGTAGACCGTGTCGGGTGGAAGCAGCAGCGGCCGACGAAGAGGCTGTACCGGATGGATGGCGGCGAAGATAAGCGCTCATTGGCTGGGACCAGGAGTGAAACCGAAGGTCGCGAAGGGAGGCAAGTTCGGCACGGGAGGAATCTCTCTTGGTCATATTAAAAAGCCGGAGCCATAATAAAGAGACAGAGAGACAGTAAACAACACAGAGAAGATAAAAGGTAATGAAATAAGAAATGATAGCAGTATGGATTGTTTCCGAGCTGACAGCAGTCAGGTGATTAGGATTAGGTAAGGCTTTGTGACAGCTGAGTCGCATAATGTAAGGTTGACCTGGCTTGGTAAAGTCAACCAATGAATTGAAAAATGTCTATTTCCTGCGCTTCAGTCCAGTGGGGACGATGTTCACGAAGCAAACGAGTGATGATCTGACTTGGGCGAAGTGCACAGGTATCTCCAGTACAATCACTCCAATGTAGGTCCATGGCTGTGGACTCGATATGAATCCCCCATGTGTTGAAGATGTATTGGCTGATGTAGGTCAACAAGCCGTCAGCAGTGATGATCTGGATTTGGCCAGGTGTTAACAGGCAACTGCAGGTGAACAGAGCCATTTCTTCACCGGGACGAAGATCATGAAGGTGTTCGCACGTAGTGGCTTCCATCACATCCGACATTTGTTCATTCACCAGCTGTTTTGTGGCATCCAGATTGATCATAATGAGGACTCTCCTAGTCCGACGAAGTGCTGGGGTATAGTCCCATCGACGATGGTGTGTTGGGTCATGAGGGTGATCAGGGTTTGGATGACCCCACATGGGAGGGTCATCACGGGATCGAGAACGTTCACGTACCATAATGGGACCGCTAAAGTGAAATTGAGCCAGGCTAAAGTAATACATCTGGAAGAAACAACAAGAAAAGACAACCAACTACCTAGTGCAGTCACGGAATGAAGCAGTAATCTGAAATGCACGACGTTTGTTCTTTTTCTCACTGAAGCACTCAGTCCCCCGCTTCTGGTTCATGACGTGGGTTGGCTTCCGGCATGGTCTGCTTCAATATTGACCATCTTATCTTGCACACTTCTGGATCCCGTCGTAATTGTTGGCCAATCGTCTTCCATGAAGGTCTGGACTTACTGTCATTTTTGAGTTGCAATAATTCATTGTCTTCCGCACCCGTCCAAGGGCGAATGCTAGAGTGAAGGGAACGACGGTCCAACGGGGCAATGGTTGGCGGAGCAACTGGTGGTGCTACCGTGCTGGACTTGGCGGTTGCTGGGATCGGAGTGGCATCTCCATTAAAGGTTGTCATGTATCATTCACCGGCAAACTTGGGTTCCCTGGCGAGGTCCAGAGATAGGAGGCCTGGCACGAGTGGATGAAGTAGATTCCACCGCGGTTGGGTGGCTGGCAGGGGGATGGTCCTCAATGGGACCAGGTACACGACGTATGGAAAGAGGGCGTAAGTGAGGTGCCGGATTCAGAATCATGTGGGTGGGTAGCCCGCCATGGGATGCGAGAGTAGGAGTGGAGGAAGAAGCGGGATGGGGGGCAAAAGCGTGCAAGTGCCTGTGAGATGGATGGACGCGAAGTGGGCGACCATATGGATCATGTGGATGTTCATGCCAGTCAACTGTAGGTTCAAAGAAAGGAAGGAAGCCTGCAATCGTGTTCAGGTCCATGATCGCACGAGTCAAGTGGTAGTGAATCTCACGACCATGCGAAGGATCCATGGTGACCACAAACGAAACAATGCCAACACAAATTGAGGGCACGAGTTTGAGCCAAACACTCGACGAGGAGACAGGAGGAACAGGAAGAAAGACGACAGGAACAAGAACCACGAGAGGGAACATCGAAGACAACAAGGTGGCACGACAAAATGTTCAGTGTATTTTCTCATGCGGCTGAAGGTTCTGATGCTGAGTCAAAATCTGCGATGAAATGGTTTGGAGTTCCTCATTGGGAAAACCAGCCAAACTATATAAGTGGATTAATTGATCCAGGCCTTGCTGGACTCGGTAATTTGGGAAAGCACCCTTGACGACGATGTGGCAGCGAGAACGAAAGCCACTGAGAAGAACTTTTGGTGGGGATGCCGAATATGGTGACAGGACCTGGGATATGTTGGTGGGGCCGTGGCAGATGAGTTCCAAAGGCTTGGTTTCAAGCATGAAACCAAGAAACTCTTGGTCAGGTTCCGTTTCCAGGATGATGGGCTTTCCATAGAGCCTTCGTCAAGAAGGACTTCATAGGGTGGAAGTTGTTGGAGGCGAGAGTCGCCAAAGATGAGTCTGTTGTCCACATAGCCGATGTGTTTGATGAATAGATGATGGTTGGAAATGAGTTGGTTGAAGTTGATGGACCAAATTTGCTCACTGATGGAAACGACCATGAGGCGAAGGGCTGGGGAGAGTGGGTTGCCCATAGGGCTTCCCCTTCGTTGTCGGATGCAACGTTGGCCCAGAGCAAAGGTTTGCATATCAAGCGCCGTCGTGAGAAGGGATGGGACATCTTTGATGACTATTTTCCGTGTGACATTTAGTCGACGAAAGGTGCAACCTTTGATGAGATCACCTGGATTGTTGGATTTCCCTGGGTAAACGGAAAATACCTCATTGTCGGCCACATTCATATGTGGCCGAAGGAAGTCCAAAAGCATGAACCACGCCCCAATGAATCTTTCCTGGTCAATGCTGGTGAAGAATCCAGCCAGGTCTTGATTGACCAGAATCAAATCGACGTCGACAGGTGCTGACCGCAGGATGTCAAGGAGTGTGTAAACATCTCCTGAGGCAAAGTGGTTGGGGCAAGCCACCGGAATAAGCTGGAAGATCATCCTGGCCAGGATGTTGAGCATGGGGCTAAAGGGGGAGTCGACGAACGAAATGATAGGTCGACCACTTTGGAACCCCTTCTTCTTTTTGGCCAGGATGTAGCCAGCAGGGAGTTGACGACCTGGGCCCGTGGCCCATGGGTAAGATTTGCCATGTTGTTAGTAGGTTCTTGGGAAA